TATGCGTACAATTCAATGAAATTCGTTGATCATGTTTGTATTTGAAATATTTCGAATAATAAAAATAGACATTAACTCCTTAGATACGAATATATTATCAGAGATTTGATGATTTTATTGTGAGCATACTATAAGAAAATCTCCGCCTGGAGCTACTGCCGGTCCAAAGCCTGGATAAAGAAGAGGATTGAGCATGGGGTTATCGACCCCATCCCATAAAAAACTAACTCGCTAAAAAACGCTAACCAGGAAAATTCAAACAATTTGAACTCTGTCCTGGAACTTAGGTCTTTATTTAGAAAAGTTATGATGCCTCACGGAACTCGGGTGGCTGATGTCCCTTCTGACAACCAGAGCAACCATTAATTTAGGTACATGGAATGCTCGTACAATGTGAGAGACCGGGATAGTCTTCCGAATCGCTGCGGAAATGAAGAGATAATAGAAGAAAACAGCCTACTGTCTTATTTGGGTAAATATGAGGATATACTTCGGATGATGATTTTAGCTTCGATTGTGCGATAAATCAACAGATGTGTAAGTCCTAAATTTGATTCACTTACTAATTGATTTATGAACTGGAAATAACGAAAATAACATTCCAAATTTAATGACTAATCAACCAGCTTTATGAAAGGTATGAAAATAGCAATGTAATTATGGGTGTGGAATTTTCCATTTATCGATTAATTGCTTTTCATCATTTGATATTCAAAAAACAATAAGCATTAGATAGTAAAATTACGATTTTTAATTACAAAGAAAAATGATGGGTTTCTCAAGAGATTCATAACGAGGATACCCTAGATACAGCAGAATCGGACGACACTAGTAGATAGTGTATACACCTACGTAATTGTGATCGATCCTCAGCCATGCCATCCAGAGTTTCCAACCATTGATTACGATAGTGATGCGGACCCCAACCAAGTAGTATGCGTCTAATAACATGGTCATGTTGGTAAGACTAAAAAAGTCATCGTCAACGTAAAATACACACATAAGTATTTATTATGAAGAGTCATTTGACATTACAACATTTAAAAATCATAAATCAAGGAAATAACTTTCCAGATTCTAGGGTTCGATCCAAGTATAGATGAAATAAAAATCTGACTCCATAAAAGATGGAATAATTATTTTGAAATGAACAATTTTAGAAACGGTTGACCATCAATTTAATTTAAAAAGAAACCATAATTATAAACAGTCAACAAGGAATAAGTGAATATTTGCGGAAATAAACAATTCATAAGCCTTAAAAATAAGGAGGATATTGCCAGAGGAAAACCTACCCTAAAGTACATTTCCTGTAAACTTACCAAATATTTATCTATTGACATACCATACATATGTGAAATATTTGTCATCTCATCAAATTTGTGTGAGGGCTGTGGTACTCCCTGGGTGCCCAGATTGATGCAGGTGGTTTTCTTGGGGAACTACTCCTCGAGCCTTTGTGTTGCGGACGACAGATCCCCCAAAAACTCACATTTTGTAAATTTATCTTATCGATTAAATGTTTAAATATTTGAATGGTAGTCAATAGGCGAACTTATTGATGAATGTTTAAGATTTTATACGACAATATCGATTACATATATTTGTATACATACGTTTTAAATTATTTTTGTTTGATCGCTCGTTTTCTGGTTGTTTGGAGAATATACTTCTTATTCTAAGCTTGGACATAACCCTTTAGATAGCGGGGCTGGGACGCATCAATAGCTAGCTTACTGGTCTTTGGTCACCGAGTCTTGTTCTCGTTCGCAGATTAAGTGAACTCGTGATAGCTTCAAACCTAGCACTTTGACCCAGAGGTCTGATTCACAAGGCAATGAAGCAACATAAAGATGCAGTCCCATGGCAGCCGGTGAATAAAAATGATTCCACAAGCCATTTGTTCCCTCAGGGTTCTGGGGCCCATGTGCACCATTGGTTTGGAATCAGGGTTTCTCAACTCCCCTAGACATACTCTCCGTGTTCACCAACTCGGTTAAAGCTCCAGACATTCGCTTTTCGTCCTCTAAATTTCGTAAACAACGACCCCCACTACAAGAAGGCAGTGAGCAGGACTTCCCTGGCAGAGGCTATGTGAGAGCATTTCGAGAGGGGAAGCGGACCGAGGGATTTGAGGGCAATTGCATCCGACAACGATATTTCACACCATCGGTGGGGGGTATTAGTGTGGTGTGTGCTGCTTATATCGACTTAAGTAGTATATGACGTTAGTCGTGAAAAGAATGTCTGGCAGCGGAGAGACAGGAGGATCGAACAATAAAAAATGGAAACAGAATGCAATTTGTATGAAAATGCAAGAACAATAAAGTCTGTGTCATTTTCAGACAACTGATGGACATTTTGCAAATTAAGCATTTACTACATGTTTGTTAGATTTCATTAACAAGTCCTGTATTTTTGTGTCAACTACATCCGATTGTTTCCCATTGGTAATCTTGTTCACTACATTGGGAGTAGTTTTTAACTAGCAATAACATTGACATACCATTGTAAGAAAAATACTTTTTCACGATTAGACAGTTATTCAGTAAAAATATAACATTTCAATTGTCTCTATGGAGATAGGTACGTAAGTTAATCGACAGAATATTTCTTCTCTCATTCAAAGGTATTTAACAACAACTGAATAATTAATGAAAATTTAAATTGATCTTGTGCCTTTCAAATCTCATGACAACCATCATATATCACTATCGAATTCATGTTGTTGTTTTTTGTTTTTTTCTCAAGAAAAGGAGTAAAGTGAATATTTCGATTACTTGTACTCGATAAATATAAGCGATATCTAATATATTTGAGAAATCAATGAATGTAGTAGTCATGTGTTATAGTATTACGACTTTAGTTAGAATATCAAGTGGAAACGCTTATCATTAAATGATGTAATTTATCGATTATATACACATACATGTGATTTAGATATATCATCAATATTAGGCACTTCTAATTACTCACTCTTAACTCTAGATCAGTAGTATAATTAACTCAAATGAAATTGATTTAATTCGCTGTATTATTATAAAGATTATAGTATAATATATGCACAATTACTGAACATCTCATAATATAATGAAAAATTCAAAATTACAGTATCCAGTTAAAAGAATACAACTACATTGCGATATGATTGAATTACTTACTTACTTACATACGCCTGTTACTTCAAATGAAGCATAGGCCGCCGGCCAGTATTCTCCAACCCACTCTGTCCTGGGTCTTCCTTTCCAGTTCTATCCAATTTTTGTTTATTTCTCTAATGTCTGTCTCCATATCTTGGAGTAATGTGTTCTTTGTCCTTCCTCTTTTCCATTGGCCTTGAGGATTTGATGTGAGGGCTTGACTTGTGACGCAGTTCGGTGCTTTCCTCAATGTGTCCTATCTAATTCCAGCGCTTCTTCCAGATTTATTCTTTCGCTGAGATCTGGTTTGTTCTTTCTCACAATAGGTTGTTGCTGAGTGTCTGGCCAACGGATCCGAAGTATATTGCGTAGACAGCTGTTAATAAACATTTGTATCTTCTGGATGATGGCTTACGTCGTTCTCCAGGTTTCCGCCCCATTACCCAAGTATTTATAACCAATTATAAGTTCAGTCTGATATCTCTATCAACTTCCAATCACACAATTCGAATATGTTCTTATCGATAAACATAATCTGCATAAATGCGATTACTCATTGTTTAAGAAATGAAATATTTCTTTTGAAATACTCTTTTTCTTTTCAATTCTTTGTGAATAGTCAATTTTTTAGAGTTACTGTGTATAGACTAGTTGCTGGTCTATTTAATTCGTTAAGACTCCGTTTGCATTAGAAAAAACTGTAAATAGGTTGTACATTTGTAACAATCAAATGGATCCATATATAATAAGAGGAATTTTTGACATATTATTGCTTTATATCTGATTGAATAGTTTCCAGTTAATCAGTCAGCTAAAACGTAGGACTAGGCACATATGTGCATCGGTCCAAGTTGCTATACCTCATTAGCACAGTAAGATGAACACCGGATTCGTAAAAGCAGTTAACTCAATGGTGTAATATATAAAATAATGATTGCATATAAAGAGATAATATGAGAAAAAAATTTTTAGTTGAAGGATATGAAGCGATTTTAGTCTTACATTTTAAGGGAAGACAAAGAGTGTATACACCTTAGCCATGTCACCCAGAGTCTCGAACCATTGGTTACGGTAGTGATGCGGACCCCAACCAAGTAGTCCGCATCTACCAACATGGCACAGACTAGAAGTTAGTGACTTGAATAAGTGGTGCAATGTCTTCAACACTAGTCAACATTACGCGTCGTGGTAATCGGTGTTTAGGCATACGTAACACGTGACCCAACCATCTCAGTCGATCAAGATTCAGAACCTCACCAATTGATTAAATCGTTTTAGATTTATACCGACTGTCGATTTAATGCTCAATCTCAATACAGGCGAATCACATTGAATTTTGGACAGGAGATAGACATTGTAAATAATGGTAAGTCACTAATAACTAACTCATTATATAAAATGATCACTTAGTTATGAAATCATACATATTGAGTGTATAGACATTCTAAACAACATTAAACTAGCATATATTAATTAATATCAAAAACATCTCCTCAATACTCTGTATATAACAAAAGTACACAAAAATCAAGGAAGAACAACAATACTATAGTACAATTAGAAAAGATCTATTTATCTAAATTAAGTATATTATACCACGTGTATTATTCATATATAGAGATATACAACATGTTTAGAAAGGAAAACATGTTATGAAAAGAGGAAAAATAAATTCATGAAAAGAAAACACCGAAAGGAATTCCTGTCATTAGTATCAAATAATGACTAGTCTACTTATAATAACTTTTAGAAGTATTATCTTTCGTACAATATAATTATTTGTTAAAATATAAAGTACATTTATTTTTCTCTTTGTACTTTTAAAAGTGTATAGAAACTGTGATATATATATATATATATATATATATATATATATATATATAGAGAGAGAGAGAGAGAGAGAAATGGGGAATATGTACTTTATTTACAGACACAAAGATATGTGTTGATACAGCAATATTTGACAAACTTAGATTATTAAATACAAACAAATGAAGCTTAACAACACACACCAAAAAGATCTTTTAAATAGATAGGGATTAAACTAAGCAAATGAAATAGCAATTAGAAACCCTCCACCGAATGAACCGAAAAATACACGATTCTCTTCAATTGTTTTAATAATCTACAAGAAAAAGAAATGAGGAAAGGTTAGAAATGTTTTATATATTGGAAAAACGATTTCATTCTACAAGTATAGGGTTATGGAGATTATTAAGTTTTTGATTGAGATCATGAACTGATTGATCTTAGACCATCACTGATTACCTGGAAGCACTGGATGGCTGTTTCGTCCTATTATGCGACCCCTCAGCAGTGCGCATACACGATCCCGCTCGCGGGGTTCGAACCCAGGTCCTTCAGTCTCACGCGCGAACGCTTAACCTACTGGACCACTGAGCCGGCACCCAACGGTGTTAATGTCTAACCTCAACCAATCCACGAAGTTGCGCTACCAACTTCCATTGTACTGAGGTAGACACCTGTTTCTACCGGACACGGATTAGCTCCACTGGTCACGACTTCTCACTAGAACTCCGAGAATTCCCTCACGAAGCTAGTCACTAGTGAGCACATGGTAATTATTAATATAGGGTTATGGAGAATATTAAGTTTTTGATTGAGATCATGAATTGATATATTAAAATGATAAAAGAAAATTAATTGTTTCATCACCATCAAAGTAAACAGTGAGTTGAAAATAATTAGTCAAGTTATTTTTCCTGTTTACAGTTAGATTACACATGTATTACTTGATATAAACTGAAAAAACACAAAATGAACATTGGCTATTGATGATGATATATCCCTAGAATTAAGTTATTAAGGTTATTGATATCACTGGCCGTTTCAGTTGTCAATGACAAAAAATAATGAAAGCTTCAAGATTACAATATCCAGTTGAAAGCACGCAACTACATCAAAATGTTTCAATTTCCGACATGATTGAATTAATAGAGTGTTTATAACTAATTTATCAACAAATGAGTTTCAAGTTCAAATTTGGTTCTGAGAAATCTTTTCTACAATGAATTACACTGAACTCGATGCAATTGATGAATATTTTTTGATAACCAAGGATGAATTTGAACATGCAAACACATACTTTGAAAAAGCTAACAAATTGATGGGGTGTAAGAAATATCTTAGTTATCGTGGTTGACATGCTATATATATATATATATATATATATATATATATATATATATATATATATATATATATATATATAATGAGAGAGAGAGAGAAACGAATGTCCGGCAGTTTAATCGGGTTGATGGACACGGAGAGTTGGAAATTAACCCTGATTCCAAACCAATGGTGCACATGGGCTCCAGTAAACCCTTAGAAAACAAATGGAGTATAAACCAATCGTTGGTCACCGGCTACCATGGGAATACATCTCCTGACGTTACTCTATTGCCTTGTGGATTAGACTTTTAGGTCGAAGGCTCGGGGTGTGGCCCACTAAGGAAACTACCTGCTTCGGTTTGGGCACCCGGGCAGTATCCCAGCTCTCACACAAATCGAGTGATTTATGTGGCGCATATCTGTTTGGTGCCTCCTTGTACTAATGTTTATGTGTTTAAATAAATAAATAAGCACATATCAATATCATTTTTCCCTATCGGATAGTAATCTACTCAACATTTGAGTTTTTTTAAATCGCGGGACAATTACGATCCGAAATGATGAACACCACTTTTCAATGTTGTAATATTATATTATTAAAACATAACTTTGAAGTGTAGTTTTATAGTCTAATGGATAATATACTAATTTAATGTTAAAAACGTAGATGTAGACACTGAATAGTATAAGGTAATACGAGGTCCGAGATATCTTTGATAGTTGGAGTCAACAGTAGAACGGCCTTTTCATGAATTACTTGAAATTTACAAAACAATACAGTTTATTAAAAAGCTAAATGGTTGATCTAATAGAGCATCAGTCTCATTGTATTTCTTGTGATTTCGTTCTGAATTTCACAGTCCTCAAAAATATACGTTTACTTATTTCTAGCATGCGACGTTGAGTTGAAAGTATTATAAATCTTTATATTTAACACTATTATTCATATTTATTTAGTTGAATACATAAACTATGGTACATTGGAGCACCAAAAACATATGTGCCACACAATAACAATGAGGCCAGTAACAGCTATCATTGATTTTACTCCTAATCGTATCTATCCTACATATATATTTGGACAACTTTTTTCACTATATTGTTCATTGAGGCAGTAAGAAAAGAATGGTGAATAACAAACACATGGATTTAATAAAGTTTTATAAGGTGGGGTTTTTTCAATTACAAGTAACCAGTGGGAGAACCGAAAACAAAAAAAAACCGATCTTTCCAAATCACAATTGTCTTAAAGCTCAAATGATTAAAATTATTATTCACTCATGTATACACACACAGCAACATCCTAATTCTATTAACACCAAATAATTTTTATTACACACACACAAAAAAAAAATAATGCACCATTCTTAACACCAAGTAAAAGATTGAAACATTAAGAAATATAAAAAATAGGAGGGTGAATAATAATGAGAAATACAATATTTTCAGGTATATTAGTCGTTTAGGTGTGCTATAAAGTTCATGATTCAGTGAGAACGTATCCATTTTATTAGTGCTAAAAAGGTCTTCATAAATTTTTGAAATTATATCACCTTACTGAATTTTGCTGTTATCTGATTAGCTACCTTCTCTTTTAATCTATTATTTTCATCATATACCCTAAGGTTATAGTTTTTATTATATAAAAATTTGTTGTATCACAATTTCGATTTCGTGAGCTTCCAAATGCGAAGTGGGTGTTGTTTAAGAAATTGAGAGAACGAAAAGCGAATGTTTGGCGCTTTGACCGGGTCGATAGGTTCGAACATCCTATTAGGGGAGTTGGAAAACCCTGATTCCAAACCAATGGTCGATGCTACAGCATGACTCTGTTGGAGATAACATGGACATTTAAGGTATTTGTCATTGTCAAAGGTGGTAACTGTTCTGGATAGCAACTCAAAGCCTTTGCAAGATTGGTAAGTTTTCATTGATAGTTCAAACCGAGTCGATTGTCATGAGGCTGTTGACGGAGCATCCTTATAGAAATACGAAAAATGTCTAAGTGGACAACAACAATAAGGAAGCATTAGTCAAAGTGAATGAAAGGATTGTTAAGTCAACGACAATTGCTTACAATCTCATGCATCAAGTAACATTTTTCCCGGTCGTTGCTGCTACCTCAAGCTCCTACCATGCCAAACAGTTCGGTTGAAGAGTGGTAAGATTAAAAACAGTAAACCCAAGGTCTGAGGTCGAAGTCGTACTGCTGACTGTACAGAGGTGTGACGAAAGTAAGGTATTTCCCTCAGACAACTAACGTAATAGTGATGCTGCCTCCCTATAAGAAGGGGTGGGGTTAGAAAAGGTCAACCCTAAAAATGCACACCTCGCCTTATCCCACAAATATCCGTCTCCGGCGGTAAGGTCTCAACAAGTACGGAGTTAACACGAAAATTACTTACAAAAAGGTCGTGTATGACCGACCTCAATCAGTTGTCCCTTGGGCACTGCGACCACGCTCTCAGGTAACTAAGACCACCTCTAATCCAATTTCCTATTCAGGTACCTCCAGAAGAACCCTTCCACGGTGTGGGCAACCGGGAAGTGATAACCGCCGTCATACCTCTAACAGCACTCAAGACCACTGTATTCATAATCAACTTCCCTCTTCGATTCCTATTATTCCTCCCACATCGACTTTCATACCTAAACTTCCTCAAGTGTCACCATAGCCAACGATTTTACTTCGCGAATTACTGTCCCAGGTCTACTGAAAACTCGCCCCAAATTACATACTGGAGCGTTCAACGTATGCACTGTATGTCAAATCGGCCAGCAGGCCTTCTTGGTTAGGACCTAGAATTTTGTACCATCGACAACGTGAATGGAACATTGAAGTAGGTCCCCCGACTCTAGTTGAAGTTCAGAAAGCCATAGCTAATCTGAAACGAGGAAGAGCAGCTGGTCTAGATGGATTGGCTCCAGAGGTCTTTAAGGATGGTGGTCCAATTTTAGCGATTAGGTTGACTAATACTTTAGCTAAAATCTGGGGGTTGGACATAATCCCATCTGGCTGGTCACAATCACTGATTGTCCCAATATATAAAAACAGATCAAAATCATCGTGTGATAACCATAAGTCTAATATAGCACCTAAAATACTAGCCTCAATAATGTTCGGATGCCTAACAGACTCGTGAACTGCAAACACGAATAAATCAGGCTGGCTTCAGATCTGGTCGTGGCTGCATCAACCATATATTCACTATTCGTCAGGTTTTAGAACAGAGGCATACTTATCGACGTCCGACAGTGATAGTTTTTCTTGACTTAAGAGCAGCATTTGACTGTAGACCGAGACGTTCTGTGGCAGTGTCTGTCATTGAAAGGCGTACCTCAGAAGTACATAAACCTTGTGAAGGCTCTTTACTCGAATACTATTAGTCGAGTCAGAGCTTATGACGAACTGTCATCCGCTTTTGCAACCTCAAGTGGTGTCCGTCAAGGCTGCCCACTTTCTCCATTTTTGTTTAACTTTATTATAGACCTCCTGATGGAAATAATGCTCTCATCGACTGAATTCTCGGGTATTGAGCTCCTTCCAGGAGGTCTACTTATCGACTTGGAATACGCAGATGACATAATCCTGTTTGGTGAAGACGCTGATGAAATGCAGTCTTTTGGTAGCACTGAACAACAATGCCAGAATGTTTGGTATGCGCTTCTCTCCCTCTAAATGCAAGTTGTTGCTTCAGGACTGGTCTGCGTCAACACCTGAACTAAGGATAGGTAGTGAAGTAATCGGACGCGTTGACAACTTCACTTATCCTGGAAGTCTGATCAGCCCTAATGGGTTGGTTTCTGACGAAATCTCAGCACGGATTTGAAAAGCTCGTTTGGCTTTTGCCAACTAACGTCACCTATGGCGCAGGCGAGATATCCGTCTATCAATTAAGGGAAGAGTATACTGCATGGCAGTTCGTTCTACTATACGGCTGCGAAACATAGCCTTTAAGAGTAGAAGATACTCGTTAGTTACTGATATGGTGTTCAACTGATAAGTTTATTCATGTGTATCAATAAATGGAGAAAAGAAATAAGTGAAAACGAATAAAAATTGGTGCTTAGTGTAAAATTTGGTGACAAAATTATAAGCAGACAGATATCACCAGCAATAATACGTATATATAAGGACAATGATTCACAACAATCTACGACATGCACATTTCTTGTATGACTAACTTTATTTTTCGACGCACGCTTTACATAGAAATAAGTAAAGGAATTATAATGAAAGTTTAAAATTATCTAGTGGGCAAATTTGTACAAAACTATGTAACTGTAGAAAGAAACCCGTTCTCACTTTAAACTAACGTGGCAACTGAGAGTGTTGATAACCGAGAAAAAATAAGCGAATGTATTATTCCGATTCGGAGCTATTCATTAGTAAACATTTAAAGATTTTCAAAACGTTTACATCCTGTGTTGAGAAAGTTGCAATTGAATTGTTGATTACTAAATAGGATGCCCCCAAATACCCTCGTATGGCCCAGAGTAGAAAGTCAGCTGTCCCTCTCTAAATGCTCTCACATTGCCACGTGCGCACAACCACTGCCAAGAAAGTCCTGTAGTGAGCGAGGACGCAAGTGAGGACAATTCAATGTATTTGAATACAAAATTACAGAACATCTTGGTAAAATCTGAGAACCATACAGTAAATACTTCATTTGCAAAATGTCAACCACTTATCTAAGACTTTATCGTTCTTTCGTTTCCACACCAATCATTATTTGTTCCCTTTCTCTTTTCTTTGATCTTCTTAACCTTCTGCTCCAGGCATTTCACTTTTGACTGATAATACATCCTGCTTATATCTGTCGACATTAGTAACAGATACCACAGTCCTACTCGGTGCCTTCTCGTCGCATTACTGTTGTTTACGAAATTGAGAGGACGAAAAGTGAATGTCGGTAGGTTGGAGCATCCTCCTAGGGAAGCTAGAAAACCCTGATTACTAACCAATGGAGTACATGGACTTCAGGATCCTAAGGAGACAAATGGCGTGTGGACCTATTGTGGGTCACCGGCTACCATGAGACTGCATCTCCTGACGTTGCTCCACTGCCTTGTGGATTAGACCTTTAGATCAAAGGCTCGTGGTGTGGCCCCCTAAAAAACTACCTGTTTCAGTTTGGGGACCCAATTAGCATCCCAGCCCTCAAACAAACCGAATGATTAATGTGGTGCATAGCTATTTGGTGCCTTTTTGTACCAATGTATGTGTGTTTAAATAATCAAAAAAAAACAGTAATCAGAAAATAAGTCATCAGCTTAATGATGCGAAAAATGATATATGATACGAAAAAGTTTCTATTTGACTATATGTAGATCAGTGAGTTAAATACTTAAGAGATCAGTCAGCTCCCCATTTTGAATAAACGAACAAAATTCGCCCTAATTGCTTATTTCGCGTGCAAATCTGAAACTTAAAAATAGCATGCAGTAGTTTTGACTTAAAATATTAGTAAGGATTTAATAACTGCAACTAAAATGTTTGATTAGCAAAGTAACTAGGTTCTTGCAAATTAGTAAGTCATGAAATAAAAAAGCAAGGATACAAAAAAAACTATCAAACACTATTCTGAAACCAAAGACACAATCCACTGAGAGCCTACCTTGCCTTCGAAGATGACAGGTGTGTTTGACTGTATTTGGTGACCAGCACGTTCCACTTTTCTCCAATTGATACGTATAACGTCTTGTTGGACGGCGCACTAAGTGAAAATATTAAGCATTAGAATTATATAAGAATGCAGAATGATAACAAAAATAATGGTAATCGAAAATTGTTAATGTTACTAACGCATATGAACACGGTAATTATGAATTAAATTGTATCAGCCTAGCCGACCGAGATACATAGAGTACAAAATCGACGGGTTACTACTTTGCATTAGCCTCTAAGCCTAGTAACATTCTATGTATATTTTTAATTTTACGTTGCTGATTTATCGACCGTTTAATTTCGGACTATGAAAAAAAACAACTCACGGAAGTCACACGTATAAGGAAGTGTTTAAATTTTAATATTCTGTAAAATAAGCGATTTTTGACTGTGACGTAAATCGACAAAACTCAATTATCTACTTATAGCTATTGTTAGCTCGCCAATTTAGGGTGTACTAAACCACAGAAGGATAGACTTTAAGCTGATGATGGTCTGCAGGTCAGGAAAGGTGTTTGTTATGTTAAAAATGGGGTAAAACTGGATGGGCTATTCATGAAGATGTTTTAGTCATGCATACGAAGCCATGACATATTGACAGGAAACTCAGTCTGTACGAATGCACAAATATAACTACAATCATGTAGTACATGTTAGTGACACTAAACAGCATTTGAAATATTATTATTTTAAGGAACGGAGCTGTATAGGAAAAGTGAATAGCTTATACAACCTAAATCACATTAATAACGGCATTACTTAGACTCCTTACTTTAACCTCTTCTAACAAACCTCAAGAACGAGTTCTAACAACAGTTTAAAAAAGTCACATACTTGCAAGGCAATCAGACTTCCACCCAAAAGAAGAGCAGCAACCCTGCCGATTTTAGCGAATATATAACCTGCAAGTCTAGGGAAGTAATTTGAAACTTTTATTACAATCTTACAGTCCTGATCCTACACCTATAATAACCTGCTGGCGATGAGGACGGCTTTTGATGTCATCGAGTGTATCCTTCACTGCAGTTAAGGCGCGTTCGCTCTGGCCTTCAGTTCTCATCATAGTAGCGCAGAATGATGAACTGACCTCCCTCAACCATTAGTATTCAGGTTTCAAGGTAGTGTATCTGTTGACCTGTGTTGTTACTTGGGCTATGTAAAAGCGAAGTTTTTCATTTGCAATTTTTTGCTGATACATCTGCTACTACATGTTTAGGGTGTTTTAGTCGCTTGTTTGGTTGTTTCTGAACCCTCTTGCTGTGATCACGAAGATTATTAGTGATAGATGAAGCAAAAAGTGAAGACATATTGACATCTGAACTATTAATTCGGGTGTGGAGTGTCAGCAAAGGATAATTTCATGTTTTACGGCAAGATAAGTGGAGAATTTTCAGGCGTCATAGTCGATTGTCAAAGCCTGTTACAAAATTGTTTCTCACTCGGTGGATAAGCTCGTGTCAGAATTCTAATTAGAACCGGTTACTTGGATACAGTACTATTGGTAAGACCTCACATAAGTTTTGGAAAAAGATCGAAACGTATTTGCGTAGAAGCTTTGAGAAGGGGTCATAATACTCAAAAACATTTGACCGATTGTAGGTTGCAATGTGTGTTTGTTTTGTGGTCATGACTCAAGATTACTCTTAGGTTTGTTTGCTAGCGAACATCTGTAAGCGATGTTCCGCCTATTCTTTACTGGTGGCTACAACAGTGTTTGATATACATTAGCTCCGAACTCCACCATCGAAACGATCTAACTAATTTGGTCAAGTCAACTTGAAAATCATGATGGTCAGCCACATTACTTAAAATCCTTCAGAATTTTTCATCGTCTGGAAACAGGAGGGTCATTGGCACAGAGAAATGATGAGGGACCTAAATTCGCGCGTTGCGTCTCACCACTTGTAACTAGTTCTCATCCGGATAGCGCCCCGTTTAATATCATCCTTACCTCTGAACATAGATGTTCTGTATTGAGCTTTGTGTTATTATTTTTCTCTCAGCATTGGAAAGCCTATGCACAAGCACCAAGTGAGACGTCTTTTCAAACGCCTGGCTGAAATACATGAATATCACGTTGATGGGTGAATCATTATCTTGGGCTGCTGTTCAATACTCTACTGGTTCATAAATTGGTAAAGTTTTAAAACCTGTTGCGACAACCGTGCTGCTCTGAGGCTGACAGATTATATGCTTCTGCATGACTTTGTAATTTATCCGGAATCATTTTTGATACCAGATCAACAGGTTGGTAGTTGGACTCGACGTCTTTGTTCATACTTAAATCCTGAGCTGATGATGGAACCCTTTCATTAACTTGGGAGACGAGATTATGTTGGAAAGATATTAGATAACTCTATGATTTGTTTTGAAACAATGTCTGTTAGGGATAGCAACAATCTCGAGCTCAGTGATACACCAGGTCTAAAGCCACCAAGCAGTTAAAAACAATCACCTTAGTCAAAAGCACTTGTTTCGTGATTTGTAACAGCTTAGTTTGTTTGGTTAAGAGTTGACCTCAAACAACTAAGCATATGTAAAAACAGTATGGTTCAATATTCATTCACTTCCTTATTTTGTATAGGCGTGATATTTCCTATCATCTTATATTGAATGTTGAGAGGCTTTGTTTGTCTGAACAGGCAATCCCACGCTCCGCTGTGACTGTGCGAAGATCTAAAGAAACACCAATTCACTACTAGTCTGGTCTCTTCTATCAATAGCACTTGGGTTACCTACAGGTACAAAAGATTAACACTTAAGCAGTGAGGCAATGAGAAGTTTTAATACTAAAATCATCGGACGCATCTTAAGTGGCTGAACAGACTCTAAGGTATGGTCGTGCCTGATTTACGTAGTATCAGCTCTTTTACAAGAGTAGTCAGGGAATTATATTACTTCCTTTTGTTCTATTAATATACGAAAATAATCGCCCAGTGGAAGTACGGATTTTATGAGTGGTGAGAAATCTGACGATCAACGTTTTACACAAACTCCTGACCTTTCGACCCTCATACTTGAATGGTTCACTATTAGCCCACCAGGACCATTCGTTGGCATCACTTTTTTATATTTTGAGTTTAAGGAACTAATCGATAAATTTGATGATTAATCTACAATTGCTAAAAACGTTAATAAGTTTATAGAGTTCAAATAAAGTGGCTGCTAAGACACTGACCTGGGTATTTAATCTAATTATTCCTAGCCTGCCGTAACTCCATTCGGTAGGTCCTTCCTCATTTTTTCCCACGTTAATCTAAGTTTTATGAAGCTCCAACCCCTTGAAGTCGAACAGATCATCAGCTTGTGTAAATATAATGACTCAGATGGCATCCGACACAAAGTCCTGATGAAATTTTATGATCTTCTTGGCTTCTCTCCAGCAATTCTTTTCGAAGTCCTTTTAGTTAAGAGTGGACTACCCTCTGAATAAAAAGGAGGGCAGTTACACCTGTACCTCAGATAGATGACAATTTTGAAACGTTTAGTTTCCGGCCAGTTTCTTTTCTCTGCAGTGACGAAGGTAATGTTAAGAGTTACTGATGAGTCACTCTTAAATTACCTCCCCAGGATATTCACCTATGAATTGCAATGTGGTGTGCGATCTAGTTGGCTCTAGAACACGAAGTTGTAGGCTATCTATGAAAGCCGAACAATCCCACTGAAACAAAATCAACTAATGTACATTGTCATTCTGTCTCACGAACTGAAATATATAAGTATAACAATAATCAGACTTTATTCTTCGGTATTAAGGACAGTAGTTCAGGGGACCTGTGATAATCCCTGAAGCTTGTATCCCAATGAAGACCCGGGGTTCTCTCTGAAAATGTTCGTTGATAGGGCAAAGAAGTCAAGTGGGGATGACAAATTTATTGTTCTGTGCAAAATTACAGTGTCTTCGCAAAGTATGGGGACAATACATCTTCCGTCAATCATCTCTTTTAAAATTCATCGTTTCTTCATTTCTGTCGTTATTACAATTAGTATCTGATTATATTTCTACTCTCTTCAATTCGATCTTCTCAACCTTCTGTTGCCACTCATTCCACTCCTGATTGATGTTACATACTACTTATATATATCGACATAAGTAGCATACGTCACAAAACCACTTGTACAGATAAGGCATTTAAGTTATTATTCACTCAAGGAAAAGAATGGAACACCAATCTAAGTTTATTCGATCGCGGTTTTTGAACCTCCTTGCTGTGCCCTCGGAAACGACTAGCTCTGGATGGGGCAAAAACGTGAGGTATATGAATACCGAATTCGTTATGGAATGTATGGAGTGGAAATATTATTCCGCCTGATACCATTATACGATAGGAAGAAAATGGTCGGACGTTTTAAGCATCCATCGTAAGGGAGTTTGTGGAGACCCTTCATTAACGTTTTTCCTAAACGTTGAACATGTCTGAGTGTGTCACCATCCTCGCTAAGAAATGAAACAGCCACTTTGATGCAGTATTGTCGGTATAGTCTTACTTAATCAGAGTATAAAATCCGAAACATCTCGTCAGTTTTTTAATGCTCAGCGAAGCGACCCTAGCGCGCGAAAACGTTTGGCTGCTGATGCATTAAAATGTGCAGTTGTTTTTAAGCCATGACTTACATCTACTCCATAAGTCTTCGCGTTCTTACACACGTGGAGGAGGTGTACCGTTAACAGCATGTTGGTAATTATTGCCTTATCCGACGTGCATTGGTACACTCCTTCTAGAGTCACATTGTAGGCCCTAAATTTGAGACCATCTAACGAATTCAACTCATTTGGCTTGGACATCAGGATGATTAGCAACCCTATTTATTTTCACTCAGATTGTAACAGCGTCTGCAAATAGCAGTGGCGACGACTTAGACAGTTGTGGTAACTTACTGATGTAAAAAAAGAAACGTGGGGGATATTAGATGATTCCTTGTTATACGCTTCTTTTGGCCGGCTTCGATTCATATAGTGCCTCATTTACCCCCATGCTCTGTCTCCAGCCACAGAGGAAGTTTCTTATCCAGTATTGTACGGGACATCTTATTCCGAAGCTCGAGAGCTTCTGGATAAGATCTAAATGAGAAACTCCATCAAATGCTTTGCTAAAACCTACAGACGTCACATCGACAAACAAACTGTTATCTTGGGCTCCTGTCCAAGTCTCTCTCGGAACATGTGAGTTAGTTAGCCATGAGTGCTTATTTCGAAACTCGTGGTGCTCAGGTGTCAGCAGATTGTATTATTGTATATGACTCAGCAGCTTGGCCGGAAATATTTTTTCAAGTAACTCAGCTATTATGCTGATTAGACTGACAGGTCAGTAGTTAAAAACGATCAGCTTTTTTCAATATCCAAATGGAAGACTAAGTATAGCATCTTTTCAATTCCTGAGAAGTTGAGTGTGGGAAAGGGACATGTTGAACAGCATTGTGAGTGGTCCTGAAACAGTGTCTGCGAGAAATCTCAGCAACCATGGATGCAACTTATCAGGACCTGGTATTTCGCTAGGTCTGAGGTTAAGGACCAATTGAATAACAGCTTCCTTAGTCAAATATACAGGTTGCATAGCTAATATCTCAGTGATGAGGTTCGTTGATAATACCCGTTGAGTAGACTTTGCTGAAATAGTTTGGCACAGTCTAAGATTTGGCCAGAAATGATTCAGGCAACATGTTTGAATTTTCGTGTAACAACAATGAAGGAATGCCATCACTAAGCTTTGAGCTTTAGATGATGTTTTGGTCATGTACTACTATCATATGTCAACTGTTTTTCGAAAGTGGCGTGACAGCTGGCATTGGTCTTTTCACATATACTCTGTATTTTTAGCATTCATACTTAAATGATTCATGGCTTGTTGGCAAGGAACTTCCCAGAAGTGAGTTCTGCACTTCAACAGACTTCTGGTTTATTAATCGATCCGTGGAGGGCAATGTGATAGTCTACGTTTTGACCATGGAATAAACGGTAGTGTTACGGATTGAAATATGGTCCTAAACGTATTCCATTTGTTTTCGACAGACCCATCTACGAAGACCAACCAGTCTTTTGAGATGGCACAGTCTCTGATTACCGAAATGTTAGCTTGCCAGATATTGGGATAGTGTGGGGAAACTGCATACTGCTTCTTATGTGATCAAAACCTGATGTAAAGTACAAAATGCGATCACTACTTGCTAGTGAGAGAAGGTGCTGAATGTTGGTGACTTCATCAGAGTGGTGTAAAGACAAGGTCAAGTGTTGGCAGTTAGTATTTCAAGTCAACATTTGTCGGTTTGGCTGAACATTGAACAGGCGCACACCAAATAAAACATGACAGTAGGCCATTGTCAAAACACCCACTTGAAGTTGTAAGTCTGTCCGGTTGGTGTGCGGCGCCAACGATGCGAGAACGGCCGGCCTTATTTCAAGAACAAATTGTGGGGCCAGCCACCATGTTAAGGCCATATAACAGATTCTAGTTTTCGGACAGGCCAATTTAACCATTCTTCTTGATTCAGGTTTTGACCTTGTTAATTATTCGCTTATCAACCTTGACTGTTTTTATATGAGCGTATGTGTTCACATTATATCCTACTCATCGCATGTACGTAGCTTAATGTTATAAATATTGATTAACGCTTGATTAAATCGAGTTAGCTGTAGGTCCTTTCGTTTCGCTCCCTTCGCTTCATCTCCCTGATTGTCTGTCTAGATCAGTGAGAGTACAAAAAATATGTATTCAGAAATCCACACGCGTATTTGACTTATTTAATTCCATTATTCACCAATGCGATTTAAGTCGATAATTGTATACGAGGATTGATGGTATGAGTATTTCAATAACAGACAATCAGAAACAATCCAAATGGAATCAGATATCAGGCCATTAAAGTGGTGAGCCCGTCGACGTCGTCCGATCCAATTGGCTTCAAAACAACAGGCCACTAAAAGATATGACTTGGAGTCGATTCGTTAGCAAGACAACGTGAACTATGATATATTCCTCCTATAGTCACTATCCCATGTCTAGATTTAATTATATAACAAGCTATCCCACATGTCTACTATGGTGCACCTCTGATGTACACGATTTTACATGAAAGTGATCTCTAATATGTAATATTATCCTTCTTCACTTGCAATATACATTTCTATCCCCCTTAATGCAGATGTGTCCTGCAATGATTGGAAAACAGACTTATTACCTCGGAATCATGTACTTCTGATGACTTTTCTGTAGGTACATTTCTGGTAACAGAACCCACTAACTCCAAATTATGTGCATGTCTTTTAGCAGGGCCATTTCCTTCTGGTTTTTCAAGGTTCAAAATACCAAAAATAGAAACGTATTCGACTGTTGAAATTCGTGTTCACAGCCTTCCACTGTGTTATCATTTTCTTCCAGTTAACCACTGGAAGCTTTTCTTTATTTATCCTTCTGCTTTTGGCTTTCAGACGAATCCACTCACTGATAATGTCCAATTTTCTTGTGACAGGGTTCTGTTCTCTGTACATTTTATAGTTTTATTCATCTCATCTTCAGCGTTTGGAGTAAATGCACTTTCAGTGGCTGGTAATTTCTTTGTCCCGACGGTAAAGGACTTATTAGGGTTACGCGCAACAATGATCTGAAAAGGGTTTGTCTTCTGTTAGAGTGTGTTGAAAATTGTTGTCTAGACTTGTTGATCAGATGTAAGAGCTGAACTAACGACACCGGTGACTAAACTTGTTTCTTTTTCATCTGATGTCAGTCTCTATAAGTGGGTACTATCACTCGGTCACTTCTTCATCAGAATGAGGAGCTCCAAGGCCACACTAGAAGGATAACGTGTTCTACATAATCATGATGTAACTGGTTTAAAACAACGCTTATACACGGCCGACGATAAGTTGGTACACATTTTGTGAAGCCATTTCATGCATTGGTCACAATGCATAAGATCTTCAATGGGGAAGTGGCATAATAGTCGGCTGTATCGATGACGTTGAATCATCATTATAACCATTACGATGTGAACAAAACGAGAAAAGTTCAAACAGATATAAAACCCGACTCAGAATAAAAGCATGATGAAAATGGTAAATCACAGATACATACTAACAAAATGCTTCAAATAGTGGAAGGTGAAGTAAAAAACTTGGGAAAAACACTTCACAAACCCAAACAACTCCGAAGGCGTTATATAAGAGCCCAAAACTAGTCCCTGATACGATAGACACAAGGGGAATCTATTGTCTTAACACTTCCTTTTATCGAATCGCACGGCCCTTGTCCTCGTCATAACCAATACCACGTTTCAACTGCCCAAACGCAGATCTCAAGACGCAAAGGGTTTTTTAATTCTTCACAGATGATTTTAGGCTGAGGTATAGACAGTTTAAAAGTAAAATATATTTCTCAAGACGTTTGAAGTTTTCGTCACCTGGTAACAAACTCTGGCATTTTTTCAAAAATGGACGGGCAGACATGTGAAACAATTGGATTCAGTCACACCAATATATATCAGAATGCCACTTCTTTACTCAAAAACATATGTATTTCAAACTCAAAAAATAATGACCTCTTACATAGATGCGACTGTTAACAGTGGAAACATTCAGTCAATTACAGAAAGTGAAGTTAATAATATCAAGTCCTTAATAAATGATTTAAGATCACTCGTAGGTTCATTTAGGCTTCTTTGACTTTTGATAGCATAAAATGAGATGTTGCGCTCATCAGATTCTTGAAACGGAGTCCATCAAAACATCTGCTTTGAGGGTAAAGCTTCAGGAATTTAAAAAGCAAAAGGTAGAAGAAATTTTCGGTAAGACAAGGTTTTAATCCCACTATCCAAGCCTTAAAGACAAAAGAAATCTTGTGAGAATGCTGAATGAAAATGAATTGAAGAACCTAGAAGATTCTCTGAACTCCATTAAAAGTACTTATGAGGAAAGTGAACAGACACTTGAGCAACTTACTCGCATATTGAATTTATTAAGGTCAGATATTGGTCGAATCTTAGTGAATCACTTGTCAAAATCACCGACCTGTAATTGCTAATTGCTCCACTTATTAGTTTGTCTTGTAGTAGTATAAAGCCCGAAGAACTATGAAATCCTACGGCTCATATCCATTCAGTTCATAGTTCAAAGTACTTTTGACACAAACGATGGAGTATAAGGCTTTTTTAAACGTCTAGTTTGTGCTCCACTATGGCCCATTTGGAGAGCTTCTGCCCTTCTCAAGATTTTGGTGGACAAAATATATGACTTCAAAAATAATCAGTCTTCAGTAATAAGGATTGAAGGTCTATCGATTTATATTAATCGTTGCAGTTTGTAACGCTGTGGAGATCGAATCTTGTTTTAAATGTATCAACAGAAAATGCTGATATCACTTGTTCTGGGAGAGAATTCCAGTAATTCACTAATCGGTGCGAGAAACGGAACTCCAGACGTAAACGATTTGGTCTCGGTTCTTGAAATTTATTCAAATGTCCTCTCAAATGATCACTCCTAGACGGAAGTAAAAGATAAGGCATGTTAATATCTAGGTCATTGTTCAGTATATGATAAGCCAATATTAGATCTACCCGTATTCTTTGTTAAGATAACGGAAATAAGTTAAGATGTTTCAGTCGGTTTCCATAAGATAGGCCAGATAGACCTTTTTCTATCTTATTCATCCGTCGTTGAACTCTTTTCAGCACGTCTGTTTCATACTTCAAACAAGAACTCGCTGCTTGAATCCCATATTCCAAGTGTGGTTGCACGTAAATCGGGTATAATAATCTAAATATTTCGTCATCTAAACACTGTAAAGACTTACGAATAGACCATAATACCCCATATCCTTTTGCAGCAGCAGCCTTACAGTGACTAGTGGTTTTGATATCACTACTTAAGATGACTTCCAAATCTTTATAGTTTCTTACTTTGGGTAGTAAGAATCCACATATTGTGTAGTGATACGATTCATCATTGTTATTTAAATGTATCACCACACTCTTGTTAGGATTCACTTCAAGTGACCACCTGTCTAACCATGCCACCAATGAGCTAAGATCATTTTGTAATACTATTATATCTGACATACTATGTATGGGTCTCCAAATTTTTATGGCATCAGCGAATAGTAGAACAGATGATTTTGCTACAGTTGCTAATTCATTTACATAAAGTAAAAAGAGAGGAGGACCGAGGATTCTACCTTGGGGAACTCCACTTTTTACAGGTATCCACGAAGAAAGAGCCCCATTAACCCTTGTTCTTTGTCTTCTGTCATGGAGTAAGTTACTTATCCAATCTACGACTGTATAATGGATTTCGAAGCGTTCCAGTTTGAATTTAAGACCAGAATGAGAGACCTTATCGAAATCCTTACTTAGATCTATGAAGATCGCATCTACAGGAATATTCTGATATTTTGCAGCAGCCCAATCTTCTCTTGCAATGAAAAGATTTGTTAAGCACGATAGGCCTCTCCGAAAACCATGTTGTTCCCTGGAGAAAAGATTATGCTTTTCAACATAGTTTATAACAGATATCCGAATGATTTTTCCATCAGTTTTACAACTGCACTAGTTAAGCTTACAGGTCTATAGTTAGTAACTAAATCCCTACTCCCAGCCTTATACACCGGACTTATTATAGCGTCTTTCCAGTCTCTGGGCAGTCTGGACTGTTTCAGATACATGTCAAACAATATCGCTAATGGTTCAGCAATTACATCTGATATGACTTTCATAATCCTAGGATGAATATTATCAGGATCGCTGGACTTATCAGGTTTGATGTGCTGAAGTAGCCTTAAAACAGTACCTTTCTCAATGACCGCAGGATCCATCAATGAGCCATCACGATCATAATGAATCGTTGGTCGTACTTCATTAGTGATAGAAAACACTTTACTGAAATATCCCGATAAAGCTTCAGCTTTTTCGGTATCATCTTCTGCCAAGATTAACGGATTTTCTTGTATCAAAAGTGATGGAATTCCATCACGTTTCAGACTATATCTAGAATCCCCAACCAATTGTTTTTCGTATGATTGTCTAGTCTTACTTATTAAAGCTTTACAGGCATTCCTAGTCTTACAATAACTGGATCGGTATTGTTCTTAGCCAGTAGAGATGAACATACTCCAGTTCTTTTTCCTTTTTCTAAGAAGTTTCCTGACCGGTCCAGTTTTTCATGGTGGACTGTTATTTGGTCTACGCGATATCAGGTATAATATGAACTAAGCTAAACTTACCTTTAAATACAGACCATGCTTCTTCAACTGATAAGCTAGTATCTACAAACCAATCTGTCTTAGCAGCGTATTCCTGAATGGCTGATATGTTAGCTTTCCATACATTTAGGCGGGGTGTAACCTGATCGTATAACATGTCCCCAGTTCTAAAACGTGAATGATAAAACAGCGTGATTGCTGTTCACTAACGGTGGAACAATATTTAGGTCGACAATATCCTCAGTCTCATGAGTGATTATTAAGTCCAACAGAGAAGAACCTTGGTTGGCACCAAAACGTGTGGGTTTGGATACATGTTGCACTAGTGCATGCTCCATTATTGTTATCAGGGACCTACTATCAAATGAGTTTATATATTCTTCCGTGGTCATCTCAGTCCAACTAATATCAGGTGTATTAAAGTCTCCTAATATCAAACATCTGTTATTTGCAATCCATAGCTGAATGTGCTCTGAAATAAAGTCATCAGCTAAGCAAATTGGGCTGCGATAGATGACGCCGAGTATAAAATTATTGCAGAAAAGGGTTAGAGACATGGGACAATATGCCTAAATATAAATTATACACAAGGGAAAATATGAGATGTTACTCAAATTTTAGCAGAAGGCGTGTTCGGGTTCGTTTTTCGAGCTTGTAATCCACAGTTATAAGCAGTCAATGTTTCAAAATATGTTCGATATAATCTTAGATGTGTATCTAGATTAATCAAATAAGGAGAATACCAATATGATTTGTAAACACAGACGATGATTATGCTAGAGCCCTATTATCATGATAACTGATAAATGGGACCGAGAAGCATGTGTGTTAAATAATGTATTTGTGAGTGATAAACAATGTAACGTTTCTGTACTATATCCTTATATGCAGTCTTTCTTTTATATATTACCACCATTGACTTAACTACTCCAATGAATCCGGTGTTCATCTTGCTGTGTTAATGCAGTATGGCAACTTGGACCGATGCACACATGTGCCTAGTCCTACGTTTTAGCCGACTGACTGACTGAATATCACCTTGAATCTTTTATCCACTACCATTTAAATTCAATTACAAAATGATATTTAAGGAAGTATTTTCATCTTTATTACATTTGTTTTGGTGATTTGAATATTTTATCATGTTACACCCAAAGTTTGTTTGCATTCCGATGTCCATTAATCCAGACACATGTGTTTCAGCTACAGGATATTGTATCCAAACTCAACTATAACCTTTAAGCACTTCTTTTTTGTAGATATTTTTGGAGATTAGTGATTTTTAGCAAGGAATAAGTGCCAGTTACCACTCTTGTTAACAAATATATGCTGAAGTATGCACTAAGCTAGTTATTTTTTAAGTATTCCAGCTTGTGGCATTTATTGAAACAGGTTCAAAGTTGATATAATTTGATGAATAAATAGTATCTCAAAGTGGATGAGTTGTTGTCAGAGTGGTTAGAGCCTTAGAAACAACAGAAAGTATTTCTTAAGATGTATGAAGGAGTCATACTAATATACCTTAAATTCCAAACATTCCAATGTCGGACCTATTCGCCTTCTCAATCTGTATGACTTGCTAGTAACACTTCTCATAATTACACAAAGTATATTCAATTGAAAGTTTTCTATGACTTTCAAAAATTCGATTAATGATAAGGGTCTTCAGGTTGTAAACTAAAGTTTAACTAACCTTCATATCTATCTTTTAGACTCATTCATCATTTGCTATCTTGATTTTCATATATTTCACTTCTACTGGCTTCATGTTTTATCTCCGTTACTTTTCTAATTTAAACTGTCATGATAATAATTTATCAGATTTTTATATCATTAATTTAATAATTGAATTCATGAGTAGATTAAAACTAGACCACTATTGAAAACTTGGAAGCACTGAACGGCTCTTACGTCCTATCATCAAACTCCTCAACAGTATGCGTTCATGACCCCTTTCACGGGATTTGAACCCAGGACCTTCGGTCTTATACACGTACCCTTAAGTTTAAGACCATTGAGCTGGTATGTAATAGTGTTAATGTTTAACTTCAATCGATTCATTAATTTTCAAATTTCTCCATTTATTTCATTTCATTTATATTTAGACTTCATGAATTAAGGTCAAATGAAGAAAACAGTGTTACAATTGAAGCTTTAAATAACTGCTTAGATAATAAAGCAAACAAACAAATATTTTTGAATGAAAAAATTGAAGAAATTGAAATGACTGAATTGAAGGTAATTCAATGTTATTATTATTAGTATTAGCGGCTTCATTCAATATTATATTGTTGGTATAATATAGAATCTTCAGTATAATGTATTTCAACAAGTTTCCGTTCCCTATTTCTTGATCGATCCTGACGATAACATATTGAGTGGTTGGAATTTATATCTTAGCAGTCCAGGAATCGACATTTGCTACTTATTGCCAGCAACCATGATGTTTCTGATTGAGCTCTTTTGTAAATTGTACAACGACAGGTCGTAAAATTTCCAAAAACGTACCTGAATAGTTTATGCAACTAATAGGCGTAATGATGTATTAGAACACACAAAATTAGATAACTTATTGAAATATATGGATAACAGGAACAGGTAGCCCAGATATTCAAGCAGGCCGCCATCATTCAATTTCTGTAAACAGATACCATTTTAAGTAAAAATGGATGATGGCTATCAGTAGAATCCAGTTTGACGCGTGTTTTGTCCTATTCGGGACTCTTCAGTTGGATGTACCTGCATCCCAGAGTTGATGTTCACTCTGAGGCTCGAACACAGTACCATTCGCTTCAAACGCCATCGCGTTATCCACTTAGCTAATAAGTCCTGATAGCCACTTGCTTATGCAATGGAGTGAAGTTTAAATTTACTTCGCATTGTTTGTTTGAATCGTTCCATTGATGTTTAGGACTTTAATTGATCAGACTCATATTGGCATATGTGCATCCTGTGTGGATTGCCTCGATATAGCCTTAAGTGATAGGACTTAGTAGCTAAATGGAGAACGCAATGGCGTTTGAAGCGAACGTTACTGGGTTCAAGTCCAGGAGTGGACATCAACTCTGCAATACAGGTGCATCTACCTGACGAGTCCGGAATAGGACGAAACACGCCATAAACCGGATTTCACTGCTAGCCACTACCCATCTTTGTTTAGTCTTCTTTTGTTAATGAAATTTATATTTTAATGGTTAATAATTGTAAATAGTTCTGTTATTAGAAAAAAAGCACATTGCTTTTGGACAGGTGAAAGAAACTCAAAAGATGCTAGATGAGTTAAATGCAGATATAACAGAAGAACGTAGAAATGCAGTAAGAAAAGTGATCAAATTAGAAGAAGAAACGGTAAACATTGTCTTTTTAATTTTGTTTGACTATATTTACTACTTACTAGTTTTAAAGTAACCAGATTACATTACAAAAGAAATGTAACATGTAAATAAGTAAACCGAACATTCCTAAAGTCAGAATGAAGTGATTGTTTAATACTGATATAACTTCCAGTAATTTTTACCGAGCAGTTAGTTCATACATACGGAGGAACTTCGGGTTTAATCAAACTTAGAAGTGGGTTATTTCAATCACTAATAAAGGAATTCAGAAAATAATTAGGGAATGTAATATTGGAAACTAGAGGGTATGTTTCACCATCAAACTGATGATACCTCATTCTTTTAGATATTTTGACTGAGATATTAATATTACACTATTTAGAAAGTACATTTAAGTAACTTGCGTGATTTTCCAATTTCTTTCTATCTCCCAGAGTAAAATTTGTTTCTAATGTTTAGTATTTAGTGTATGTGATCTAAATTGACGAGAGTTATTCTGGTTTGTCATTAAGAGTAGAGTACCTCTCAGTTGAAAATATTGGAAATAATTGACAAATCTGTGGTTTATGAGTCAAAACTACATGTGACTGGTGAGTAACTAAAAGTTGGCTTGCAGCAATTATATTTTGCTCCTAACTTTAAGAGATTACAAATAGTATTTCCTCACCCTGTGTTCCATTCTTTTTTTCGCTGTTTAGGATACTTGATGCCTATTGTCTTACTAGTGGTTTAAAATCTCGTTATATACTCTATCTCTTAGTACATGTTTTATTTTAATTAATCCCTTCTAGTGAGTCAAATAAGTCTTCGAGTTAGAATTTAACCTGATATTCTGCATTAACCAAAGCTTCGGAGAAAAATTATTTGTCTACATTCGTTGTTATAGGTACGGAGTTCTCAGGGTATATATGTTATATCCCGATGAGAATAATGAATGGTAACTATTGGAATCTATTTATGGATTAATACGATACATATAGTTTTATTGTATAATTATCAAGTAGCTAAACTATGCATATTCATATTCCTCTTTTTATAAGCTTTATTTTGACCTACGAACTATTATTATACCATTTACCACAGAGGGATTAGTTTGACTAATATAGTATCTAAAATACTAGCTTCGATAATTTTCGGACGCCTAACTAAAACTCGTGAGCTGCAAACACGTGAAAATCAGGCTGGCTTCAGACCTGGTCGTGGCTGCATCGACCACATATTCACCATTCGTCAGGTTCTAGAACACAGGCATACTTATCGGCGTCCGACAATGGTGGTATTCCTTGACTTAAAAGCAGCGTTTGACTCTGTTGACCGAGAGGTTCTGTGGCAGTGTCTGTCATTGAAAGGCGTACCTCAGAAGTACATAAACCTTGTGAAGGCTCTTTACTCGAACACTACTAGTCGGGTCAGAGCCTATGGCGAACTGTCATCTGCTTTTGCAACCTCAAGTGGCGTCCGTCAAGGCTGTCCACTTTCTCCTTTTTTGTTTAACTTTATCATAGACATCCTGATGGAAATAACGCTCTCATCGACTGACTTCTCGGGTATTGATCTCCTACCAGGAGGTCCACTTATTGACTTGGAATACGCAGATGACATAGTCCTGTTTGGTGAAGACGCTGACGAAATGCAGAGTCTTTTGTTAGCACTGAGCAACAATGCCCGATTGTTTGGGATGCGCTTTTCTCCCTCTAAATGCAAGTTGTTGCTTCAGGACTGGTCTGCATCAACACCTGAACTAAGGATAGGGGGTGAAGTAGTCGAACGCGTTGACAACTTCACTTATCTTGGAAGTCTGATCAGCCCTAATGGGTTGGTGTCTGACGAAATCTCATCACGGATTCGAAAAGCTCGCTTGGCCTTTGCCAACTTACGTCATCTATGGCGAAGGCGAGATATTCGTCTATCAATTAAGGGACGAGTATACTGCGCGGCAGTTCGTTCCGTCCTTCTATACGGCTGCGAAACATGGCCTTTAAGAGTGGAAGATATTCGTAAGTTACTAGTATTTGACCACAGGTGCCTTAGAAATATTGCGGGTATCTGCTGGGATCACCGGGTAAGTAATAGTGAGGTTAGACGCAGGGTATTAGGGAATGATGGTAAATCAGTTGATGAGGTTATGAATCTTCATCGACTGAGATGGTTGGGCCACGTGTTGCGTATGCCTGAACACCGATTACCACGACGCGCAATGCTGACTAGTGCAGGGGATAATTGGAAGAAAGTTAGGGGCGGCCAAACCAAAACGTGGCATCAGTGCTTGAAGTCACTAACTTCTGGTCTGAGTCATGTTGGGAGATTCAGACTGCCTGGTTGGGGTCCGCGTGACTATCGTAACCAATGGTTGGAGACTCTTGGTGACATGGCTCAGAATCGATCACAATGGCGTCGGTGTATACACTCTCTGTCTTCCTTAAATTAAGAGATTAAAATCGCTTCATATCTGTCTAGGAACTAATTCTTTCTTCCTGTACTATCTCCTTATACACAATCTTTCTTCTATAGATTACCACCACTGAATTAACTACTCCTATGAATCCGGTGTTCATCTTGTTGTGCTAATGCGGTATGGCAACTTGGACCGATGCATATACGTGCCTGGTCCTACGTTGCAGCTGACTGACTGACTGACTGATTTACCATACTTAAATTATACCCTGTCCATCAATTCTTATCTCCCACATTTGTCTAAATCTTTTACAAATGTTGTTTTCTATTTTATGGTACGATGTGGTCTGTTTGGTTTGTATATGAATCCAGTATGTTTGAAATACATGATTCACATAACAGAGGCTGAAATTGGTGTTCTGGACTCAACAAGTAGGGCTAGGCAGAAAGAAGGACTGATAAGGACTCTAGACTGCTCGTACGGATTCTATGCGTCATTTGAACGGTCGATAAAACCACTGTTCTCTAATTGGTGGTGTCATTACGTTATACATTGATAGGGGCACAAACCCACAAGTTATAACATTATATATAAGTCATATTTATAGATGCTGATTCCCTAATTAGGGTTTGTGTGATAAACTCTGTCAGTGGTTGGAAACGTTGAAGAACATCGTTCAGAACCGGTCACAGTGGAGAAGGTTTATTCAACCTTTATGATACATTAATCTTTCTCATATACCTCTTCATTTCTATACAAACTATATTCTTAACGTTTAATCTTTCACAGTATCATTAACAATACAGTTACTTCTACCATTTCTCTATTCATTCCGTACGTATCCAAAAGTCCATTCTCGTTATTTGACTTATTTAATTCCGTTATTGACTAACGCGATTTAATTCGATGATTATATATGAGGATAGACGACATATGTATTTTGACAACGATCATTCATACGATCTACTTGGAGTCAGATCCCGGGCCACTAAAGTGGAGAGCCCGTCAACAAACATCGTCCGATCTAAATGATGACAAAATAACGAGCCCCAGACCCTCATTTCAGTCAGTCAGGAACAACGTAAAACTTCGTACGCACATACATCAGTTCAAATTGTCATACCACGTTAGCACAGAGATGCAGTTGTCGATTCAAACCCTCATTTAGCCGTAGTGTGTAGGTGGACATTCTCAAGGTCTCTTGAGCGTCGCTCAAAGCTCGTCCATAAATTATGGTCTCACCGAGATTATATTCTCTGATATATTCCTTTGTTTTTAAAAAAATGACCGCAAGTTCTTTGGCTTCCGTTTAGTTAAATCAAAACCCTCACCCTAATAAAATTTTACTAATTTGATGATTAACATTATTAATTGATTACCCTAAAGATGGTGGAGAAGATTCATAGCTCAGGTGGGTGATTTTTATGGACTTTTTGTTCTCTGAGCTGGATGGTTTAGCAGTGGAGCTTTCATCGTTCTTATGAACGATATCAGCAGCACCATCCAGCTCAGAGAACGAAACTCCATCAAAAACAGGATTACCTTTAAAGATAGCATTTTATTAAGGTGTAATTTTGTTTGTTTTTTTATTTGCAGAAAAAGCTGAAAAAAGCGCTCAGTGTGCAACATGAAAAAAACAGAAAATTAGAAATGTAGGTAAACGTCGAATAAATTTTGTTAAATATGGTGGAGGAGATTTGTAGCTCAGGTGGATGATATTGATGGAGTTTTGTTCTCTGAGCTGGATGGTTCAGTTGTGGAGCTTTCATCGTTCTTCTGAACAATATCATCAGAACAAACTTCAGATAGAAGTGAAGTGTTCGAATATCTTGACATATGGCTTATAGCTCCTCCTGTAGAACTCGATTTTAATTGATTATTGTTGACCTCTAACCTATTATTATTTACTTCTTTATCTTGGTTATATCTCCCATTGATTTGATTCTTGGTCCTATAATTTTTCCATAACTTTTCTGATTTGTTTATAAATCGGATCGATTTAAATGTGTTTGTTGATTGATGATTGATCTGAGTCCCATGCATTTTAGAATTTCCTTCATCCAAGATATCAACATTTTCCCAGTCGAATGTGTGCCCGCAGTTGTTCACGTGCATTGATATGAGTGAAGAGATGTCATGGTGTTTGACCACTAACTGATGTTCATACAGGAGAAGACGAAGAATGCGTCCGCTTTGTTCGACTGAAAAAAATGTGGAAATCTTAGATGGAGGTAATTTTAAAAACACCGGAGAATTTTTAAAAGTTTGGCACGCAGATCACTCAGCAATCAACAAACACATTTAAATCGATCCGATTTATAAACAAATCAGAAAAGTACTGGAAAAACTATAGGACCAAGGATCAAATCAGTGGGAGATACAACCAAGATAAAGAAATAAACAGTGACTGGTTAAATGTCAACAATAATCAATTAAAATCGAGGTCTACAGGACAAGCTGTGAACCATATGTGGAGAAATTCGAACATTTCACTTCTACTTGAAGTGTGAGCTGATGACGTCGTTTAGAAGAACGATGTAAGCTCCACAACCAAACCATCCAATTCAAAGAACAAAAACTCCACCAAAATATTTTTTTAAACTTGGGAAGTGTGCATTTTAATCCTGTTCATGGACTTGCTCATTTGACTCGCACGCTCACTCACTTGCCTGCTTGCTCTTCGGCACTACTCTTTCATGTTTGCTTAACGTACCTGTAATTTTGCTTATCTGTGCATGATGCAATAATAAACGTAATCAATGCTTTGTATTTACCTTCTGATTAATACACCACTAAGGTATTATCTAGTGACGATTATCAGGACGAACTATTATTTATTTGTTTGAACACATAAATATTGATACAAGGGGGCACCAAATATATATGAGCCACACAAAACAGTGAGAATTTAAGGAGAAGGAAAAAAAAGGTAAGGAGCATAGGGAATTATATATATATATATATATATAAGAGAACAATAACGATTAAATTAGTGTAAGGTAATGTAATAGTAGTAATAATGGGGGAAACGAAAAGATACAACCAGGAGAAATCTTTCAGTTAAGGAAGATACAACCACTTTTTATGAAGAAAGTAAAAGAAGGTTACAGCAGGATCGCCACTGGCTTCTATTCTGAGCCACATCTGATAACGTCTCTAGCCACTGCGTTACACCGTCTCTCGGACCCTAACCAGGGAGTCGCGAAGGACCAACACAAGCCAGCCCTTTGCAGCTTTCTTTCATGCCACGACACCATGTCATACACTGACCACCTCTCCTCATTTTCCAACCAGTCCCAGAGTCGGCAAATAATGCACGACGTGGAATTCTCTGGGACGACATTCGTAGAACATGTCCAAGCCACCGAAGTCAGTGTTTCAAGATGGTGACACCAATTGGATTGTCGTCTTTGTGCCCGAACACAGGATGCTGAACCTCTGCATTACTAACATGGTGTTACCACTGGATGTCAGCAATCCTTCGGAGACAGCGATGATCGAACACAGAGAGTCGTCTAACATCCTCAACTCGGAGAGGCCAGGTTTCACAAGCATAGAGCAAAACTGCTCTCACCGACGCGTTGTAGATCCGACCTTTTACAGCCAGACTAACATCACGAAGACGTCAAAGATGGCCCAGATTGGCATAAGCCGCTCTGGCTTTCACTATACATGCATTGTTCTCATCACTCACGCCACCACCAGCACTTATGCAGTTACCCAGATACACGAACTTCTCGACTACTTCTATCTGCTCACCGTCCAGAGTGAGTAGAGGATTAGAATCCTGCCAGTCTTGTAGAAGTACTTTGCACTTTGAAGGAGCAAAGCACATACCATAACTACGGACACTGATTGCCAACTGATTAAGTGCGGATTGCATGGCTTGGGCATTCTCGCACAGTAAGACAATATCATCCGCATACTCAAGGTCGAAGAGTCTTTCTCCAGGCAACAGATCCACACCACCATTACTTACATCTATCAGAGCTGTTTCCAGAATGTCATCGATGGCAAAGTTGAAGAGCAGTATCATCGATGAACACGGTGGATCTGATACAGATGTGAAGGCACGGATCGGCAAACAAGAGCAGCATATTTACAACTGAAGAACATCTGGAGCTCAAAACGATTGGCAACCAACACCAAGGTCAGAATTTTCAATACAAATGTCAAGACAGTTCTACTGTATGGGGTGGGAACCTGGAAAACCACGAAAGCCGTCATCCAGAAGATACAAGTGTTTATTAACAGTAGTCTACGCAAAATACTTCGTATCCGTTGGTCAGACATTATCAGCAACAACCTACTGTGGGGGAGAACAAATCATATCAAAGTGGAGGAAGAAATCAAGAACAATAGCTGGAAGTGGATAGGACACACATTGAGGAAAACACCCAACTGCGTCACGAGACAAGCCGTCACATGGAATCCTCAAGGTCGAAGGAGTAGAGGAAGACCAAAGAAGATATTACGCCGGGAAATGGAGATAGATATGAGAAAAATGAACAAAAATTGAATGGAACTAGAAAGGAAGGCCCATGACAGAGTGGGTTGGAGAATGCTGGTTGGCGGTCTATGCTCCATTGGGAGTGACAGGCGTAAGTAAGTAAGTAAGTAAGTAAGTAAGTAAGTAAGTAAGTAAGTAAGTAAGTAAGCAAGTAAGTAAGTAAAGCGCCGGACATTCGCTTTTCGTCCTCTCATTTTCGTAAACAACACCCCCACCACGAGAAGGCAGTGAGTAGGACTTCCCTGGCTGAGGCTGTATACGCGTGGCCGTGTGAGAGTATTTCGAGAGGGAGGGAGAACCCACCCCACTCTCGGCCATACCAGGGCATATGGGGGTGAACTATATATGAAGTTTAAGGATTCTATTGAATATCGACCATTACAGTCTACTTAACGTCTTTCACTTTAAATAATTAGCCTAATAGAACTCATGTCCTTTTTCTATTGCTTCTGTATATCTGTAAATACTTTTAGTAATTGTGTAGCTACATTGATGAATACTGTCATAATGATATTTATGTGTATTTTGTGTATTATACTCTGAAAAGAAGTCATTTGACTTAACAATGAAATGTTTGAAAGCGTAGATTGATGAATGTTGTATAATACTGATTAATATTATGGTTACTTTCTTCATCATCATCTTCATCATCAACTTCGTCATCATCTTTGTCATCATTATCATCATCTTCATCATAATCATTATTATTCACTTCACAATTTTGTATTTTAATAGACCACATCAAGAAGTTAGTGAAATATTACGTTGTAAAAGATTTGAAGAATTCTCATTATCGAATAGTGTTGATGAATTATACAATAATATTCATGAATGTAAAGTTCGGAAATCCGCTTTATTAAATACAATTCAAAAGAAAGAAAATGAAATTGAAACAGCTGAAGAAAAACGGTTAGTTAATTGTAATTAGTTGTGTAGTGATTGATAGTATGTCAATTTCATATGGGTTATTCTAGTTTCCAGATAGACCAATTTACGACGAAACGGCCATCCAGTACTTCCAGGTTTCCCATGGTGTTCTAGTTTCAATTGACTCATGATCTCAACCATTGAAATTATTCATTCTTCTTGAGTTACATGTTGACCGGTGAGACTATAATTTATGGACGACCTTTGAATGACCTTGAGGGTGTCCATCTAATAACTAGCACCAAATGAGGATTATAAACCACAGTGTGAAGAATTAGAATTATGATTTACAGTTGATGATTAAGGTTAGGAATTAGTTTTAGGGTTTTCATCATCAACTGACATAAGCTAAAATGTCAAAACGCTATTTAGCCAAATGGATGAGTGAATTTCGCTCCAAAATCCGAGACCAGTTATCTTATCCCTGATTGGTTCGTCCACAAATTATAGTCTCGTCTGTTGACCTTCTTAATTGTTTGCTTAACAACTTTGAGTGTTTTTCTGTGAACTTATGTGTGTACATTGCTCATCTTATTCATCGCATGTCTGTAATGTATTTTTACTTGACTATAAATATCGATTCATACTTGATTAAATCGAGTTGGCTCACATGCCTTCTCCGATTTCGTTTCGTACTCACCTCTTTGCTTCGTTCCCCTGATTGTCTGTCCAGGTCAACGAGTGTACGAAATATGCCAATCCAAACTCCATTCTCGTATTTGACTTATCTAATTCCGTTATACACTAACGCGATTTAAGTCGATAATTATGTAGGAGGAATGATGGTATGTGTGTTTCGATAGCAATCATCATAGGATATAACTGGAGTCAGATATTGGGCCACAAAAGTTGATAGTACATTATTTCATCCTTACTACCCATTTATCTTTCTTATAGTTAACACCCCGGATTAATCTTTGTTAAACAACTTCTGATGATCAAGAAGCAGTGGACAACAGTTTCTTCTTGTTTATGGACTCCTCGCCAATTAGCATCCACAGCCTCTCTATAGGAGATCAAGGCTTAGGTCCTTCGGTTCCATGCGCGAACGCCTGACCTTTAGATCAATGAGCCAGCATATAGTGGCTTACATGTTTAACTTCGATCGATTGTTAATATCCAGCAACCATCTTCCAATGTTACTTGATGGATAACTGCCTCATACTCGAAATGGATAAACTCCACTGATCACGGCTTCTCACTAGGATTCCGGAATCATCTCTCAAAATTAGTCACTAGTCGGCACATAATCATTAGTTACCGTAGGCTATCTGCAGAGATTTCTTTTTTTACAGTTAACACCTAGGCCTGATCTTTGTTTGTATTTATGAGGGAGACCAATAGTTCAAGGATTGACCGCTGGCGGTGGAGTCACAGACTCATACTTCTGAGAAGTCCCATACTACCACGAAACAACTTTCCAGTATCATTTAATTTTCAACAGATCAGTTCGGAATGCTAACTATAAAAATCCAAAGATCTACATGAACTCCCTATCGTAATCAACCGATTAACATTTTAATTAATCTTGGATCAAAAATTGGTTGATGGATAGATATAAACACATGGAGTGTGCCGAAATTGGCTGATTGTTTGTCACTGACTCTACAGTGGTATCAAAATAGGTCGGGGTCATTCTTACTATGAATTCTTGTATATCGAATCAGTTAAGAGTAGATTTAGTTGTGGGATAAACTGAAAAAGTTAAAAAAAACCCACCAATTTAGTTCATTTTTTCCTTATGTTAGATATCTGATGATAAACAGTGAAACCATTATTCACTGGATAAATAGTGGATTGGTTGAAGTTAGACATTAACATAGTTGGATGCCGGCTCAGTGATCTACAGGTTAAGCGTTCACGAGTGAGACCGATAGATCCTGGGTTCGAATCCCGCAAGCGAGATCGTGGATGCTCACTACTGACGAGTCTCGTACTAGAATGAAACGGCCATCCAGTGCTTTCAGGTTTTCAGAGGTGGTCTGACATTCATCGATCACATAATCTTAATAAAAAAATTAGTCTAGAGTTTGACTCATTGAACTGTAATAGTTGACTCATTTTACTTCATTCATAGAGTATTTAGTTCTATTGTCTAGTTAATGCATAGTTATTTCATTTCACGTTGATACCTATCAACACTGCACATACCTGACTATACATAAGACTGAATAAGGAAACCTAAATATTTCTACCTTTTGACTGTTATCCAAATATTTCTAATCTATGCTTAAAACAATCTTTAAAGAGATTGAAATTTCTGTAAAGCAACCTTATTTGCATAAGATTTAAAGATTTACACTATCGAAATGTACATTTTAAGTTTTTCTTGAAATCGACAAGATTACAGGAAACTTTAAAGAAGACAATCAGAATAATGGCACTTCATTATAAATACGAAATATATTCGATGTACTCTTGAAGGATCTTAAGTTGTAGTGGTGTTTACGATAACATTCAGCTACTGTAGTAAAACATTACTTGTAATGGTTTAGTGTAATCAGTGAGTAATTACCCCACTTTCAACTTCATTCACTACAGGAATAACCATTAATCATTACTAACTCAGTTACTAAGTGGAGTATAAATATGAATATACATATCAATTGAAGTCTTGAATTTTTGTTTTAAAATGATATTTTCTTTAAACGATCCAATTACCCTAAAATATTTCAACGTAAATTAGTAGTTGAATTCATGAAACAACTAAATGTAGATCACCATGGAAAATCTACAAGCACTGGACGGCCGTTTCGTCTTAGTACGAGATTCCTTAGTAGTGCGCATCGAGGATCCCGCTCGCGGGACTCCAACCTAGAACTTATTGGTATGCGAATGTTTAACCTGTAGACCACTGATCCGGCATGTAACGGTATTCATGTCTAACTTTAACCAATTTACGAAATTGAGCCATCGTTCACCATTGTCTTCAGTGTGATACTGTTTCACAACAGTCCCGGTTCAAATCCACTAGTCAATGCTTCTCATTAGAACTATAAAAAATCCATCTTGAAGCTAGTTACTAGTGAGCATATGATTCTTATCAGAATGAATGGGGATCGTGAATGCGCGCTTCTGAAGAGTCCTATACTAGAACGAAACAACCATCCAATGCGTCCAGATTCTCCATCATGATTTAGCTTTCATTGATTCATGAATTCAATTATTAAATTACTATAATCTTCACAAAACTCCTTTCTGATTGTAAATATTTATTCTATTTCTTTCACACCGTTTCTATATTATTTCTACAATTGTTATTTATTGATTTCAGTGATTTCATACAACAATCATTAAATAAAATGTTAGAAGAACATGAAGAAAGTTTAGAAAATATAAGAAAAGAATTGAAAAAAGTGAGTTATAAATTCTTCTTCTTCTTTTCCTTTTCCACCTTCTTCTTCTTTTTCTCCTCCTTCTCCTTCCTCTCTCTCTCCACCTTCCTCTTCTTCTCCTTCTTCTCCTTCTCCACCTTCTTCCTCTTCTCCTCCTCCTCTTTCTTCTTCCCCTTCTCCCTATTCTCCTTCTTTACCTTTTTCTTCTTCTTCTTCTTCTTCTTATTATTATTATTATTATTATTATTATTATCAGTGTCTTTATTCAATATTATATCTTTTGGTAAAATATAGAATTAATATCAGAAGAGGTTTTGTGGGTATTATAGTAGTTTAAATGGCTGAGATCATGAGTTAATTGAAGCTAGACCACCATGGAAAACCTGGAAGTACTGGACAGCTATTTCGTTTTAGTAACTCACTGAAGACAATGGTGGACGGTTGCTCAATTTCGTGAATTGGTTAAAGTTGGACATTAACACCGTTAGATGCCGGATCAGTGGTCTACAGTGCTCCCAGGTTTTCCATAGTGGTCTAGGTTCAAATGACTCATGATCTCAACTATTAAAATATAGAATTCTCAACACAAAGTAATTTCAACAAGTTCCCGTTTCTTACTTCTTGGTCGATCCTAAAGACAAATATTGAGTAATCTCCAGTTAGATTTTAGCAGTTTAAGAATCGACATTTGAATAATGTTTATTATATTCAATACATATTGCCAGCCATTACGATGTCTCTAACTGTGCTTTGTTGTAATTTGTATCGAGAAAGGTCGTAAACTTTTCACACACGCACCTGAATAGATTATGCAATTAATTGACAATAATGATCTGTTAAAACAAACAAGGAAACAGATAACCTGTCGAAATATCTGGATGACAAGCACAGGTAACCTAGATATTCAAGCAGCCCGCCTAGTTAATCCCAAAATAGTTTCCATATATATATTCTCCTTAAAATAGAATAATCAGAATATATATATGATCGTGAATGCGCACTTCTGAGAAGTCTAGCACTAGGATGAAACGGCCATTCAATGCTTCCAGCTTTTCCATAATGGTCTAGCTTCAATTGATCTCAACTATTGATATTACTATAATACCCATAAAACATCCCTTCTAACACATATGTTTGCTCATTTTAAAAGCTGATCAAATACTGACTAATTTATAGTGACCTTCCATTAGTTATTCACTAAACATAATAATAACATTAATTAAACCACCTACTGATTCGGTGGTTTTCTGTTTTGAATTTCCATTATTTTATGATGAATGAGTATTTAAGGTATTGGAGGTTCCATTAATCATTTGATCAAATAATTTCAGAAGATTTGGATTATGACCAGTAGTGAATAACCATTTCATCCTATTTAAGACTTATCAGCTGTATTTATTCAAATCTTACAATTCTCAATTCAAATATGACAAAGAAGTAATGTCGAGGCATCTCTTACATGATTGTTTAAGAGATCCAGAAAACTTCTCGTAAAAAGCTAAGAAAAGATTTGAAAACATTGAGAAGCATCTTATCCAACCAGAGTTCAGTAGAAGTTGAAAGTGAAATGTCACATGTCGAGTTTTTGATTAGATGATTACTTATACTGCTACTATGTTTAGTAGCATCTCAGAATTTTCGGGAAAACCAAGGACATCGAAAATACTATAAAAACCCTATATTTTCTGTACTAAAACGAACTTTTGGAGTAAAGTGTTTCTCACATATTTCGCACCTTTTTTTTTCGTGTTCAAGTTACTGTGTAGATCTAGCTTGTGGGGTTACTAGAAGAGCTTAGAAACCAAATCTAGCGTTCAATTATTAAGACTTATCAATGATGCCTTATGTATCAGCAAAGAATGATAGAAATTCAATCATAGGAATCTATTACAAACCTTACGTATAACTAACAATGTTCATTGGTTTAATAAAGCCAAACTTTGAGATGGTTCCAAGTGTTTTGTTTACTTAGTTGTCATAAAGTAAATTTGATTTTGTTGTATTTTAAGTGATTGAATACTGAAATGATCTTCATAATTTCCAAGAAAATTTTTGAACGGTTTCAATGTTTACCTTAAGATGTAAAATCAGGTTTGAAGCGGAGATATTTTTATATACTACAACTCTATTAACTAAGTTGGTATGTATGGGAATGACTCAAAACTAGTCTAAGTGATGTTGATATATTCATCATTTATATCCTGACTTTAAATATACATACGTGGAGAAGATTTGTAGCTCAGGTGGAAGATTTTGGTGGTTTTGTTCTCTGAGTTGGATGGTTTGGTCTTCTGAACGACATCATCAGCACAAACTTTAAGTAGAACCGAAATGTTCGAATTTCTTCACATATGGTTCACAGCTTGTCCTGTACACCTCGATCTTGATTGGACAGGACAAGCTGTGAACCATATGTGGAGAAATTCGAACACTTCACTTCTATCTGAAGTGTGTGCTGACGATGTCGTTCAGAAGAACGATGTAAGCTCCACAACCAAACCATCCAGCTCAGAGAACAAAACTCTACCAAAATATACGTACATGCAAAACTTCTGTTTGTTCCTTTTTTACAAATTATATTCTTTATGCTTTGTCTTTTTTATTATCATTGTTATTTCCACTACGTTGACTCTTTCATTGTTCATCTTGGTCTGTTGGAATGGTGTAACAACTTGGGTGGATGCATATTTGTACTTGCTCTGACCTTATGTTAGACAAAGGAATTCTTTTGTTTTTCATCTCGAATACAGTAATGGCACCAATATATATATATATATATATATATATATATATATATATATATATATATATATATATATATATATATATATATATATATATATATATATATATATATATATACCATAATTTAGTAAAAATGTAACCTTTGTACTTGAGTTCTTAACTAGTATGGAATTGCACAAGGAAAATACATTGGAAAACTTGCGTTCAATGATTTATTAAGAAGATGAACGTGTAGTGGGTAATCCTATGTCGAGTGTATGTATGTGTGTATGCACTCCATATCTCATTCATCACATGTCTGTCACCTATTTTTATCTGGCTATAAATATTGATTAACTCTTAATTAAATGGAGTTGGCTCACACGCGTTCTCTACTACGCGTCTTTTCGTTTCTCTTCGCTCTCTGTCTCTTTTCCTCGTTTCCTTCACTTCGTCCCTCTGATTGCCTGACCAGATCAATGAGTGTACAAAATATACATATTCAAACATCCATTCTCGTATTTGATTTACTTAATTCTGTTATACACTAAAGCAGATTAAGTTGATAATAATATACAAGAATATTCACGATGTATATTTCAGTAGCAATCATTTATTGAAGTCAAATCCCAAGTCACTAAAAACGTATTCAATGAGATGATTGAAAATATTAGGTATAGAAACTGTTATCTCATATACTGATCTTTAGGTGGTGACATTGAGTAATCAACCATTGAACATAAAGCAACAGATACAATTCAGTAACTATTGAAAGAGAGATTTCTTTTCCATAACAGACTGCATGTAATCAGATTGAATAGAGTATTTTCTACTTCTTTTCATCTGTCATATCATTTGGCGAAGCTAACATCTATGATAGCTACTACGTATTCATGAAATAGTTGAAAAGGTATGTTTTAATTCAAATAGAAAAGTAAAGTGTCGAGTAGTGTTAGTGAGAGAAAAAAACACTCAAATCCATAGTTTATGTGTGAGCAATAATAGAAATAAGAGATAGATAGTGATTTATTGTGGATGAATGAAGCCGTTGGGGTTAGGGGTACATAAATTAGGCATTATGTCTCCAAGACCACTTGCCACTATCACGTGGCAAATCATCATTCAGAATCTTAATTCTAAATTTTATTTATGGCCTAGTGTACTCAACTTGACCAATTACATGCCCGTTCAACACTGTTGACCTTGAACCGACATAGCTAAGTCCTTATTGGTTTATCATTCACAGACTTCTTATTATGTCCTATCTTAAGTTGGAAAGCTAACAATCAGCTTTTACTACAATCCTATTTTAAACAAATGAAGTTTATATGACAGATATAGTAGACCTCACTACATTATATATAATGCAAAAATATCAATCCAACCAAATAAACCCCAATTGTTTGTGATTAGGGACGATTAAGTAATAGACTAGTAACAAATTAGGAATAGTAAGCTGTACGACATTAGATTATGGGGTTAACCGAAAGTATATGATAAACAGAACACCAGTGGGGAACAACCGAATGTACTTGACAAAGAATTACAGAACTAGTTAGTAAAATCTAACAATCATATAGTAAATGCTCAATTTGCCAAATGTGCATCAGTTATCTCAAATGACTCAGAATTCCTTTGCTCTTGCATTTTCATACAAATTGCATTCTGTTTTCATTCTTTACTGTTCGATCCTCTTTTCTCTTTGATGCCAGACATTCTGTTTACCATTAACATCATATACTACTTATGTCTGTATAAGTAGCACACACCACATATGATAAACAGAATACATAGACTTAATAATTTAGTCTCTTAATCATTATATAATGTGTGTGCATATTACTAATAATCTATAAATTAGTTCTGGGAATTACCATTCCTTTAATTTTTGTACTGATATAATAGAAGGGAATGTCTATTTACGGTAAATAATCAATCTCAATTGAGCATATTTAATACTTGATTGATATAAATGAATTGATGAAACGTTAACATTCATTAAGATGCTTACGTAACCAGTTGATTTGTCTTTTAAGGGATGAAACTTACTTTCTAGGTTAATATTATATTTAGTAAATTTGACATAGATGCTTCAAGATTACTTACTTACTCCTGTTACTCCCAATGGAGCATAGACCGCCAACCAGCATTCTCCAACCCACTCTGTCATGGGCCTTCCTTTCTAGTTCCATCCAATTTTTGTTCATTTTTCTCATGTCTATCTCCATTTCCCGGCGTAATATCTTCTTTGGTCTTCCTCTACTCCTTCGACCTTGAGGATTCCATATGAGGGCTTGTCTCGTGACGCAGTTGGGTGTTTTCCTCAATGTGTGTCCTATCCACTTCCAGCTATTGTTCTTGATTTCTTCCTCCACTTTGATATGATTTGTTCTCCCCCACAGTAGGTTGTTGCTGATAATGTCTGACCAACGGATACGAAGTATTTTGCGTAGACTACTGTTAATAAACACTTGTATCTTCTGGATGACGGCTTTCGTGGTTTTCCAGGTTCCCACCCCATACAGTAGAACTGTCTTGACATTTGTATTGAAAATTCTGACCTTGGTGTTGGTTGCCAATCGTTTTGAGCTCCAGATGTTCTTCAGTTGTAAATATGCTGCTCTTGTTTGCCGATCCGTGCCTTCACATCTGTATCAGATCCACCGTGTTCATCGATGATACTGCCCAAATATGTAAAGGTTTTTACATCTTCCAAAGCTTCTCGGTTAATTGTAATTGAATTGGTGCATGCTGTGTTGTATCGAAGAATCTTGCTTTTCCCTTTGTGTATATTGAGACCTATTGCTGCTGAGGCTGCTGCTACACTGGTTGTCTTCTCCTGCATTTGTTGTTGTGTATGCGATAGAAGAGCCAGATCATCTGCGAAGTCTAGATCATCCAATTGCATCCTAGCTGTCCACTGTATCCCGTGCTTCCCTTCAGATGTTGATGTCTTCATGATCCAGTCGATCACCAGGAGAAAGAGAAAGGGTGAGAGTAAGCATCCTTTCCTGACACCGGTCTTTACTTCGAACGACTTTGTCAACTGTCCTCCATGAACGATTTTGCAGTTTAATCCATCGTAGGAATTTCGTATGATATTGACTATCTTCTGAGGCACGCCGTAGTGTCTATGAAGCTTCCATAGGGTTGTTCTGTCCACACCATCAAATGCTTTTTCGTAGTCAATGAAGTTGATATAGAGTGATGAATTCCATTCAATTGATTTTTCCACAATGATCCGTAGAGTTGCGATTTGGTCTGTGCACGATCTATCCTTACGGAATCCTGCCTGTTGGTCCCGAAGTTGTGCGTCTACGGAGTCCTTCATCCTGCTTAACAATACCCTGTTGAAGACTTTTCCTGGTATTGAAAGAAGAGTGATTCCCCTGTAGTTGTCACAGTTGCTGAGATCGCCTTTCTTTGGTATTTTGACTAGAAATCCTTCTTTCCAGTCTTTTGGAACCTGTTCCTCATCCCAGATCTTTCTGAAGAGAGTTTGGAGTATCCTTGCAGTTACCACTACGTCTGCTTTCAGTGCCTCTGCTGGAATGTTGTCTGGTCCTGCTGCTTTGCTACTCTTAATTTGTGTGATAGCCATGCTGATTTCTTCAATTGTTGGTGGGCCAACATCGATTGGGAGGTTCGTGAGTGCTGCTTCGATGTTGGGTGGGTTAAGTGGGGCTGGTCGATTCAAGAGTTCTTTGATGTGTTCCACCCACCTGTTTCGTTGTTCTTCAATGTTGGTGATTATCTTGCCTTCCTTGTTTTTCACTGGTCGTTCTGGTTTACGGTGATTTCCAGAGAGTTTCTTTGTTGTGTCATACAGTTGTCTCATGTTTCCTTCTCTGGCAGCCTTTTCCGCCGTCATTGGTAAATCTTCCACATATTTACGTTTGTCAGTTCTGATGCTCTTCTTCACTTGCTTGTTTACTTCTGTTTATTCAGCTTGTGCCTTGGCTTTCTCTGCTCTTGTTCGACTGGTATTGATTGCTGCCTTCTTGTTCCTCCTTTCTTGAATCTTATCCAGTGTATCGACCGTGATCCAATCCTTGTGATAGTGCTTCTTTTGGCCCAGAACCTCATGGCATGTTGAAGTGATTGCCTCTTTTATCTCCTTCCAGTTGCTCTCCACAGTAGTTCCTTCTCCATTGAGTAGATCATGAAAGGCCTGGAACTTATTGCTGGGGGGTATCTTGAATTTATTGAGTTTGTCATTATCCCGAAGGAAAGCCATATTAAATTTTTGTGATATTGTCCGCCCCGTTGCCCAGTGCCTCCTGAGTTTCAATCTCATCTTGGCGACCAGCGAGTGATGATCTGATGCTATATCAGCTCCTCTCTTTGTTCTCACGTCCTCCATCGTCCTCCTGAACTTTTTGTTGATGCAGATATGGTCGATTTGGTTCTGTGTGGTGTGATCCGGTGAAGTCCATGTGGTTTTGTGTATGCGTTTATGTGGGAATATAGTCCCGCCTATGACCAGTTTATTGAAGGCACATAGATTTGCAAATCTCTCACTATTTTCGTTCCTTTCTCCCAGTCCGTGTCGTCCCATGATCTCTTCACATCCGGTGTTGTCAATTCCAACCTTGGCATTTAGGTCTCCCATCAGAATGGTCAGGTCTTTTGTTGGGCACTTCTTGACGATTGACTGCAGCCTATCGTAGAATTAATCTTTAGCGTCTTCATTGTAGTCGTTTGTAGGCTCGTAGCATTGGATGACGTTCATTGTAATCCCCGTTTTCTTTGTTTTGAAGGAGGCTTTGATGATCCTTGGTCCATGAGATTCCCATCCTATAAGTGCATTTTGTGCTCGTTTGGACAGCATCAATGCAACTCCTTGTGTATATGGGGCATTTTCTTGTTCATGTCCGGAGTATAACAGCAGCTCCCCTGAAGCTAGTCGTTGTTGTCCAACTTGCGTCCAATGTGTTTCACTGATCCCAAGCACCTCTAAATTGTATCTCCTCATTTCTGCAGCAATTTGGAAAACTCTCCCAGTCTCCCACATTGTGCGAGCATTCCATGTACCTAAATAAATGGTTGCTCTGGTTGTCAGAAGGGGCATCGGCCTCGTGACTTCCGAAGAAACTCGGCTTTCATCATGAGGCGTCATAATTCTTCTAAACGAAGACCTCCTGACTCCGAGGGCAGAGTTTAAATGGTTTGAATAATTTTTTCTGGTTAGCGTTTTTTAGCGAGTTAGTTTTCTACGGGATGGGGTCGCTAACCCCATGCCCAACCCTCCTCCTTTATCCGGGCTTGGGACCGGCAGTAGCCCCCGGAAAGGGACTCCAGGCGGAGTTAATTAATTATTCTATGAATTCGTTATTCATCTTCTTGTGCTAATGAGGTGTGGTAACTTAAACCGATGCATTGTAGCTGACTGAATGACAATCTTACGCAAGCACTTATTTATTAATTATATTAACTCATGCTTGATAAGTAAATTACATGATCCAACTAGTATAAACATACTGGATTTATAATTTTTCTTTCCTATCAGTCTCTTTACTTTTATTGTTGACAATTTTTCATAGATTGAAGAATCACAAGAGACTTCAATCAAAAATATTGAAGCATATGAAAAGAAAAAAGAGATTTTAAAAGCCGGTTAGTTTAAATGAAGCAAAATGTTTTGTTTTTTTGTTTTTACTAAATTTATCTAACTCTTTGATGGAGTTTTATTCTCTGAGCTGAATGGTTTGGTCGTAGAGCTTTCTTCGTTCTTCTGAACGACATCATATGAGTACAAACGTTAGGTAGATTATCATAAGACTGCCATAATGTTGGTATCCTTCAAATTTTATTATTATGTAACTACTTTTTAGCTTATTACAATTTATATCTGCATAGATTGTTTAAATTGTATTCGGTTTCTGTAAATAACTAACTTTACTGTGATTAGAAGAGTTAAATCATACAGGGATTGAAATAAACATCACTGATTGAACTGGTGATGATTTGAATAATCTTTTTAAATTCATGAAGCTGAACTATTTTGGTAACGAATTATTAGTCTCAGTTAGTCAGTCAACAACGTAGAACTTCGTACATACGTACATCAGTTCAAGTTGCTATACCACATTAGCACAGAGATGCAGTTGTCGATTCAAATCCCATAGTGGTAGAGGTAGTAAGAGTATAAGCAGTAATCGGAAAGATTACGGTTTGAAGATGTTATTAAACGAGTATAATCCAGTGAAATAAATTTGGGAAGAGCCAAAAATAGATAAGGAGAATTCAGAAGATTAGAATTGGGAGAACACAAAGAATGGATGCACTCGTGCCATTACAAACGATTTTGAGCCATATCATTCAAGGTCTCTAACCACCGGTTGCTATCATCTCGCGGATCCCAACCAGGTAGTCTACACCTACCAACATGGCTCAGTCCACTTGTTAGTGACTTCATGGTTTTGTGCCATGTTTTGGTCTGACCGCCCCTAGCTTTCTTCCAACTTGCTCCTATACGATTATTGGTCTAGACATACAATACTCATTCCAAAGCATAATGATCCTGGGTTTAACTCTATTTACCTTACTATTTATTACTTGTGAGATTTTCTGAAGACTGTACGAAACAGACATCCAATCATCGTTTGTTTTCTATGACTCTAAACTTTATTAGTTTATAATATGAAAATTCAGACATATAAATCTATTACTTTAAATGTTCGACCACGTCCAAACCATAATTTTTTAATCAGTTTAATATAGTGGAACCATAATTTATGGACGACCTCTTAGCGACGCCAAAGTGACATTGAGTGTATGCACCCTAATAACTAGGACCAAATGAGGGTGTGAGGAATTAGAATTATGATTTACATTTGATGGTTAGGGTTAGGAATTAGATTTATAGTTTTCATCACGATCTGACATCAGCTAAAATGTCAAAACGCTATTTAGTCAAATAGATGGGTGAATTTCGCTCCAAAATCCGAGATATGTTATCTTATACCTGATTGGTTCATCGATAAATTATAATCTCAACTTTAATACTAATTAAAAGTTTAAGGTGTAGTGTGGCATCGAGTCGCGTTTGACTATGATCACCACTACAAGAAGACTACGTGCCAGTTGTCTGATAAGATCCCATGTAGGCCAAATATCAGAAGGCAGTTGATGGCTGTAGTCGAGATGTACTTGTTGGCGATTTCGTGGTATCGAAAGAGTACCGAGATCGTTCCATGTTACAAGTGTGGTTAATGAGCGTAACCGAGTCCGTGCAAAGTCACAATCAACGGAAGAAAGTATGTCTTTAGTACAGTTAAACAAACAAGTACAGTAAAATAATTCCTGGTACAAATGGTTATAATAATAATTGTTTCCATTACACCAATCGCGTTCTCTTGATAAAAGTAGGTCACTACAAAGGATGAGTTTTGTTGTTACACAAAAGTCAACTGAAGTGACTTTTTCCAGTTTGTTTACTACTAATTAGGATAATAACAGTAGCTTATTCTGACTAGTTAATCTTACTATTCTACAGTACTTATTGTGACTGTATTATATATATATATATATATATATATATATATATATATATATATATATATATATATATATATATATATATATACAGCGTGTTATGTTGTATGAAAGTGAAGTTTCCGGTCTACTGTTCTTGGGCTATAATGATGTGCAGATATATATTTTTTGTCTACTCTATAGGATCTATATCGATTTAGACTTAGGTATGAAATGTAGGATCTCAGATTTGAAAATTATATGGACATACTACGTAAAATGGAGGAATGTTATGCAACGGTAAAAAATTTAGAAACATGAATACTAGATTAAGAATGTTTCATATAAACAAAGCTGAAGAGAAATATACTGTAGGTCATAGCTAACAAAGTACTTGAATATGTCTTCTTTTAGAAATAAAGTCCCTGTTTATTTCATTTGATCCAAGAATAGTTACTGCTATGCCTCTTGATAAATTCATTGGGACCTGATTTTATATTAATATAGCTTCCTCCCCTTTAATACTATGATTAATAACGTATCAGATCAGAAAATTTGACGATGGTTCATAGATTTTGTGACAACTTCTCCTATTCATTTGGGCGTATGTTCACGAGCATTCTGGAATAAAGTTCTCTGAGTTTGACGTATGTACACAGTTGTTAAAATTATATATCTATTGAATACTATTTAGTTCTCATCAGCTCTTTAGCTGATCTTAGTAGTAATTTCACTTGGTGATGTTTACTCGTATCTTCCCATTGATATTTAGGGCTGCAATTGATCAGTCTCTTATTGGCATATGTGCATCTTGTGCGGACTGCCTCGATATTATCTTAGGTCACAAGCTTTATAAGCAAAGGTGGATAATAGCTAGCAGTGGAGTCCAGGACATGCGTTTCGTCCCAGAGTGAACATCAACTCAAAGATCCAGGCACATTCAGCTGACGAGTCCCAAACAGGACGAAACGCGCGTTAAACTGGATTCCACTGCTAGCCACTAACCATTTTTGCTTATAATCTTAGTTTTTATTTCAGGTCAATAAGAATTATTACAATATTGTTATGCAGTTATATCAGAAGTGAATAGCTTTATTCTTATAAACATAGATAAAGTAACCCGATATTCACTAACATCGTGTATTTGTCAACCACATTTAAAGCTTCTAGATAATTTATGAATGGAAACATTTTCTTAGAAGATCTATCATTCAAGTAAGCTATGTAGGGATTATCCTTTAAAAACGTTTTCAGATGTGTTTAAAATGATATATAATATCCTAGTGCACATATATGCGCACTGCTAAGGATTCCCACAATAGGACGAAACAGCCGTCCAGTGCTTCCAGGTTTTCATTGGTGGTCTAACATCATTCAGTTCGTGATCTCAATCAAAAACTTAATAATCTCCGCAACCCTATTCTGATACATGCATATTCCTGATACTTCGAAAATCTTGAATTCTGTAAAACAGCCTCATTAGGTTCATAGTAAACATCTTTACTCATTGATAGGTAGTCTTTTTCTTTTGGATTGACACATTTGTCGATCGTAAAGAAATTAAAGTAATTGTGATATGATGTGTTGTTTTAGATGAACAGCGTTATGAATCTGAAAAGGAAAAACTACAAAAAGTTTTCAAGACAAAAGAAACAGAGTAAGCTATTTTTTTACGAATTCGGCTAAAATATTTTAGAAAGAGTTTTGTGCTACCCTAAAGCTCATTAAGAGCGGAGGATATAATGAAATAGTGACTTAGATTCTAGTATACATGTAAGGGATATGGTTAGTCACAGCCAATCATATAAAGAAGTTTCAGTAATCTATGCTTTAAAACAACAACTTGTCCATACTGGTTCTCAATAGATAAGAAATGTTCAGAGTAGGAATAAGTTTTGAGATAACTAATGTTGGCATACAATATATCCATTTCCAATCATTACGACCATCGAAATATCACATTGTTCGAAAATTTAATACTGTAGACCTCTTGGGATTGTCATATTGTGGCAAATCACTGGTCAATTGATTTGAGTTTTATAAGAAATTGTGGATCTTTCTGATGACTGGTTATGTTGGTCAGAACTCTTGGATTCGCTTCATAATAATCCTGCTCCTAGGTTCAATGCTACCACCATCTTACTCTCTCTTCCTACTACCTTTTATTAATGTTCAGATTTTAGTCCCATGGTTTATTTACACAACTTTCATTGTCGGGTTAAAGTTTCAGCATTGAGGTCTAAAAGAAGTAAGGTTCTGGTCCGGTTAGCGTTTTTTTAGCGAGTTAGTTTTCTATGGGATGAGGTCGCCAACTCCATGCCCAAACCTCCTCCTTTATTCGGGCTTAGGACCGTCAGTAGCTCCGTGTTATGAACTTGGTTTGTCTACCCACTTTTGGTGCCGAGGATACTTGTCTAATGTAGATTTAGACTTTGATGCGATAGACTGATCGGCTTAACCTTGAGACTAGTACGCGTGAGTTCTAGATGGGGTAGAGAGAAGAAAACTATTCTGTCACCTGATTGGTGGACAAGCGCACGAATGAGAGAAGACGAGATACTTGGAACACTATTCCATCTATTCCTGATATCCTGATTTCATTCTGACTTCCTGATTTCTCTGATTTCGGATTAGTGTAAAAAGGTACATGAATAAATAGGTGAATAACCCGACCACAATGTACAATAATTAGGAAAAGTACAATTATGTCAAAAGTTGGGAATTAGAGTAGAAGATAGGGTGCAAAATATTATGTTTAAATTACAATAGCTTCGGAACAGAAAAGGGTATGGCAGTGAATGATACATCTAACGAAAGCTTATGTTCTGTAGAATAGAATAAGGACAAAAATAAATGTTTGTGTTTTATAAGCTTTGAATAAAATGAAATAACGTCCCAAAAATTAGCTTTCGTAGCTTGTCAGGGCTTCTTGTTTCCCTGTTCACATCACTCCAGGGGGGCTCCAGGCGGAGTTAAGCTTCTGATCTAGTAGGTTCAAACTTTAGGGCGAGAGGATGATCTTCAAGTCACTGCATTAAACGTAAGTATTCCAAAAATGTCCTAGTTGATGCGTTCGTGTGCAGTCACAATAATTCACAACTCCGACTACAGTGCTTTAAGCGAAAGTATCTTTTTTCCTGCTTTGATAATTAGAGTAAAAACGCCAGTTTTGAAGCTATTGCAAATGAAGCTATTTGATGTTCACCCAGTTTAATCAATCAAAATACATTGAGTTTGTCGGTTATAAATCAATAAAAAGATGATCAGAATGTTTAAATTGAATAATTATCATTAATATAGAATATCGTAAAAATGGATTGAAAAGTCATGAATAATGTTGACATCCAATAATTTACTTACTTACTTACGCCTATTACCCCTCGTCGAGGAGCATAGGCCCCTCACCAGCACTCTCCATCCAACTCTGTTCTGGACAATCCTTTCCAGTTGTTTCCAGTTGCTATTCATTCTTTTCATATCTGCTCCCATTTTTCGACGTAGTGTGTTCTTCGACCTTCCTCTTTTCCGTTTCCCTTCACGATTCCACGTAGTAAGCGCTTGCCTAATAATGCAGTCTGGTGATTTCCGTAATATATGTCCTATCCACTTCCAACATCTTTTCTTAATTTCCTACATTCACTTGGTGTTGTTTTACTTGAAGCGAACGGCACTGGGTTGGAGTCCCAGAGTGAACATCAACTCTGAGATGCAGGTACATCGGCTAACGAGTCTTAAATGGGACGAAACCCGTGTCCTGGATTCCATTGCTAGCCACCATCCATCTTTACTTATAATCAATTAATTGCAGTTTGAGCTGTATAACATATGCAGTTACGGATGGTAAAATTACTCACGCGAAATCATTTGTAGTCAAATAAATCAGAAAAAATTGTTTTTGATAGAAAGATTCTCAAAAAAAACATATCGATCTGTTTTTTCCAACCAGGTCTAATGACATTATGTCACACGATACTGATAGAGTTATGCTTTATTTTAAGTCTCTTACAAAAGATTGTATTTAATACAACTTTCATCATGATATTATTCACAATTGGCTTTAAATAATTAACATTCACTGTTAATATTAAGAGTATTTCGGATATGTGATTAGTCTTATTGTAGTTGAAGTTGGACATTAACACCATTGAGTGTCAACTAAGTGGTTTACAGGTTAAGCGTTCACGAGAAAGACTGATAAGTCCTGAGTTCGGATCTTTCGATGCGGGATCGTGGATACTCACTGTTGAGAAGTCCCATACTAAAACGAAACGCCCATCCAGTGTTTCCACCATTGAATTAACCACTTCTATGAATCCGGTGTTCATGTTGTTGTGCTAATGAGGTATGGCAACTTGAACCGAGGTATATATGTGCCTGGTCCTACGTTGTAGCTGACTGACTGTGAATAGATCATTTTTGAAGCAATTGACTAAAGAGTTAGCTAAAGCCTATTTAAATCAATGAAAGACCGTTAGGTTTCTTCAAAGCTTCAAATATACTTTATCATTAGAGATTTTATTGAAAGTTGGAATCATAATTGTGTTAATAACGGTCCTACTATTATAACTTGTACCCTGTGCCCCTATCAATGTACGACGTGATGATACCGCTAATTAGAGAACAGTGATTTATCGACCGGACCAATGAAGCATAAAACCTGTACGGGTCATGCTTCCCGCCTAGCCCTGCCTGTCAAGTCCAGTACATAGATCTCAGCCTCTGTGATAAGAATCATTTATTTCAAACATACTGAGTTTATATACCGACCAGACAGGCCACATAGTACCGTAAAATAGAAACTAACATTTGTACAATATTTAACCAAAAGTGGCTGTGAATATGTGAGATAGTGATTGATAGACTGGGCATAACTCAAGAATGATAAATCGTATAATAATAGTCTGTGGGTCAAAATAAAGCTTATAATAAGAGGAACATGAATACACATAGTTCAGCTACTTAACAATTATACAATAAAAATATAGGCATAGTGTGGTGTGTGATACTTATATCGACATAAGTAGGATATGATGTTAGTCGTGAACAGAATTTCTGGCCTTCCTATTTTCCACTTCACTTCGCGATTCCAAGTTAGAGCTTGCCTCGTGATGCAGTTTGATAATTTCCACAATCTTCGTCCTATCCACTTCCAATATCATTTCCTGATTTCCTCTTTAGCTGGAAGTTGGTTTGTTCTTTTCTACAGTAGGTTGTTGCTGATGGTATCCAGTCAACAGACATTGAATATCTTGCATAGACAATTGTTTATAAATACTTGTACCTCCTGACACGTCAATATTAATGCTTCTTTGATCCCTTTCCAGTTGTCCTCCATCGTAGTTTCTCCTTCTTTCAGTAGATTATGTAAGGCTTGGAACCTGTTGTTGAGAATTATCTTGAATTGGTTAAGTTTATAAGTATCTCGTAGGAAAGCTGTATTGGACATTTGTACTGCTATTTCCCCAGCTGTCCACTGTTTCTTTATCTTCACTTTCATCTCGTCAACCACCAGGTGGTGATCTGGAGCTATATCAGATCATCTCCTAATTCTTACGTGTTCCATTGTCCTTTGAAATTTTTTATTTATACAAATATGATCTATCTGGTTCCCAGCGGTGTGTGGTTAATTACCCTATGATAAATTGCATTATAAGTAGACCTTTCCATTAACTTTCCAAATTATAAACTGAGTTTATAGTTAATTCAGTGTTCTCGTATCATAGTTGAATCTTTGGTTCGGTCATTCAGCTACAACGTAGCCATACCTCATTAACACAAGAAGATGAATAACGAATTCATAGAATAGTTAATTTAATGGTGGTAATATATAAAAGAAAGATTGCATATAAGGATATATTACAGGAAGAAAGATTTAGCACGTAGAAAGAAGATATAAAGCAATTTTAATCTCATAGTTTAAGGGAAGATAGAGAGTGTATACATCGACCCCATTGTGATCGATTCTCAGCCATGTCACCCACAGTCTCCAAACATTAGTTACGATAGTCACGCGGACCCCAATCAAGTAGTCTGCATCTACCAAAATGGCTAAGACTAGAAGTTAGTGACTTCAAGCACTGATGCCACATTTCGGTTTGGCCGCTCTTAACTTTCTTCCAACCATCCCCAACACCGGTTAGCGTTGCGCGTCGTGGTAATCGGTGTTTAGGCATACGTAACACGTTGCTCAACCATCTCAGTCGATGTGGATCCACAACCTCATCAACTGATTTACCATCATTCTCTGATACCCTTCATCTAACCTCACTATTACTAACCTGGTGATCCTAGCAGATGCGAGCAATATTTCTAAGTCATCTGTGGTCAAATACTAGTAGCTTACGAATATCTGCAACTCTTAATGGCCACATCTCGCTGCTGTATATCTAGATACATTGAAAATCCTTTAAGGTTTACATAAATATATAATTTTAGTAGATTAATCAATAATGTTAAAGAAAACTATGTAAATATTTAACTTGTTGACTAATTTACTATGTTACAAAGGTATTGATTTTCAAATTATGTTGCGGTAACATTTTTATGCTTGTACAGCACTACAGCTCCTGGATACCATTGAGAATATCAGAATATTATAGGATATTATTTATCAACTGTTTGGTAGCCTTTCTACGGGGAATTCAATCAATATCTATCAGTCTAGGGCTAGGTATAGGTTAGCTGAATTTTAAAAGAATAATTCTCATTACGGACTAATAGAAGTTGGAAAAATATTGGCAATACAAAAGAGAGAGTTGACAATCATTTCTATTTAAAAATCTATGGTTTATTACCAGTAAACAACCATGAGCCATTACTGAACTGAACCCTGAATTCCTGATCCAAACAACAAGAAACTACATCTTTAACATCAGTTATTTTGTGATATAGCGCGATCATAACTTTATATTGTAATGGTTAACTCCCTTATAGCCGATACTAGAAACACAACCAGTTACAAGCTCTAGGTTGAATATCAGGAATTTACTTCAGAGCTATTCACTAGTAAGCATATAATCATTGTTTAGTCCAGGTGGGCATCTCTGAGTCTCAAACAAGAATGAAACAGGTATTAGGTGATTGATTTTTGGTCTCCTCCATTTTTCGTAGTGGTAACTATAATATGTGAAAGGTTTGACTGTATCTATAAAAATCACCTAATACAGGACTCATTTCTCAGTTATCAAGTAAGATCCATTCCAAGAGCCGAGTACTTCATGAACTGTATTAGCCATGGAATCCAACTAACTCATTATTAGTCTTGATTAAGATTTGAAATTCAATTTCGCTCTAGTAGACAATGATCACTTTGATCGTATCTTTGGATTTTTCACCAAGTGGAAACATTTATAAAAAGAAAATATGGACATCCTAAAACAAAGTAATTTATTAACATATTCTGAAGGTTTCTCGTCAATCTTTCCATATATTACCAAGATTCTAGTAGTTTCCAGTGTTATAAACTAATGAAATGATTGGGCTAGGGTTTATTTCTTCTATGAGCTACTACTTCTAAACAAAAGCAATTACTCTTTGAATGTGTTATCGACTAAAACCTTTCCATTTCCAGAATATGTATGATTTAAGATCAATACAACATTCCAATTGCATATGTTCATATCACGTAATAAGTCTTCTGATAAACTCAATCATGTAACTATAAAATCATAAAGATTGATTCCCAAACTTTGCATTTGCTAAATTTTCAGAATTGATGGCATTATACTTTTCTATAACGCTCAATGAAATTGATTTATACTTATTAAATGTTGATGGAGTTTTGTTCTCTGAGCTGGATGGTTTGGTTGTGGAGCTTTCATCGTTCTTTTGAACGACATCATCAGAACAAACTTCAGATAGAAGTGAAGTGTTCGAATTTCTCCACATGTTGTTCACAGCTTCTCCTGTAGACCTCGATGTTAATTGGTTCTTGTTGACCTTAAATCTGTCATTGTTAACTTCTTTGTTTTGGTTGTATCGCCACCTGAGCTACCAATCTTCTCCACCATCTCAAATACTTATTAAATGATTTATCCCAAAATCAATCTCATTTAGTAGCCTTACCCTTTTGACCTATCAGATCAAAAGTCACAATTTCATTTCTATTACCTATAATAGATATAGATTTATTTGTTTCAAATAAGTGAAAGATATACATCTAGGCTATACATCCTAACAATGATATAACTTAGTCAATTTCCTATCGATTTATTTTTCCCACTTAAAAGTACTTTTCTTAAACAATGTAATTATTTATTTAATATCAGAAGGGGTTTTTGTGAATATTGTAGTAATTTTTAATAGTTGAGATCATAAGTCAATTGAAGCTAGACTCATGAATTCAACTATTGAAATTATTATAATATCCACACAAAGAAACCCTTCTGATATTAATCAACGTATGCTCACTAGTGGCTGACTTCAAGAGGGATATCCTGGAGTTCTAGTGAGAAGCAGTGACAAATGGAATTCAACCAGATCTGTTGTGGGATAGTAACTCACTGATGACAATCGTGGATGTATTGCTCAATTTCTGGGATTAGTTGAAGTTAGACATTAACACCATTAGATTCTGGTCGACTCAGTGATCTAGTGGTTAAGCGCTCGTGCGCGAGACTGATAGGTCCTAGGTTCAAATCTCTTGAGGCGGGATCATGGATGCGCACTACTGAGGAATCCCACAGTAGGACGAAACAACGGTCCAATACTTCCAGGTTTTCCATGATCTTCTAGCTTCAAATGACTCATAATCTAAACTATTGAATTTATTTATTTGTTTTTCATAAGTTGATAAGTTTTTATTCATATCTCTAGAGTAATAAAAATTGAAAAGGAATATATGATAAAAGCAGAGAAGACAGCTGAACTTCAAGAGCAAATCAATGAAATGCTTGAAAAGATGGAAAATTTAAATTCATCAAATAAGTATGTAATGATCAACTTTTTACTTTTATTTTTATTAAATAAAATATATATAGTCCTGTGGTGTGTACTACTTATGTAGACATTAGTAGTATATGACGTGAGTCATGAACAGAATGTCTGGCAGAAGAAGATGGGGGAAGATCAAGAAAGGAAGAGGGGAAACACAGTGGAATTTTTATGGAAACTTATGAATAATGAGAGGACAGACAATCGATTGATGTTTGCAACAAAAACAGTCAAGTTTGATATGATGGATTGTTATTTTGCAAATTAATGATTCACTATATAATTGTTAGATTTTAATAACTAGCTCTGTAATTTATTGTCTAATATATTCGATTGCCCCATTGGTGTTCTGTTCACTACAGTCCTAGAGTGAACTTCGACTCTGAGACGCAGTTATATCCAACTGACGAGTCCGAAATAGAACGGGACGTGCGTCCTGTATTCCACTGTTAGCCACTATTAATGTTTGCTTATAATACTTGTGATTTAAAGCAATATCGAGGCAAAACACACAGTATGCACATATACCATTAAGAGACTGATCAATTGTAGTCCTAAATATCAATGAGAAGATTCAAGTAAATAATATCAAATGAATTTAAATATAGTTACTTATAATTTTCTTCCAAGTTATAATATTGATAAATTAAGGAAATAGTGTGTAATCTAATGACTATTTTGATACTTAGCAAAGATAGATAGTGGCTAGTAGTGGAATCCAGGACGCACGTTCCGTTCTATTTGGGACTCGTCAGCTGGATGTATCTGCATCTCAGAGTTGATGTTCACTTTGCTACTCGAACTCAGTACGCTATCGTGTTATCCACTTAGCTACTAAGTCCTGATAGCCAATTGCTTCTGCAATGTGGTGAAGTTTTAAGTTCAGTTATTATTGTTTACTTGAATCTTCCCATCGATGTTTAGAACTGAAATTGATCAGTTTTTTTATAGTTATTTCATTCAAAGTTGACCTGGTAGTTTAACTTTGAATCCATTATTCATTGGTATAGATCACTATAGTCTCGTAATGATAATAAAACTTGTCTATATGAGAACATTTTAAATTGTCGATTCCATAAAAAGGTATTTCAGGACATAATGATATTAGACTTTAAATCGATATGTTTCGGTTGATACAGTGAACATTTCAAAATTAAATGTGTCAGTGATGTTTCTGATGGTAATATAGAACTATTCATGATCAGATCTTTGACGGGATATCAGTTTCTGATTATTGTTAATCCTACTTTTTATTATTATTATTATTACTATTATTATTATTATTAGCTTTATTCAATATATTTTTGGTACAATACAGAATTCTCAGCACGAAGTATTTTAATACGTTTCCTTGACGAGACTATAACTTATGGACGACCTTTGAACGAATCTTAAGTGACCTTGACAAATATTAGTCAATCAGCAAATATAGAACAACATATATATGAGAACAATATTGTTTTCGATTCTCATCAGGCTTTACTCTAATTTTGAATGATCCGACTAAATTTCAGAAACTCAACGACGTGAAGGACATAAATATAAAGGCAGAAAAATTGCTGACTAACTCACTAAAGGAATTGAAAAATAAAGGTATACTTACTCCTGACACACACGACTCACTCAAACCCACAGGATCGAACACACCGCGACTATATGGTTTACCTAAAGTTCACAAGACTGGTCTTCCTCTTAGCCCAGTTCTAGATATGTATAATTCTCCATATCACAAAGCTGCAAAGTGGCTAGTTCGAATCCTAAATCCATTACATAAACTAGTCGTCAACAGAAGCGTGAAGGACGTCTTCGATTTCATTTCTAAAGTGGAACATATGAATTTAAATGGGAAACGTATTATGTCTTTAGATATAGCTTCACTGTTTACCAATGTGCCGTTGTGTGCCAACAACTACAGGATAAACAAATCAATATTGGAATTCCTGAGGTTAGTCTCAAAGAATTACTTTTAACATGCACAATGAATGTGCATTTTGTCTTTAATAACACATATTATAGACAAATTGATGGTATAGCGATGGGTTCACCTCTAGGCCCCATTCTTGTGGATTTTTTTCTGGCTAAACTAGAAAACGGACCTCTCAAAGAGGTTTTCAATGAGCTTGATTTATACTGTCGTTATGTTGATGATACTTTCATCATTGCCGATCAGAACATTAGTAAAGAACAACTGCTAGAACGATTTAATAACAAACATCATGCAATGAAATTTATATGTGAAGAGGAAATGGATAATAAACTACATTTCCTTGACGTTTTGTTAAGTAGAAAAGAAAATGGTTCTATTAGCAGAGGTGTGTATAGAAAAAAAGATTTCCAGCCAATACACACATTTTTTAAGCTTTGTGCCTCTTCATTATAAGAGAAACTTAGTCAAATGCTTAACAAGTAGAGCCATGAAGATATGTTCTGTTGACACAATTGAAATGGGATTAGAGCAAATTCATAATATGTTGATTGAAATGGGTTATTCACAGGGTTTCTTGAAGAAACACTTGCGTATAACAAACAAGAAGATAGTGACACTAACAGCTAATAACACCCTTATCTCTCCCTTGTCCTTAATAAATGAATTTATTTATTATTTTCTTTTCAAACCTTCTCTTCGTTTATTAATTCTTCGTCACCCCCTCCTACCATTTTATTTTTATTTTTTCACGGTTCAATTATCTGAACACTTCTTATTACGTCATCTTATAATTTTATAATTGCTATCTCACAGTCTATATTTTTCTAATCATTGACCTATTTCCCATTATGTAACACTGATTTGAGCCATTATGATTTATATCAAAACTTGTACACCTGTCATCACACCATCAATTTGTACTTTTCACTTATTATGTAATCGTTTTATTCATCGTTATCATTGACTCATAAACTACCTTGATTGGTTTAATAATTTCGTATATGTATATAAATATTACTGTATATTAGAGTAAAGCCTGATGAGGATCTAATCGAAAACAATATTGTTCGCTTATATATGTTGTTCTAAATTTACATTATGGGAATATTTCAAATTTTGAAATCAGCAAATAGTCAGTATAGAGTTAAAATATTTTATACAAAACCAAAGAAATAAAATGGATACACTTCTTATACATGGTTCAAAAACTTGTCAAGGTTAGAAAGAGGTTCAGAGGTTCTAAAATCGTAATGCATTCAGTAGAGGAAATCATCCACACGGTTACAGAATAGTCGGCCTCTGGAGTCTCGGAAACTCGTCCACATAGTTTCAATATTGTTTATGTGCACTTCGGTTGTTGAGTACACAAAATTCTACTTATGGATAACGACACAATTCACATAGCCAAGCCTATGTAGGAGTCTGTGCGCTCTTCGAACATCCGAATATATTGTAGTACCTGGCTGCAGCCAGTTTTACTGATGATTTTTTACCCAGTTCTCGATAATTATCATAATTCGCCTTCGTTAGGAATTATATATAGAGTTTTCATCACGACCTTAAATCAGCTATAAAGTCAAAAATCTATTTAGCCAAATGGATGAAAAGCTTTCGCGTTAAAATCCGAGATCTGTTATCTTATACCTGATTGGTTCGTCCACAAATTATAGTCTCACCGTTTTATTTGTTATAGTTGCTGAATTATAACGTTTTGTATAAAACCCGCTGTCAACAGATCGTACGTTAGCATTAGGTACTGAAATTGGCACAGTGACCTTGAAATCTCTCAGACGCTTCTGATTGGCTCATCCATAAGTTAAAGTCTGGCCGTTTCCTTTTCTTATTTCTTGAAGGATTCTGACGATAAATGCTAAATGATCGTCAGATAGATGTTAGCAGTTCAGGAATGGACATCTGATTAATGTATATTCTTTTCGATTTATATTGTCGGCAACCATAATGTCTCTGATTTGGCTCTTTTCTAACTTGTACATCGAAATGTCTTGAAATTTTCACAAAGGCACCTCAATAGATTATGAGACTAATAGTCATAGTGATGTATTAAAACAAACAAAATTAAATAACTTGTTGAAATATCTAGATGGTAGGAAGGAACAGGTAACCCAGATGTTCAAGCAAACCGCCCGAGTGATAAAGCAACATAAAGATATTTCATGATACCACAATATCTGGTTTAGTGATTACAGTGTATTCTATAATTACTGGTAATTGATTGAATTGTAAAAAACTTAAACATTTCGTCCTAGTATGGCACTCCTCGGCAGTGAGCATCCACGATTTCGCCCCCCGCGAGATTCGAACATAGGACTCATCGGTTCTGAGAATTCTATATTGTACCAAAATATTGAATAAAGCCACTAATATATATATATATATATATATATATATATATATATATATATATATATATATATATATATATATATATATATATATAGTTGAATGTGTTCATCTTATATACTCACCACATGGTAGTGTTCAGGTAAACACCATGTGAGTGGTCATTTAAAATGAATCCATGATTAAAGAGACTAAATGAATCATCCATAAATCTCATCATACTGTTACTTAGTAAATATTTGTTACAGAATATTAACGTTGATGGATTTGATATTGAAATAATAGATATGGACTACTTCTGTTTACTATCCAGTGACTAGAATAGAAATCTAAGTTGTATGACTTTCTGGTTAGATTCCTTTGAGTGATAGTATATTACTTATTACTAGCCAGACCTTTTACTAAACATATAAAACTTCATTTATTGGGTACAATAAAAGAGATTATTGACATTTCTATACAACCAGTCTGCTGTGTTAATACAAACTATTCATGTAGATAGTGTAATATTGACTTTTAAATTATACCTTACATTTATTATTTGTCCCATCAAACTAGTTTTGAATAAAGAAAGAACGAATCAAGTGAAGAAATTTCTTTTCAATTAGTTTTTCATTATAGCTCTACGCTAATGCATATCTATATCTATGTGATTTACAATAATGAAATAATACTCATCGAGTAGATACGTTACGTAATAATTATATGATGACATATCGATTTTTAAATTAACATTGAGTAATTGGAAGAAAGTGGAGATAATAATAATCAATAATCACGGTAGACCGATAAGTCCTGGGTTCGAATCCTGTAAGGTTAGTTTGTGAATGCGCACTAATGAGTAGTTTCATACCAAGACGAAACGGGTGTTCAGTGCTCTTAGGTTCTCCATTGTGATCTAGCTTTAATCGACTCATTAATTCAACTATGAAATAATCAAAGTAATTATTCGAAGATCAAACAGTTTCTACGTTGCGTAATATATAAAATGAGAAGAAGGTACTAACAGTATATTTTGATGAATGTTCAGTACTATAGTAGTTATGTAAGAATCACAGGCATACTTATCGGCGTCCGACAATAGTGGTCTTCCTTGATTTAAAAGCAACGTTTGACTCTGTTGACCGAGAGGTTCTGTGGCAGTGTCTGTCATTGAAAGGCGTACCCCAGAAGTACATAAACCTTGTGAAGGCTCTTTACTCGAACACTACTAGTCGAGTGAGAGCTTATGGCGAACTGTCATCTGCTTTCGCATCCTCAAGTGGCGTCCGCCAAGGCTGTCCACTTTCTCCATTTTTGTTCAACTTCATCATAGATCTACTGATGGAAATAATATTCTCGTCGACTGAATTCTCCGGCATTGATCTCCTACCAGGAGGTCCACTTATCGACTTAGAATACGCAGATGACATAGTCCTGTTTGGTGAAGACGCTGATGAAATGCAGAGTCTTTTGGTAGCACTGAGCAACAATGCCAGGATGTTTGGGATGCGCTTTTCTCCCTCTAAATGCAAGTTGTTGCTTCAGGACTGGTCTGCGTCAACACCTGAACTAAGGATAGGTAGTGAAGTAGTCGAACGCGTTGACAACTTCACTTATCTTGGAAGTCGGATCAGCCCTAATGGATTGGTGTCTGACGAAATCTCAGCACGGATTCGAAAAGCTCGCTTGGCCTTTGCCAACTTACGTCATCTATGGCGCAGGCGAGATATCCGTCTATCAATTAAGGGACGAGTATACTGCGCGGCAGTTCGTTCCGTTCTACTATACGGCTGCGAAACATGACCTTTAAGAGTAGAAGATATTCGTAAGTTACTAGTATTTGACAACAGATGCCTTAGAAATATTGCTCGCATCTGCTGGGATCACCGGGTAAGTAATAGTGAGGTTAGACTCAGGGTATTAGGGAATGATGGCAAATCAGTTGATGAGGTTATGAACCTTCATCGACTGAGATGGTTGGGCCACGTGCTGCGTATGCCTGAATACAGATTACCACGACGCGCAATGGTAACCGGTGTTAGGGATGACTGGAAGAAAGTTAGGGGCGGCCAAACCAAAACGTGGCATCAGTGCTTGAAGTCACTAACTTCTGGTCTGAGCCATGTTGGATACTGCAAAGGTTAGGCTTGTGAACATGGATTGAAATGGCTACAGCAATGTGCAAAAGACAAACTCGTAAGCGATGTGGCAAATTTGATGGAATATGGTGGATAAACTTAAAAGCTTTATTCAATCCAATCTGATGACTTGTGTCCATCAAGTGAGCAAGAATAGAACTCTTAATTACTCTTACCTGTCCTTTGCTCAATCAAGACGGATGGTGTTCTGTTATACGATGACGAACTTTCCGAGTTATGCACTCTATATAACTGGCTCCACAGGAGCAATTGAATTGGTGAATACACATGGATGTGGAGAATTCAGTTAATCTATCTTTATTAACCGTTCTTATTATGTGTCAGTTGTAGAAGACGGCATAATATAGTTTAAGTCACTTCCTTAAAGATTAAAGTAATGAATAAATTAAATTAATTCAGAAGTGGTTTTGTGGAGATTTTAGAAATTTCACTGGTTGAAATCATGAGTCAATTGAAGCTAGATCACCATGGGAAACCTGGGAGCACTGGAAGGCCGTTTCGCCCTAGCATGGGACTCTTCAGCAGTGCTCATCCACGATCCCGCACCCCGCGATACTCGAACTCAGGATCTATCAGTCTCGCGCGCGAGCGCTTAACATTAGATCACTGAGCCGGCATCCAACGGTGTTACTGTCTATCTTCAACCAATCCACTTCATTTAATACAACATTAAGTAATAACATTTCCAAATTAGTCTTTAAACGTTTCTTTTAATTTGAAGAGAGGAAGAATAAAGATTCTAACAGATTTGTATGAATTCATTTCATTTGATCTTGTCCTCATCAACTGCTTACAACCGGGGTTATTTAAAAATCATAATTATATAATGAGTTTAATTTACTTACGTGAGAAGGTTTGGTTAGAAGTTATATTAAAGATACATTCCTTTTTTATTTACCAAATGTTAAAACGGTAATTTTGAATAATTAGTTACTATAAGGGTTAATTCTTTATCTTCTTTCTTTACTCTTTTAGAAGTGTAATAGATAATTTAAAACAACAAGCAGAAATTATAAATAACCAGTTAGCTAATGCACGTAAAGAAAGGTAATATCATTTTATATTCATAAATATAAGTGTTCAGTTAGTCAATATGATTCAAGTGTATTATTTTATATCAGTAAAGATTTTAAAGGCTCGGGATCTAACTCCGGTTATATCGTATGTTTGTTTGCTCTCGATATATACATATATCGCCTATACTCGTATATAATCATCGACTTAGATCGCGTTACTGAATAACGGGATTAAATAAGTCAAATATGTAAACGCATTTTGAATAACTTTATTTCATGCACCCATTGATTTGAACAAACAATCAGGGAATGAAGCAAAGCGAAGAGTACGAAGCGAAATGACGTGCAGTGGAGAAGGCATGTAAGCCAACTCCATTTAATCAATATTTATAGTCACACAAAAATAAGCTACAGACATTTGGTGAGTAGGATATGAAGGGCACACATATGTGCTCATATAAAAAGTCAAGGTTGATAAGTGAATAATTAACAAGATCAAAATTTGTCTCACCAAATATTTGTGAACTTGTTCTTATCATTTTGTAAGAGATCTTGTAGTGTCCGTTGCTATGTTAAGCCCATATACCTTATTCTAGCTTTCAGACAGGCGAATCTATTCATTCTGGCAAGACTATAGTTTATGGACGAATCAATCAGATTTACGACAACAGGTTTTAGATTTTGGCGCGAAATTCATTCACCCATTTAGCTAAACAACATTAAATACCCCGACTATCAATAAAAACCCAACAGTTTGTTTTGAACAACACACAACACACTAATGAAGACATTGTGATACATGAGATTGGTGCATAAGTTAATGATATCTGTATTAAATGAATGATTCAGTTAGTCAGTCAGCTACAACGTAGGATCAGGCACATATATACATCGCTCCAAGTCGCCATACCGCATTAGCACAACAAGATGAATACCGGATTCATAGAAGTAGTGGACTTAACATATAAAAGAAAGATTGCATATAAAGAGATAGTACAGGAAGATAGAATTAGTTCGTAGAAAGAAAGTTATGAAGCGATTTTAATCTCATAATTTAAGAGAAGACAGTGAGTGTATACACCTACACCATTGTGATCGATTCTGAGCCATGTCGCCCAGAGTTTCCAACTATTGGTTACGATAGTTACGCGGACCTCAATCAAGTAGTCTGCATCTACCAACATGGCTCAGACCAGAAAGTTAGTGACTTCAATTATTGATACCACATTTTGGTTTGACCGCCACTAACTTTCTTCTAACGGTTCACAACACTAGTCAGCATTGCGCGTCGTGGAAATCGGTGTTTAGGCATATGTAACACGTTGCTCAACCATCTCAGTTGATGTGAATTCATAAACTGATATACAATCATTCATGAATAATTAATTTTCTAGAATATTACGTTTGATACCAAAAATGAATTGTTACGTTATACTCGCTTTTATTTGTAGAAAACACTCTAACTGTTGTAAATAAATAAAGGATCGTTTCATTAATGACGGTATCGGTTAAAAGCAACAAATTTAATAGGGAATAATTTGATGTTCTAACATTAGAAGAAATTTTTTTAAAAAAAGCTTAATTTTAATCTTGAAGGAACTGATTCACATCACTAGATCCGAATGAGTAACACTGTAATATACTTCACTGATGATCCAATCAGATAACAACTGATTTTCTGTTGGAGTGAGAGATTTATATAAATTGACTTTACTTAATCCTGTTACCCTTAATGGAGGATAGACCACCGACCGAAATTCTCCAACCCACCCTGTCCTGGATTTTCCTTTCTAGTTCTACCCAATTGTTGTTTATTTTTCTCATGTCTGTTTCCATTTCTCCGCGTATTGTGTTCTTTGGTTTTTTTTTCTTCTTTGGCCTTGAGGAATCCAAGTGAGGGCCTGCCTTATGACGCAGTTGGGTGCTTTCCTCAATTTGTGTCCTATCCACTTTCAATGCTTCTTCCTAATTTCTTCTGTTGAGATCTGGTTTGTTCTCTCCCACAGTAGGTTATTGGTGATGAAATCTGGCCAACGGATGTGAAGTATTTTGCGTAAACAACTGTCAATATCCATTCAGAAAGGAAAGTTTGAATAAAACTGTCGTCTAGTTTTATCCTGTATGTCATATATCATCGTTAACCTAGAACCCATTTAGGACTGATCCAAGTTATGTTTGTCTTGAGTCCAGAAAAGAAATTTGAAACTAATTGTATGAAGCAAATCAGTAGTCAATAACTTTGATTTATCTATCCCCATTTCATTTGTCAATCCACATTACTTATTGGTGCACGCAATGGGTAATGTCTACTAATCACAGACATTTATCTTTATATATTACCAATTCATAATGATTAAATTTTATACTGTATATTATTTGTTTTGTACATTTATTTATATTTCAATAGTTCAGATCATTAGTCAGTTAAAGCTAGATCATCATGAAAAACCTGAGGAGTCCCACAATGAAACGAAACGGCCGTCCAGTGCTTCCAGGTTTTCCATGGTGGTTTAGCTTCAGCTGACTCATGATTTCAACCATTGAAATTACTATAATATCCACAAAACCTCTTCTGATATTTATTTCTATGTAAATAATAATAATAATAATAATAATAATAATAATGGTAATTCTATTTAATAAAGAGTTCAATTACAACGTAGACAACGTAAAATTCATAAACAAATTAGCAGTTTTAATGATGAACAAAATTTATTTGTACGTAAATATCAACGTCGTATTAATGAAACAAAAAATAAAATAAATTTACTTTTTAAACAAGTAAGTAAATATACTACTTATTAACTGATATATATTATATTCTATGTATTTATTTTAATTATAATATGTTACATATAAAAGTGTCATTTAATAATTGTCACTACGCTTGGAGTCCTTATGAGGCTATTGCCGGTCCCAAGCCTGGATATAGAAGAAGGGTCGGGCATGGGTTTAGCGACCCCATCCTGTAGAAAATTAACTCGCTAAAAAACGCTAACCAGAAAAAATAATTCAAACCATTTAAACTCTACCTTGGGAGTTAGAAGGTCTTCATTTAGAAGAGTTATGACGATTCGTAGCGATAGTCGGAATCTTTTGAAAGTCACGAGGCTGATACCCCTTCTGACAACCAGAGCAACCATTAATTTGGGTACATTGGAATGCTCGCACAATGTCGGAGACCGGGCGAGTCATCCAAATCGCTATAGAAGTGAAAACATACAATAATTGTCTCGCTACAGTAGAAAACTTGAAGTTGAAATTTACTATTGAATGCAGAGCCAATGGTTTTAATAGTTTAATGTTTGATTAAGAATTTTGAAAATCTTGCATTCGATTCAACTATGTTGGTAGATACAGACCACTTGGTTGTGGTCCGTGTGACTATTGTAACCAATGGTTGGAGACTCTGGATTACATGGCTCTCTGTCTTCCCTTAAACTATGACATTAAAATTGCTTTATATCTTTCTTTATTCCCGTACTATATCCTTACATACAATCATTTTATATATTATTACCATTGGATTAACTACTATGAATCCGGTGTTCATCTTGTTGTGCTAATGCTGTATGGCAGTTTGGAGCGATGCATATGTATGCCTGATCCTACGTTGTAGCTGTCTAACTGACTCGATTCAACTAAGATACACTTTTGACGTGCACAACTTATAAAATAAATCAGTCTTCACGAAATCCCTTTAAAATCGGTAAAGATTTACTAGGACAAGGTTAGATGGAGAGTGCTGGTCGGCGGCCTATGCTCCTTGACGAAGGGTAATAGACGTAAGTAAGTAAGTATCATTGATCTATACAAAATTTATAATGACGTGCAGATGTGTATCTGTCCAAATTATCATAATTAAAATTATGGCAATATAATCAAGACGAGAATTGTTAAAAAATCTCAATTGTGAAATTCTTTCGTTGATAAATGTGAAGTAGAACTCCCATCACTTAAAAAAAATTATACACTCAATCCTTTTATAATAAGAACAACATTGAAATATGGCACCTATATTTGTTTTAGAGTAAGTAACCTTCAATTTTACACCATATATCCGTTCTAACTAACCTATCTATATAATATATTTATATCCCAATGAGAATGATGAATGGTAACTTTTGGGATCTATTTGTAGACAAATACTTTACAAATATTTATATAATATAATAGTGAAGTAACTAAACTGTCCATGTCTGTGTCCCTCTTATTATAAGTCTTATTTTGACTTATGAACTATTATTAGACGATTTACCATTCTTGAATTATGCCCTGTCTATTAATTACTACCTCCATCATTCATTGCCACATTCGGCCAAATCTCGTACAAATGCTGTTTCCTATTTTATGGTACGATGTGATCTATTTGATTGGTATAAAAACCCAGTATGTTTGAAATATATGATTTATATCGTAGAGGCTGAGATTAGTGTTCTGGACTTAACTGGCTGGGCTAGGCGGAAAGCAGGACCAATAATGACTCTAGACTGTTCATACGGGTTTTATGCGTCATTCGTCCGATTGATAAATCTCTGTTCTGTAATTGGCAGTATCATTACGTTATACATTAACAGGGCACTGAGGTCACAAGTTATAACACATATTCATATAAACATATAAACACAACTGCAACAGTTCCAAATATCTTCATCAATTCGTCACACATATTGAATATTATATAGTCTATATTAAACTGTAATTGTTCTTTCAGTAAATCAACATTAAGGGGAAGTTAATTGTTTATATCTTCAATGTACATATATTCTTTCATTAAATGAACTTTTATTTGTATCAAAACTATGACCTTGATCATTTTAATCAATTAAAACAGGAGTACTTCATTATGAATAATTGCATATTTTATTTTGTTCGAATGTTTGCTCAGTTCGTAACAAAACATTGATTACCATCATCCCATTTAAAATATTTATAATGAATAATGAAATTTATTCAATAGAATTAACTGATTTTTAATGTTTCAATTTATTTATTGATTTGATCAATTTAATTAGTAACAAATATTTCAAATATTTAAAACTACAAAAAAATTGGCAAGCAAATTATAGTAATAATACATTGAGTAAATAATAATAATAATAACAATAATAATAACAATGAATGTTGTATTTCAGTTAGTCAATCAACTACAACGTAGGACCAGGAACATATGTACATTGGTTTAAGATACCATATCTCATTGGCACAAAATGATGAACACCGGATTCATAGAAGTAGTTACCTCGATGGTAATCATATACACAAGAATGATTGTGTATAAGGATATAATAAAGGAAGAAAGAATTAGTTGATAGAAAGAAAGACATAAAGCGAATTTAATCTCATAGTTTAAGGGAAGAGAGAGAGTGTGTACACCCACACTATTATTATCGATTCTGAGTCATGTCACCAAGAGTCTCCAACTATCGGTTACGATAGTCACGCGGACGCAAATCAAGTAGTTTACATCTACCAACATTGATCGAATATTGTATTTATTGAAATATGATCCAAGTTTGATTATTGGAAATATTAGACTTATTAAGGAAAGATGGATAATGGTTAGTAGTAAGATTCAGGACGCATGTTTTGTTGTATTCAGGACTTGTCAGCTAGATGTACTGATATCTAAGAGTTGGTGTTCATTCTGAGACTCTAACCAAGTATCCAGTATCAACGAGAAAATTCAAGTAAATAATATCAAATGAATTTAAAACTTCACTCCATTATACAAGCAAGTGGCTATGAGGACTCAATAGCTAAGTGGATAACGTGATGGTGTTTGAAGCAGATGGAACTGTGTTCGAGTCTCGAAGTGAACATCAAATCTGAGATACAGGTAAATCTAGCCGACAAGTCCGAAATAGAATGAAATGTTCGTTTTGGATTCCACTACTAACCACTATCCATCTTTGCTTAGAATGTCTATGAATTAAGTCAATATCGAGATAAGATGTACATTATGCACATATGCCAATAAATGGCTGATCAATTGTAGACTTAAACATCAATAGGAATATTCAAGTAAACAATACCAAGTGAACTTAGGGTTAGACTTAGTTTTGAACTATCTAGTAATATTGATAATTTCGAAAGAATCGATCGTCTCATTTGGATTCGAATATGCGTTGTCAAGAATCACAGTGTGAGATGCTACCACATACCTAATCTGGCTTAAAACAGTACAAACTCATTGAATGCTTATTTTGACAAATTCATTTGGGAAAATTATGTAGATATGTAAGATTATGCAAAGTGTGAGTATCATTAAGGCTGACTGGTATCGGGTCGAAACCTTGTATTCTAGATTATCTAGTTGATCTAGTTTATTACTCATCTGTTTGAGATGACAGATTTCTCATTTCAATCGACTAGTTTTTAGACTAACTGCATTGAATGTCTCAGGAAAGTAATATCATTAAAGAATTTCGTGTATGTAACATGATTCCAATATTCTAAACAACTGGATGATAGCTCGATTTATGTTGAATATTATGAGCTTATTAATTCTTGATATTCATGAAACCTGTGATCGGAAATTCTAAATTAAGTGATCCAACGGGTATGCCGTTGCTCTGATTCGTCCATCATCAGTTTTTACTATTATCACCTAGCTCACTACGTGTTTGACCTACTCTTTTTCTTTTGTTCGATTTTTGTTACGATGGTTTTCAATATAATGTCATTATGGTGAACGACGAACTCAGGCAGGGATAGTGAATTAATTGTTAAGTGCAAAATTACACTGTATTCGCAAAGTATGAAAACTATACATTAAACACTTCATTCGTATATTGTCAGTTGTCTCTTACAAATTTCATCGTTGTTGTTATTAAAATTACGATGTGTTTACATTCCAGTTCCGTTCAATTCGATCATCGTAATAATCTGCTACCAGGCATTCTACTTCTGCTTGGTGTTACATATTCCTTATACATGTCGACATAAGTAGCATTTATTTATTCATTTAATCAAACAAATAAACATTGGTAAAAGAAGACACCAAATAGATATGCGCCACATAACTCATTCGATTTATGTGAGGGATGGAATACTGCTCAGGTGCCCAAACTCAAACCGGTGGTTTACTTAGGGGGACACACTCGGAGCGTTCGATCTAAAGATCTGATTCATAAAGCATTACAGCAACGTAAAGATATGCAGTCATAAGGTAGCCGGTCACCAACAATTGGTTCGTACACCTTTCGCTCACTCAAGATACTGGAGCCCATGTACACCATTAGTTTGGAATCAGGGTTTTCCAACTTCCCTAGGTGAACTCTCTGTGTCCACCAACCAGGTTAAAGCTCCGGACATTCACTTTTTGTCCTCTCAATTTCGTAAACAACAGTAATGCCGCGAGAAGGTAGTGAATAGGACTTCCCTAACAGTGGTTGTATGCACGTGGTCATGTGAGAGCATTTCGAGAAGGAGAGCTAACTCTCCCCACTTTCGGCCGTACCAGGACATTTGAGGGCACATTAGTAGCATCCACCACATTTCCCACTTGTGGAATATTTGAAGCAACTCACCAACTAACTAATTAAAGAGTCATGTTTTTTCAATATTTCCAGAAAACTCAATTAGAAAAAGAAATTGAAATTAACAAACAAAAAGTTGGAGAAATTCAAACAAAAATGAAAGTTGAAAAAGAACATCATGATTATGAAAGAATACATACTACAGAGAAAATTGTTTGTAAGTTAGTTGTACAATCTGTGATGAATGATTTATTCAATAATATTCTCTTCATTCTAATTCAAATTAACTTTTGAACAAACTAATCAGTGGTCTAGTGGTTAAGCGCTCGCGCTCAAGACTGTTAGGTCCTGGGTTTGAATCTCGCGAGGCAGGATCATGGATGCTCACTGCTGAGCATTCCCACAATAGGACGAAACGGCCGTCCGGTGCCCCCAGGTTTTTCGTGGTGGTCTGGCTTCAAGTGACTCATGATCTCAACTGTTGTAATCTGTTAATGTTATTTTGCATTCAGTTGAACTAAACTGAAATACTTCTAATCATTGAACAATGGTTGAAGTTAGACATTAATACCGTTGCATACCGGCTTACTGATCTACAGGTTAAACGTTCGCATGATAAACTGATAGGTCCTGGGTTCGAATCTCGCGAGGCGGGATCATGGATGCGCAACGCTGCGGAGTCCAGTGCTTCCAGGTTTTCCATAGTGGCCTAACTTCAATTAGCTTATGAATTCGACTGTTAAATTTATAAAAAAAATCCATGTTTCTGTTCAGTTGATGGATTATGTTTATTAACTGATCGACTTACTTACTTATTCACGTCTGTTACTCCCAATGGAGTATAGGCCGCCGACCAGCATTCTCCAACCTACTCTGTATTGCTCCTTCCTTTCTAGTTCTGTCCAATTGTTGTTCATTCTTCCAATATTTGTCTCCGTTTCTCGACGTATTATGTTCTTTGTTCTTTTTCTTCTCCTTTGGTCTTGATGATTCCAACTAAGGGTTTGCCTTGTGACTCAGTTGGGTGCTTTCCTCAATATGTGATCGACTGAAAAACAGTCTAATCAGTATCAAAAGAATATTGATAAACTTAAACCGTTGAGATGAATTCGATAAATCGATAAAAGATATTCTAGGAAATATTGGTCTGTTTTCTTTCTTGCTTTTTTTTGTTAGCCAATCAAATAAGTTGATAATTATGAATAATTGATAATTGGAAACAAATTCAATTAAGCGGTTTATTGAATAAATAATTCAAGGATTTTGTTTTAATGAATTCTTTTGTTTTGAAATATAAATACGTTCTATATAGAAATGTATCCTTGTAGCTTAAAATCTATCTATTTTATGAGTTATTATAAGAAACACAGATATAAATTAGAAAATACTTTGAAATTGTGGAAAGTCAGATTTAGATTTATGTAGCAAGGACAGAAGGCCTACGGCCTATGTTATTTCATTTCTAGTATGCTTCTTTGAGTGTCCATTCTTCTCTTGAAAGAGTCAATTGAAGCTGCGGACACCACTGCTTTGGGCAGCAGGTTCCAAGTATTGATGACTTCCTTGAATATATCAGAAGTTATTAGTCCATACTACTTAACCACTGAACACCAACTGCCCTTACAATCCTTTAGGGTGATTAGTAAGCAGCCAAACTCCAGTCTTCTGAAGCCGTTGCCATCAGGCGTCAAAAACCTGACTTATGTATTCAAAAGGAGACGGTTGTTAATCTTTCCTTGCCTTGGTGACAAACATTCTTTCGCTGCACCTTAAAATATTTTTTTGTATTTATTACATCATTGATTTCTATTTCTTAATTATCTTTTACATTAGTAATCTTTAAACTGAACTCTACTCACTATATTCCTATCAATGTTTATTCATTATGTAATCAATTGTTTCTAACCTTTTTGAGCTGTTGTCACAATTAATGATGTAGAATATTTTTTCACATTAGGTATATATTTACAATATTCAGTCTATTAATTTCATTTACACCCATGATATACTTTACGAATATGTCTTCAATATAACTTCTAACCAAACCCTCTCATGTAAGCAATTTAAACCCATTATGTAATTATGACTTATAAATATCACAGGTTGTGGGCAGCTGATGAGAATCAAACGGAATAAAAATGAATTCATGCTATTCTGTTAGAATGTTTGTTCTTGCTCTTTTCAAAATGATAAAGGGAACTATGTGTATGAAATGCCCTCAATTACCCTAGTACAGCTGAAAGTGGGGAGAGTTAGCTCTCCTTCTCGAAATGCTCTCACATGACCACGTGCATACAACCACTGTTAGGGAAGTCCTATTCACTACCTTCTCGCGGCATTACTGTTGTTTACGAAATTGAGAGGACAAAAAGTGAATGTCCGGAGCTTTAACCTGGTTGGTGGACACAGAGAGTTCACCTAGGGAAGTTGGAAAACCCTGATTCCAAACTAATGGTGTACATGGGCTCCAGTATCTTGAGTGAGCGAAAGGTGTACGAACCAATTGTTGGTGACCGGCTACCTTATGACTGCATATCTTTACGTTGCTGTAATGCTTTATGAATCAGATCTTTAGATCGAACGCTCCGAGTGTGTCCCCCTAAGTAAACCACCGGTTTGAGTTTGGGCACCTGAGCAGTATTCCATCCCTCACATAAATCGAATGAGTTATGTGGCGCATATCTATTTGGTGTCTTCTTTTACCAATGTTTATTTGTTTGATTAAATAAATAAATAAATGAACATTAACTAATTTTATATTATCCGTGTTGTGTTTTTATGGCCTGCTAGTTATCATGTAATCTATTCTCGAATCAAAATACGACTTATTCGCTCTTATACTGTACTAAACCAATGAAGTCCTACCGGTCTGATCAGCCTAGCGTCCTATTGTTCCGTTGCTCGCCTACCCCGTCCAACTGAGTCCAGAATACTAACAACAGCCTCCACTATGCAAATCATTTATTTCAGACATACTGAGTTCATATCATCAACCAAACAGACCTCAACGCACCATAAAATGGCAAATAACATTTATACGCAATAAAGCCAAGAAGTGGCTATGAACGTGGGAGACAGTAGTTAATAAACTGAGTATAATTTAAGAACAGTACATCGTACAATAATAATCTATGGGTCAAAATAAAGCTTATAATAAGGTGAATATAGATATACATAATCTAGTTACTGAATATTTATAACACAAGAATATATAAATAATATTTTTCCAATAATATGTCTCAGACGTCACTTGTAATGTAATCTTTACTAAGATATAACAATTTGCTCCTTTGTTCTGATAAAATCCTATTGATTAACTTACAACGCGACTACCAGGTTGTATGACTTACTATCACTAATTGGAATTTCAAAAAATACATCAATCCCATTAAGGTTTCAAATGAACTGAGTTGTTGAGTTCCAGCTGGTATGAAACCCAAGTACACGTACATATTCAACCGAAAAATACTATCATTTATTTAGACTTAAACATGAACTTTGATAAGAAGGACAGTTTTTACTTTGTAGTATCCTAACTCATAAGCAATAAGGTAGCACGATATATGGTGAAATATTTCTTAAAGTAAATCAGTGGTGATGAAATGTATTTTCTTTTCACTTAACATTTTTTACATATAAAAACATGAATAGATCAATATTAGACCACCATTTAAAACCCAAAGGCATTTAATAGCCGTTTCGTATATACGATCTTGCGCGAGGGAATCGAACCTAGGTCCTTCGGTTTTGGATAATCTCTACTTTCTATCCCTTACTCTCAAATATATCATTCCTATTTAACTAATATTCTCTTTGTTGATGTTTATATAGCACTAAATAAATTGTTGGATGAATTCGTTGAAAAGTGTCAACAGATGGATAAAAATGTTCAAGATGAACTACCAAAATTGGAAGGATTAAATAGTAAAGTAAAAATGATTGAAAAGATTGAAACAGAAACTAAGTCATTACAGGTTGGTAAGTTTAGGTAAAAAAATTGCGCACTATGAATGCTTTAAAGAGATCAATATTGTTTAATATAGGGATTAATTTAAAAGACTTCGATACCATCTATAGTGCTGTTAAAAGCTTTGACTATTTATGGAAGATAATGAAGTAGTTGAAGAGTACAAATGAACAGGTTGTCATATTGATAATCAATGGTTTGTGCTTAAAATGAAAGTGTTTCAAACCTCAGCCCACCTAATTAGAATTTGGTAACATGATGGTTTGGTTAAATTTCAGAATTAATGTGTGACAATTCAAGAACATATGGAACTCAAAACAACTATCAGGATTTGCAATACAAATGTTAGGAGAGTTCTACAATATGGAGATGAAGCTTAAAGAACTCCCACATACATCATCAAAATGTGCAGTTATTTATAAATAGCTATCTACTGAAGATACTCAATATCTGTTGATTAGACATCATCAGCAACAATCTAATGTAGCAAAGAACAAAGCAACTTCCAGATGAAGAGGAAGTTAAGGAAATACACTGATGGGGGGTAGGGCATACATTGCACAGATTATCAAACTAAAATACGAAGCAAACCCTAAGTTGGAAACCTAAAAGTAAAAGGAAAAGAGAAAAATCCAAAAAGGCATTGTGCCAAAAATTGGAGGTAGGTATCAAAGGAATGAATGATACTTGAAAAAAATTGGTAAGGAGAGCTCATGACAGAGTTGGTTAAAGTATCCTGGTCAAGGGTCTATGCTTCATGGGGAGTTACAGAAGTAAGTTAGCAGAATACAAATGCTATCATAGATAAGCTAGAAGCACAATAATGTTAAGTTGGTTTGGGTTAGAATTACACCGCTATACTTTTAACCTTGGATACACAGACATCATAATTCTTTCTAAGAACCCACATGAGAGGTTGAGCATATATACAAATTCACGCAGTTGATTAAACAACTATTACACATTTTTGTTTTTCTTTTCTTTACATCTGAATCTGACAACTCTTTTTGTTCTGAATAATCATTTACATGTTTATTACTTACTTACGCGTGATACTCCCAATGGAGCATAGGCCGCCGAACAATATTCTCCAACCCACTCTATGTTGGGCCTTTCTTTCTGGTTCTATGCAATTGTTATTAGTTCTTCTCATGTGTGTCTCTACTTCTTGGCGTAATGTGTCCTTTGGTCTTCCTCTTCTCCATTGAACTTGAGGATCCCATGTGAGGGATAGCCTTGTGATGAAGTTGGGTGCTTTCCTCAATGTGTGTCCTATCCACTTCCAGTGCCTCTTCCTGATTTCTCCTTCCCCTGTGATCTGGTTTTTTCACCATGAGGCGTCATAACTCTTCTAAGTGAAGACCTTCTAATTTCCAGGTCAGATTTCAAATGGCTTGAATTATTTGTTTTTTGGTTAGCGTTTTTTAGCGAGTTAATTTTCTACATGATGGGTTCGCTAATTCCATGCCCACCCCTCCTCCTTCATGCAAGCTTGGGACCGACAGTGGCCCAAGAGGGTCTCTAGGAGGAGTTATTTACACGTTTATAATGAAAATTAATTTTTAGTTGTTTTATTCATTGGACAAAAAACGGAAATGGTAACTAGAGTCTTTTGTTTTAGTGACCAAATTATGCAAATTTTATACTACCATGATATGTATTTACTAATAAATCTTTAGATAATTAAGTAGATTAGATGCAAATTTTTAAAAGTTTTGTTATGATTACCAATGTTAATTAGGTAGGTATTTGATTACATTTGTGACAGAAAAGATGATTAGTTATGTAATAACACGGTGACTGATTTTCTACATCATTTCTAGAACTCTGTTTTATTATTTAGTTTTTTCATTAACATGAACACGATTATGTAATGTGGATAAGATTATGGTAAGACAAAATAGATGAATATAGATTATCAATTAATAAATGATAATGTCATCACTGGTGTATAGCAAGCAATTACTTACCAAGACGAAATGGTCGTCTAGTGGTTCTAGGTTTTCCATGGTGGTCTAGCTTTAATTGACTCATAAATTCAACTAATAAATTACTCAAACTATCCACAAAACCCATTCCTGATTATGATCATCATATCCTCACTAGTGACGGTCTCCAAGAGTTATTTCCTGTAGTTCTAGTGAGAAGCCGTGATCAGGGGTATTCAACAGGGTCTGTTGTCAGATGGTAACTGATTGAACGGTGGAGCAATTTCGTGGATTGGTTGAAGTTGGACATTAACACCGCTGAATACCTGTTTAGTGGTCTAGAGTTTAAGCGTTCGTGGGCGAGACTGATAGGTTCTGAGTTCGAACCCCACTTGTCGTTTGCGGGTGCACACTGCTGAGGAGTCCCATGCTAGAACGAAACGGCCGTTTATTGCTTCCAGATTATCCACGGTGACCTAGCTTCAATTGACTCATGAATTTAGGTATTAAATTACTCTAATATTCACAAAGCCCATTTCTAATTACTTAATCATTTGGATTGCAAAGGAAAATCATCTCTACAATCACCTCTAACTTTTAATCACATTTTGAGGTTTAATTAGATGAATTAATTAGTTAGTTATATCTGTTGGTTATATCGGTGCTTAATTGTTTGATATGTGTGCACACAGTAATTTATTGATTAACTGATGCTAAATACTACTGAATTCAGTATAAACAAACCTAACTGTTAATCTGGATGTAAATAAATCACATGAAAAGTGATGTACTTATAAATATATCTCTTTTGATTTATTTATTGGGTCAAATAAATCTTTCCTATCAGTAATTGTTTTCACTATGCATCATTGGATTTGGGGTCTCAGTATCAAACACAAATCAATTAAGGATTTCGTAGAAATTATAGTGTTAGATATAACTTACTATATTAGCAAAGTGTCGAAATCCTTGTTAGAATAGCCTCTTTAAATTCTAGAGAACTTCTCAGTCAACTACAATGTAGGACAGGGCACATATATGTATCGGTCTAAGTTGCCACACCTCATTAACACAACAGGATGAACACCAAATTCATAGAAGTGGTTACCTCGATGCTAGTAATATATGAAAGAAAGTGTATAAGAATATAATACAGGAAGAAATAATTAGAAAGAAAGGTGTAAAGTAATTTTAATCCCTAATACTCTACGACTAACCACACTAGAAGAGAACTTATAGAACATGAATAAATTATTATTTCAATACGAAAAGGATTTTTAAACAATTAGAATTTCTATAAGCTTGCTAACGACAAACGTATTGACATAGATCCAGATTATCAATTAGTAAAGATCGAATCAACCAAATATATGATCATAGGTTAAATCAGCATACAAAGGAGTAGGAATCCAACTATATGGGAAGATTATAAAAGGACAATTAATTACTAATAAAACCATCAAGTCAACCTAATTTCATATTTCAGTCAGTCAGTCAGTTACAGCGTAGCACCAGGCACATATGTGCATCAATTCAAGTTGCCATGCCACAGCAAGCCGAACACCGGATTCATAGAAGCAGCTAACTCAATGGTGTAATATATAAAAGATTTTATGTAAGGATTTAGTCCAGGAAGAAAGAATTAGTTGGTAGAAAGAAAGATATGTAGCGATTTTAATTTCATAGTTTAAGGGATGATAGAGAGTGTATACACCTATGACATTGTGATCGATTCTCAGCCATGTCAAAAAGTCTCCAACCATTAGTTATGGTAGTCACGTGGACCCCACCAAATAGTCTGCATCTACAAACATGGTTCAGAATAGAAGTTAGTGACTTCAAGCACTAATGCCGCATTCTGGTTTGGCCGCCCCTAACTTTCTTCCAACCATCCCCAACACCTGTTAGCGTTGCGCGTCGTGGTATTGGGTGTTCAGGCATATGTAACACGTTGCTCAACCATCTCAGTCGATGTGGATCCATAACCTCATCAATTGATTTACCATGATTCCCTTATATCTTGCGTCTCCAATATCCTGCTACTAAAACAACAATAACACGGTTCCACATCAGTGATAATAATCACAATCAATCCATGTATTTAAACTATAACTTTTTCTTGTCGATTTGATATTTTCAACACTAGTAATGGAAACTATTCAACTGTATCAATAACAACATCCAAAATTTTAGTCAAATTTACTTTAGAATTGTATGACTTACTTGCTTACGCCTGTTACCCGTCGTGGAGGAGCATACTCCGCCCACCAGCACTCTCCATCCAATCCTATCCTGGGCAACCCTTTCTAGCTCTTTACAGTTGTTATTCATCCTTTTCATGTCTGCTTCTATTTTCCGACGTAATGTGTTCTTTGGCCTTTCTCTTTTCCACTTCCCTTCAGGATTCCAATTTAGCGCTTGCCTCGTAATGCGGTTTGATGATTTCCTCAATGTATGTCCTATCCATTTCCATCATCTTTTCCTAATTTCCTCTTCAGCTGGAAGTTGATTTGTTTTCTCCTGCAGAAGGCTGTTGCTGATGGTATCCGGCCAATGGATGTTGAGTATCTTGCGTAGACAACTATATATAAATATTTGTACCTTCTTGATGATGGTTGTTGTAGTTCTCCAAGTTTCAGCTCCGTGCAGTAGAACTGCCTTGACGTTCGTGTTGAAGATTGTGACTTTAATATTAGCTGACGGTTGTTTTGAGTTGCATATTTTGTTTGTTCAATTGTAGGAATACGGCCCCTGCTTTGGCAATCCTTACCTTAACGTCTTCATCCGATCCTCTTTGTTCATCAGTGATGCTTCCCAGGTATGTGAAGGGTTCTACGTCTTCCATAGTTTCTCCATCAAGTGTGATTGGATTAGTATTCTCCGTGTTATATTTGAAGATCTTACTTTTTCCTTTATGTATGTTGAGGTCTACTGATGCAGAAGTTGAATATTAATTCAAGAAAGCTTCATAAATGTTAATTGTAGCTTCACGTTAGAATGCTCATCCCCTTCTTCACAAAGAAGAGGATTACTTCTTCTGATGTCTGTGGATATAAAGCGTTTTTTTCTTAATTTAACATCTTTACAAAATGTAATTATTACTGATCATATCAGTAATATATTTAAGCAACTATTAATCATTTACTTATTTTATTCACAAAAACGTCTTATTATTTGAAGACTATTACCATCATAACTTACTATCCATTGAAGAAGTATTTGAAATTATGAATTGTGTTACATAATAGTTCAGTTCTACTTTTAAAAATCTATGGTAAGTCCACACTCATGATTATATACAAGAAAGGAATATTTGAATAAGATGGTGTTTAAATTATTAAGAAATATTGTAAATGATGATGATGATAAAGCTAGACTACCATGGAAAACCTGGAAGCAATGGACGACCGTCCTAGTATGGGACTCCTCAGCAGCGCGCATCCACGATCTCGCCCATCGCGAGGTCCGAACTTAGAACCTATCACTCTTGCGCTCAAGCGCTTATCCATTAGACCACTGAGCCGGCATCCAACGGTGTTAATGTATAACTTCAACCAATCGACACATGATTTCAACTACTGTAATTTCTAAAATCTCCACTAAACCCCTTCCGATCATAATCATCTACTCACTAGTAACTGACTTCAAGAGGGACTTCTTGGAGTTCAAGTAAGAAGCCGTTACCAGTGGAGTTCAACCAGGTCTGTTGTGAGATATCAGCTCACTGAAGACAATGGTGTACGGTGGGGCGATTTCATGGATTGTTTGGAGTTAGACATTAACACCGTTGGATGCCAGCTCAGTGGTCTAGTGGTTAAGTGCTCACGCGAAACCAGTAGGTCCTGGATTCGAATCTCTTGGGGCGAGATCGTGGATGCGCACTGCTGAGGAGTCCCATACTAGAATGAAACAGTCGTCCATTGCTTCCAGTTTTTCCATGGTAGTCTAGCTTCAATTGACTCATGATTTCAACTATTGAAATTTCTAAAATCTCCACAAAACCCCTTCTGAAAATAATTATGTTATCATTGTACATGATTGATTATTTTTCCCATTAGAAATGAATCAGAATATTCGTTCATTGGAAAATGAAATAAATCGATTGAATGATGAGAACAAAAAACTTGATTTTGATCTAGTAAGTCTGCTTTTTTAAGGTTAAATTACTTTTTATTATCTAGTTGATTAGTGATTGATCTGATGATTGATTTCAAGAAGAACTGTTGAAGTTCCAATATGATTCTGAGGACAGTAAACACCTGTTATGTCAGAAATAGGGTAGATATTATTGATGGAATGGATTATGTTGAAGATGCTGACTGTTAGATACTATCTTGGTAGGACAAAAATATTGCACTCTCTACAATCCTTAGAGACAGTAGGTGGACAGTATTGTGGGGTCCCAAACTGGAATAAAATATTCCCCTGACTTTCAATTGTATCCCAACTTATGTCAATCTATGATTAGAAGAAAAACGATCTATATATTAGATTAATTTGTACAAGTAATAAATGAAATATCTTAAATAAAGCCAGGAGAATCATGGATGTAAAATAATATGAATTCATTGTATTTCGCTCTTGTATGGGGTGGAAACCTGGAAAACCACGAAAGCCATCATCCAGAAGACACAAGTGTTTATTAATAGCTGTTTACGCAAAATGCTTCGGATCCGTTGGCCAGACACTATCAGCAACAACTTACAGAGGGAAAGAACAGACTTATTCTAGTGGAGGAAGAAATCAGGAACAATAGCTGGAAGTGGATAGGACACACATTGACGAAAGCACCCAACTGCGTCACGAAGCAAGCCCTTACATGGGATCCTCAAGGTCAAAGGAAAAGAGGAAAACCAAAGAACACATTACGTCGAAAAATGGATACTGACATGAGAAAAATGAACAAAAATTGGATAGAACTGGAAAGGAAGGCCCATGACAGAGTGGGTTGGATAATGTTGATCGGTGGCCTATGCTCCATTGGGAGTAACAAGCGTAAGCAAGTAATTTTATTTCGTGGTTTCTAATCAGCTGCTTACAACCAAATGTGTAATAATTGCATGAAGTATCAAAAAAAAGTTAACTTTTGCTTTCCCCTTCCCCCTTAGTTCCAAATTCAACAGAACTTTCAATCTATGATCTTATACCATGTTGAATTTTATACATTCCCATTTCTGGAATTAATTGTTATGAGGAAAAATCGATGGAAAAATATCACAGTTACATTCACTCTTTTACTTTACCCTAATTTTTCTTTCTGTGCTATTCTAAAATGTTGGTTCTTTTATCGTATTTACTTCGTATGTATCATCATGCAGAATTGAATTAATGGTTTCCAACATACTGAAAATGAGGCAGTTTTAGTGCATGAGTGAGTGAAAAAAACTGAATTGATGTTAGACCACCATTGAAAACATGGAAGCACTGAACGGCCGTCTCGTCCTATTATGGGACTTTTCATCAGTGCGCATTTACGATCCTGGCCGCGGGGTTCGAACCCATGGCTTTTGGTCTCGCGAGCGAACGCTTAACCTCTAGAGGTTGATAATCTCCACAACCTCATACGGATACGTTAAGTAATAATTATATAGTGACATGTCAATTATAAACTAACATTGAGTAATTGGAAGAAAGAGGATTATAATAATCAATAGTCACTCTAGACCGATAAGTCCTGGGTTCGAATCCCGCGAGTGGGATTATATTATGTTGAAGATACATTAGTATATTATAGCAAGGGTGTGAATAAATTCAATAGATTGAATATTGTAAAATTTACCCTATGTAAAAGAAAATCCAAACGGCTAGAAATAAGTGATTACGTAGTAAGTAAACGCTGATGAGAATAAAATGAGTAAAGCACAGTTAATAAAATAAGATTAGTAATCTGGGAGACAGTCTAAAGTAAAAGACATAGTGATGTAATAGATGCAAGAAAGAGTTTAAAAAACAAGGAAAACGTTTTACGATGCAGAGAAGGAATATTTGTCAACAAGGCAAAAATGATTATTAACCATCTTCTTTTGAAAACATAAATCAGATTTTTGACACCTGATAGTATCGGCTTCAGCAAACTTCAAAAGACTGGAGTTTGGTTGTTCATTAATCACCTATAAAAATTTCAAAGCATTAACCTGATGTCCTATATTCAATAGATGCTTAGTAATTGCACTGTTTAAAGTCATTTTTTCTCTTGTTCTAAGGATTTTTGAAGCACGCTTAAAAAAACTTAAGATATGCCCTCGTTTCTGTTCGACCAATGTAGCTGTTTTAGTAGGTACACCTAAATTTATAAACACAATTGGCGATAACATGATTTAATCAATTCTGATTCATTGAAGAAGTGACTTGAATTATATTATGAAATGTCAGAAATTCCATTATGTTCCTCACTGAGATATTACAAAGATTACTTAATTAAGCCTGTTACTCCCAATGGAGCGTAGTCCGCCGACCAGCAATACTAGAAATATATTTCTTGTTATTTTTTTGTCAACTTCATTTGATATTGTTCCCATTTGTACTACCTTGAATTATTTTTTTCTGGTTAGTTTTTTTTAACGTGTTAGTTTTCTACAGGATGGGGTCGCTAATCCTATGCCCAACCCTTCTCCTTTATCCGGGCTTAGGACCGGCAGTAACCCCAGAGAGCCTCCAGGCGGAGTTGGTCAATTGAGGTGATTACTTCGCTGTGAATTATCTTTTCATTTTATTGCTTTAAAAACATTTGTTAAGTTTTGTATTGTTTGTAACCGTTTATAATATATAATCATCTATCACTCGATTCCATAAATAATGATTTCTACTATCTAAATACTGTATTCACATTTTAATGGTTGAGAGCATGAGTCAATTGAAGCTAGACCACAGTGAAGAACATGGAAGCACTGAACGGCCGTATCGTTTTATTGTGGGACTTCTTAACAGTGCTCATCCACAATCCCGCCTCCTGAGATTCGAACCCAGGATCTATCAGTCTCGTGCGCCAACGCTTAACCTCCAAACCACTGAGCTAGCATCCAATAGTGTTAATGTCTAACTTCAACTAATCCATGAAATAGATTGACACATCCATCATTGTCATCAGCAAGTTACTATCTCACAACAGACCCCATTCAACTCCACTTGTTACTGCTTCTCACTAGAACTCCAGGATATCCCTCTTGATCCCAGTCACTATTGAGCATATATTGATTAATATCAGAAGGGGGTTTTGTAGATCTTATAATAATTCTAATGTATTATATAATATTGAATATATATTTTTTTAGAAATTATCAAAAAAACAAACTAATCTACATCAAATGGATTATATGAATAAATTTATCAATGAAATTGATTTATTGAATATTAATGAAAAAAATATTTATACTTATGGCTGTCGTTTAAAAACTGTAGAAATTGAAAATGCTCGAATCAACACAGTAAGTTACTAAGACTGATATTGATTTTTTATTTTCAATAATTTCTTTTAAACTCGATTAGAGTTTGGATGAATCCTGTTATTTGAGTTTTTGATATTATGTTTATATACCATGCGTACTATACTATACTATACTGTACTATGCTATACCATACTGTACTACACTATACTATACCATACTGTACTATACTATACTATTTTTATAACTTGTGGCCTGCCGATTAGAGAGTAGTGACTTATCGATCTGATCAATGACGCATAAAACACGTGCAAGCAGTCTAGAGTCCTGATTGATCCTGCTTCCTGCTTAGCCCAGCCTGTTAAGTCCAGAACACCGATCTCAGCCTCTGCAATATGAATCATGTATTTCAAACATACTCGGTTTATACACCGATCAAACAGACCACAACGTACCATAAAATAGAAAATAACATTTGTACAACATTTAACCAAATGTGGCTGTGAATGTGGGAGGCGGTGACAAATAGACAGGGCATAATTCAAGAATGTTAAAACGTATAATAATGGTTCATAGGTTAAAATAAAGCTTATAATAAGAAGAGTATGAATATGAATAGTTTAATTATTTAAAAATTATGCGATAAAAATATACGTTTGGTATTGGTCCATAAACGGATCCCAAAAGTTACCATTCATTATGCTTATCGGGACCTAACAACTATACTATACTATTGATATACATAATAGTTTAGTGATTGAAGAATTCAACTTTCTATTACTAAGTTTCAGGTTTCATCCTAATACATTCATCAGCTTCATACAAATTGAATGGATCTAAATTGATTAAATGACTGTATTTAATAATAAAATTGATAATAATTATAGAATTTTTGTGTATTCAGTGTTGTGTATTTTGTATGTGATTTGATAATTTTCTGTCAATTTTACATATTTTACTGTAGACATTTGATAGTGAGTTATATATAGACACTAACGGTCAGTTAGCAACAACGGAGAACTTTGTACGTACATAAATCAGTTCAAGTTGTCATACCACATTAGTACAGAGATATAATTGTCGATTCAAATCTCATAGTGGTAGAGGTAGTAAACGTATAAGCAGTAATCGGAAACATCAAGGTTTGAAGATGTTATTTAAGGAGTATAATCCAGTGAAATAAATTTGTTAAGAGAGAAAAGAAAGGGGCATGTATGATTCAGAAGATTAGAATTTAGGAGAACACAAGGAGTGGATGCACCTGTGCCATTGCAAACGATTTTGAGCCATGTCATTCAAGGTCTCTAACCATCGGTCGCTATCGTCTCGCGGATCCCAACCGCTTGTCAGTGACTTCCTTGATTTGTGCCATGTCTTGGCCTGACCGCCCCTAGCTTTCTTCCAACTAACTCCAACACCATTAAACACTATACTGAGATGATTCAGAAGAGATTTAATTACAGTGGATACTTTTCGGTAGTGCTGTGTTTTTTTAAAGCTGGATGGTTTAATTTGAAAGCTTTGTGATCATTCTATTCAAGATTATGTTTCCATATAACACACTTCTCACTTATCTGATTTCAAGAAAATAGTTTATATTTTAATCATACAAATTATCACTAAGTTTTATTGACTAAACAACCATGAAAAAACCGAGTAAATGACCCAGATTCAATCTGAACTAGACAAAAATGGTGTGGTAAGTGTCATGAAGTGCACATCATATGTATATACCAACCTTCATTTAATAGTATATTCAAGGTCACCAACATCAAAACTTATTCATTAAAAAATATTGTCTATCCACTAAGTGATAATCAACTTGACTTAATATACACTTACTATCAAATCAACTGTTGTGTTTCTTCATGGTTATTCGGCTATTGATGGAGTTCTGAGAAGATTAAAAGTCACTTAATATAGAATAACAATAATACATATGGAAATCGTATTAAGAACAACTGTATTGATTCTAATATCTAATACAACAGCAAGATGTTCTAGCAAGTTACAATATAACTAAAAGTTTCCAGTATTGGTTAGTATGAGGAAGATCATCAATACTTCTAAACATTTCCTCTTTGTATTCTTCAAGCTGACGATCAATTATGAAGGAATTATGACAGACTAACAACATAGTACATTCGAACTCCAAAGTTCATCAACAGTATCAATTTAAGACCAATGCTGATACCTGATTCTGTTGGTAACAGTGTGAATTTATAGTAAGGCTTTTTTTAAACTAAATTATTTTTAAAGCCCTGACTATTGCAAATATAATGTTTTGCGAAAAATGTAATAAGTTTAAAGAACCCTTGAAAATTGGGGTATGATTTAAATGACACTGAACAACTATTCCTTTAATCATGGTAAAAACTCTCGTAATCAAATTTAGAATCCTCACTCAAGTAATGATGAACATTTACCGAGTTAAAGATCAGTAATGTACAGTTTCTGGCTTTAACCAACTGATTATTTCCTTAATAAATAATGTTCACTATCTGTTCTAAGATATTTGATTTCAACGTTTGTGCGAAGGCCGTAATAAGGCGGACAAATGCGGATTAAGTTGGATGAATCCATTTGAATAACTCGTTTATTCAGATGAGAAAGATAAACAAAACCTAGAAGAAAATTGCGCCAACTGCATTTGATAAATATCAGTATAGGGGTTGTGGAGATTATTAAGTTTTTGATTGAGATCATGAACCGATTTTTGTTAAACCACCGTTGGAAACCTGGAAGCACTGGATGGCCGTTTCGTCCTATTGCGGTCTAACATCAATCGGTTCATGATCTCAATCAAAAACTTAATAATCTCCACAACCCCTGTACTAATAATTAACATGTGCTCACTAGTGACTAGCTTCGTGATGGAATTCTCGGAGTTCTAGTGAGAAGCCGTCACTAGTGGAGCTATTCCGTGTCGGGTAGAGACAGGTATCTACCTCAGTACAATGGAAGATGGGAGCGAAACTTCGTGGATTGGTTGATGTTAGACACTATCACCACTGGATGCCGGCACAGTGGCCCAGTAGCCCCTGGGTCCGAATCCTGCGAGCGGGATCGTGGATGCGCACTGCTGAGGAGTCCCACGATAGGAAGAAATGGCCTTCCAGTGCTTTCAGGTTTCCAACGGTGGTCTAACATCAATCGGTTTATGATCTCAATAAAAAAAATCCATTTCATAGAGTGCGACTCACTATTTATAACCAAAAAAAGAAACTTAAGACATGTGATGAATAGTGTAAGTGATACAGACACATAAGCTCAAAGAAAAAACAGTTAAGGTTAATAAACGAATATTTGACAAGATCAAATCCGTCTCAAGAAGAATAAATAAATCGGTCTATTCGGGATATGATGGTATAAAAAGGCAACCATCAACAAGACGACCACCATTCATAATAATTCAAACGCTAAAACAACCCATGTGAGCTAGACATAATACTATTGTAGCATTAAGCCAACGTTTTAAGCTGAGGAGTTATGAGCATGTTAGAATCCGGATTTTAAATGTCTATGTTGCTTATTTGTTGACTAACGCTTATTACCCTTCTTAATCTGTCGAAAGAATATGAAGAGTAGTACACAACTTCAAGAATCGAAATATAGTTGCGTAACGATCAAAAAGTGAAAGGGAAAGGATAAGATAGAACCAAATGTATAAGGAGTAATGATTATGGTAAAAATAAAAAAAGTTTAAAAAACATGACGGTGGTAATAAAAAGTATCAATAACCGATTATGTGAAAGAGTGAAGTTGGTTATTAGAGTCATGATATTATGACAACTTAACGCGACGCTTTTGGACATCTAAGTCAGGTTTGAAATGGTGAATTGCTACCGCTTCTACAGCGAAATTATCTGACACATTGTTGTTATATAGTTGGATTTTTGAATTAAGCTGACTAATTAAAAAAAATAAACTGTTTAAACATTTCTGTCTGTCAAACGTAAATCTGCTTTTTCGATGGAGTTTTGTTTTGGTCGAAAATCAAACCAATGAGAGATACAACCAAAACAAAGAAAAAAACAATGATAGGTTTAAGGTTAACAAGAACCAATCAACATCGAAGTCTACAGGAAAAACTATTAACCACATATAGAGAAATTCGAACAATTCACTTCTATCTGAAGTTTGTGTTGATGATGTCATTCGTAAGAACGATGAAAGTTCAGAGAACAAAACTCCATCAAAATCATCCACCTGAGCTGCAAATCTTCTTCACCATCTGTAAATCTGCCTATAGTTTCAACTGAAATAAATGATTATTTAAATTATCTACATAATAATCTTATATTAATAATGATCATTGTATGAGGTCCACCTATTCATCTAATTAGTAATATGAAATAAAACCTACTTATTTGACAACTCCACCTGGGGCCTCTCTGGGGCTACTGCCGATCCGAAGCCCGGATAAAGGAGAAGGGTTAGGCATGAGGTTAGCGACCCCATCCTGTAGACAACTAACTCGCTAAAAAACGCTAACCAGAAAAAACTTATTTGACGCTTATTATCACAGTTGTCAACAATCGACATTAAGTTTCACTACAGAGCACAAAGAACGATGTTTTTTGGGAATATATGTAATGAAGAATTCCGAGTATGACTTTTTAATTCTAGAATAAAAGACTTTTTCTTAGTATCTAAAACTTATTCAAAGTATAATCTACCGAAGATTTCTCCAGTATTTTTTAACATTACTATAATGGAAATAACAATTTGTAAACAAATTTGAAGAATTATAGTATTTATTGAAAGCAGAGTCTTTATTTATTTATTTGAACACATAAATACTGGTACAAGGCGGCACCAAATACATATGCGCCACACAAATCTCAGTTGATTTGTGTGAAGGCTGTGATACTGCCTGGGTGCCCAAACCGAAGCAGGTGGTTGTCCTAGGGACACACACCCGGAGCCTTCGATCTAAAGGTCTCATCCACAAGGCAGTGGAGAAACATAAGGAGATGTAGTCCCATGGCAGCCGGTGACAAACGATTAGTTCATACGCCATTTGTTCCTTCAGAATATCGGAACCCATGTGTGCCGTTGGTTTTCCAACTCTCCTTGGTGGACTCTCCGTGTCCACCAACCCGGTTAAAGCGCCGGACATTCGCTTTTTGTCCTCGCAATTTTGTAAACAACAGTAATGACGCGAGAAGGCAGTGAGTAGGACTTCCCTGGCAGAGGCTATATACGCGTGGCTATGTGAGGGCATTTCGAGAGGGAGAGCTAATTCTCCCCACTCTCGTCTGTACCACGGCATTTGGGGGCAGATTCTTCACTAGACATTTAGAAAACTGCATTTTTGACTGATTGTAGAGCAGAAAAACAGATGGTGAATCGAACATGGTTCACATAATCAAAAATATTATTTCGCATTTTAATTCTCGCCCTTACTTATATGCGCCTTTTTCATGGTAACTCTTATTGTGTGTACCCTTTATTCATTTGCCCTTTAGAATGGATACCATGCTGCATTAATTATCATATACACTGATTAAAACGTTTACATCATATTTATACATTTTTTTCTACTTTATGGACACTTGGATATGTGTGTATTTAACATGCTTATTCGACTTCATATGATGCATAAATATGCGTGCACGTACTTGTGTGGATTTTTCGGTGTTTATTTATAGTAAACAAATTAAAAATCGATAAAAAAAATTCACAAAATTGGTTTGTATTAAACAAACAGCACTAGAAATTCAGACATATGGATTATTTTTATCAGAAGGGATTGTGTGGAGATTTTAGAAATTTCACTGGTTGAAATCATTAATCCATTGAAGCTAGACCACCATGGAAAACCTGGAAGCACTGGACGGCCGTTTCGTCCTAGTATGAGACTCCTCAGCAGTGCGCATCCACGATCCCGCTCCTCGCGAGATTAGAACCCAGGACCTATCAGTCTCGCGCCAGGCGCGATAGGATTGAGAGACTCACTTGCCTATATACCGCATTCAACATCTTTCTCTTCTCTATGGATTTGGTTGATGCATCTAATTCACGTTCCGAACTTCCCATCCACTTTGTACAAAATGTTTCTTATTCTTTGTCTCAGTGAAGTGATCATAATAAATTAATCACAGGTTATATGTTTTCACTATTCGGTAATATTCGTCACATATTGATTAAGTCTTAAGTACCATCAAATACCGGGAACTACTAGAAATCTATATCGTACCACTATGGGAATTTTAATCAGTGGGACTCACGATATCTTCAGGAATCAGACCGAAGACCTTCAGATTCCGTGTTTTAAGTAAATAAATATATAGATTACATGGTGGACGCATAAACATCAAAACCACTGAGTTGGCGTTCAATGATATAACTCTAACCATAAACAATTTCCAATATAGTATGACGACCATTCAAAAGGAATGATGACAACTGTCACACTCCCGTAGTGTTTGAAGCCCACCAACAGTGACTTCTGAATAGTTCTAATGGTTGAATGTTCATCACAACACCTGAATGTTCTGAGTTCGATCCTCGATGTGGTTATAGATGAATACTACCGAGGTGTCCCGTACTAGAATGGAACTTTTGTCCATTGTCTCCTGGTTTTCATTGGTACCGCAAATGAGATCATACTATGACGCATACTACGTATATTAATAGATTCCTTTGAAGATAACCAAACCAAGTTTGAACAATGATTGATTAGTTCGAAAAATTCATGTCAGCCTTTATGTAAAATGATTTGTATTCAAGTTGAACAATACAGAGAATCAAAGGCAGAACTTCAAATCACTCACAAACAAAGCTTAATGGATTGATAACCATTACATTATGAATTTTCTTAGCTGTGCATCCTGACCACACTCTTATAAGCTATGGGTATAGCAATTTCTCAATCGAGTGCATTTGTTTAGACTAGGTGAACACTGAACATTAATTTAAACCATCTAATAAATGTACTATAAAGAGCTGTTAATGACAGTAACCATGATTAAATTTCTATTCTTGATACACCTGGACACATGTTTCTAATCCTACATGTCAATAGTATATAATCTGAAATTCTGTGTCAAGGAATTTAAAATTTCTCTTGTATTAAAGGAAAATGGACACGGCTTTCAAATACTTCAAGGATACTCCAAGGTGAAAATAATTCGACTAATATGTTCAATACAGAACCTGGCACATATGAGTTCCTATATTCTGCAGCAATTCGGATGACTCTCTCGGTCTCCCACATTGTACGAGCATTCCATGTACCTAAATTAATGGTTGCTCTGGTTTTCGGAAGAGGCATCAGGCTCGTGACCTCCAAAGGATCTCGACTGTCACCATGAGGCGTCATAATTCTTCTAAATGAAGATCTTTTAACTCCTAGGGCAGAGTTTAAATGGTGTGAATTATTTTTTCTGGTTAGCGTTTTTAGCGAGTTAGTTTTCTACGGGATGGGGTCGCCAAGCCCATGCCTGACCCTCCTCCTTTATCCGGGCTTTAGACCGACAGTAGCCCCAGAGGGGCTCCAGGCGGAGTTGAGTTCCCATATTACAATGAGTTAAAATTGTCATAACAAATCCTGAAGTAACAGAAATAGTAACAATTTCTGTGGTAGTAAATAATACTAGACATAAGTAGTACGATTTGACAAGCAAAAATAAATCCTCAGGATAAAAAATAATACGATAATTTTAAATATGAAGATCTAAGGGTATACAAATAATAAATGCACGCTTCATTGTGATCGAAATTGAACTATGTCAGCTAGTCTTCAACCATTGGCTACGACTATAGTTTGAACCTACTAACACGTCTCAGTTCAACGATCGATGTTAATTAATTAATAATTAGAATTCATAGAAACAGTAATTTTAAAACTTTGGATATTTAAACAAAGATGGAAAGTGGTTAGCAGTGTAATCCAGGATACGCGTTTCGTTCTATTCGTGACTCGTCAGTTAAATGTACCTGTATCTTAGGGTTGATGTTCACTCTGTGACTCCAGCCCAATATCATTCGCTTCAAACGCCATCATGTTATCCATTTAGTAACTGAGTCCTGATAGCCACTTGCTTATGCAATGGGGTGAGGTTTTAAATTGTTTACTTGCATCTTCCCAATGGATATCTAAATAAAAGTGACCTAATTTTTTGTGTGCTTAGCATGTATCCCTGTAGGCTATATTATAGTTACTAGAAATGTTAAACTGAAGTATACCACCCCCATCTTAATTTTTTTCTTTTTTAACCTTTTAGCATATTACAATTTATTTATTATATTAAATTCTTACTAAATATTTAGGGTATTACAAAGCAAGAACAATCTATACAAAATATTTGTTCAGATTGGGAAAAAATATTGAGACTTAAATCAATATTAAGAAATCAATATCAATCTACAACAGGTTCGATTGATTTGTAATTGGAATGTGTATCGATTCAATAAATATTAAAATGTTATCTAATCAAACTGAACATTTTTCCCTATTTTTTATTCATTTGTTAAGGTAGTTAGTTAGTCAAGGTAATGGTTAAGGCATTTGATTATTGTTGTTTACTTTAATGTGATCAACAATCGAATAGTACATAATATCTGACATTCTTTCTCTAACTATTTGCAACATTTTGTTTTATCTCAGTCAGTCAGCTATAATGTAGGACAAGGCACATATATGCATCGGTTCAAGTTGTCATACCTCATTAGCACAACAGGATGAACATCGGATTCACAGAAGCAGTTAACCCAATGGTAGTAATAGATATAAAAATATTTCATATAGGGATATAGTACAGAAGGACAGAATTAATTCGTAGAAATAAAGTAGTTTCAACCTCACGGTTTAAGGGAAGACAAATAGTGTATACACGTACGCCATTGTGATCAATTCTCAGCCATGTCAAAAAGTCTCCAACCATTGATTACGATAGTCGCGTGGACCCTAACCAAGTAGTCTGCATCTACAAACATGGTTCAGACTAGAAGTTAGTGACTTTAAGCACTGATTCCATGTTTTGGTTTGGCCTCACCTAACTTTTTTCCAACCATCCCCAACACTAGTCAACATTGCGCGTCGTGGTAATCGGTGTTCAGGCATACGTAACACGTGGCCCGACCATCTCAGTCGATGAAGATTTACAACCTCATCGAATAGATTTATTGATTGATATAACCAGCGATGTTATTATTGATCTGTTCGGACTGTAATTCACTTTCCCGTAGGTTCTAGATATCTACTTATAATTTCACCAATTACTATTTATGGCTGCCAGTGTTGATTGAATTTGATGGACAACATTCTAATGAACTTGATTTAATTTTAGATGGTTAGAAAAAATCACCAAAGACGCTTTACTCATCACTAATTGTAGATTTCGAATTATTTAGGAGGTTAGGAAGTAGCTCGAATAACTCAATGGTAACGTCTTTGATAATGGTTCACATCTCTTTCAAAAACAAAAACACATTAAACTTTTCAACTCCCATCGATAGACCCTACTGACAATTCCCAACTAACATGAAACTAATGAATTGTCTTCAACATAATACATTGCAATATCAAATGATCGAAACTACTAATCATTTTAGAATTTTTGTTTGATAAAATTCAATCAACTCTAAATAGTAGTGTATTGACCAAAGATGATTTCATTTATGTTATAACTTGTGTCCTGTGTGCCCTGTTAATGTATAACGTAATGATACCGCCATTTAGAGCGCAGTGAATTATTGATCGAACCAATGACGCATAAAAACCTGTATGAGCAGTCTACAGTCCTTAATGGTCATGCTTCCCGCTTAGCCCAGCCTGTTAAGTCCAGAACACCGATCTCAGCCTCTGCAATATGAATCATGTATTTCAAACATACTCGGTTTATACACCGATCAAACAGACCACAACGTACCATAAAATAGAAAATAACATTTGTACAACATTTAACCAAATGTGGCTGTGAATGTGGGAGGTAGTAATCGATAGGCTGGGCTTAACTCAAGAATGGTAAATCGTATAATAATAGTTCATAAATCAAAATAAAGCTCATAATAAGAGGGATATGAATATGAATAGTTTAGCTACTTAACAATTATACCATAATAAATATACGCATAGCATTATTCCAGAAATCGATTCCAATAGTTACCATTCATTATTCTCATAGAGATATAACAAGTTACTGTATATATAAATTCCATTTATTATTTATATCCATTATTCATTTATATTTCTTGTTACTATTAGATATGATAATGAACAATGAAAATAAAGAAAAGAAATTAATTCAATCATCAATAGATTTTTATCAATATCTTATTAATGTAAAATTAAATATTATTAAAGAACAATGTATTGAACGTGATCAATTATTTAATGAATTTCTACCTGAATTAATGAAAAATTTTAATGAAATGAATCAATATTTTACAATTATATAATCAATGAATGATTCAAAAGAAAAGTAGAGAAAAAACATGACAACGATGATGATGAGGATGATATGGAATAGGTTAAATGAATTTGTTTAAATTAGATGGAAACTATTTAGTTATTTTGTTTAATAAAACAAAGAAATAATAATAATAATCATAAAACATTCATTTATTGACTTTTTTTTTCAAGACTTAGAAGTTCGCACCCACGATTCCGCCTTGTGAGAATCAGTGGTTTAGGGGTTCAGCGCTTGCGCGTGATACCGAAAGGTTCTGGATTCGAATCATATGGGTGGGATCGTGGATATGCATTGGTGAGGAGTCTTATACTAGGACAAAATGACTGTCTACTGTTTCAGAGTTTTTCATAGTGGTTTAGTTTTAATTGACTTATTAATTCAATTATGAAGTTACTACAATCTCCAGAAAAACTCTAATCTGGTAATAATCATGATATGCTAACTAGTGACTGACTTTCTGAGTAATTTCCTGGAGTTCTAGTGAGAAGTCGTGGCCAGCAAAGTTCAACTGTGTATGTTGTGAGGCAGTTACTCGCTCAAGATAATAGTGGATGGTTGCGCAATATCGTGGATCGGTCGAAGTTAGACATTAATACCGTTGGATTCCTTATCAGTAGTCTAGTTGGTAAGCGTTCGCGTACGAGACCGAAAGGTTCTGGGTTCGAATTCTGTCAGTGAAATCGTGGATATGTGTTGTCGATGAATCTCATACTAGGACAAAACGACCGTTTAGCGTTTCAGAGTTTTTCATATATATATATATATATATATATATATATATATATATATATATATAAACAAAATTTAATAAAAGGGAATGTAATCAAATTCACTTGGTATTGTTTGACTTGTATCTTCCCATTGAGGTTTAAGACTGCAATTGATCAGTCTGTTATTGGCATATGTGCATACAAGCTTTTTGTAAGCAATGATGGATAGTGGTTAGCCGTGGAATCCAGGACGCACGTTTCGTCCTATTTGGGACTCGTCAGCCCGATGTACATGCATCTCAAAGTTGATGTTCACCCTGGGGCTCGAACCCAGTACCATTCGCTTCAAACACCATCGCGTTATCCACTCAGCTACTGAGTCCTGATAGCCACTTGCTTGTGCATCCAGCTGACGAGTCCGAAATAGGACGAAACGTGCGTCCTGGATTCCACTGCTAGCCACCATCCATCATTGATTACAAAAAGGGAATGTAATTAGTTTTGATATACTAAATCAGTCTGATTTCTAATAGTTGCTTTTTGATTTCTCCAAGAAACTTGAAACGCGATAATGAAACGATTGTATACTTTGCAAAGTTTAGTGAAATTCATCCTTATAAAGTTGTCAAGACTCGTTGAAAATCATAAACATGTTTTTGTAATGGAACCTTATGATGGGTAATATTATAGTATGAAAGTTAAGTTATAAGGAATACTTATTAGATGGCATCTGAAGTGGAAATTACAATTTATGTAAACTTCATGTGATTCAAAGCATTATTATGAGTGCATATTAATGAAAAAAACTGACTTTGATAGTATCGTTGGGCATCTAACTCCCATTGACGATTATGGAACTTAGGTCACAATCAACTTCAGATATTTCCTTAGAGTTAAAAGTTGCGTGATGAATAAGATAAAAATAATGACTTATGAAGTCTGATACAAAATTTGTTCTAGCTGCGTATATTGCCAGGATTTCCATAGGCAGACAAGCCGTGAATAAATAGAATAAGTTTCTTGTAGAAATTAAAGTGAGATAAAATTGTTAAATTAAATTTGACTCAGTTTATATATCCAAATCAACAATGCATAAAATACAAGCAGGTATATGGGAGCATACACCTCAAGAAACATATACAATGTACAGAAAATATACATCTCGTTATTCATATGAGAAATACTTACTTACGCCTGTTAACCCTCATGGAGTAGCATAGGCTGCCCGTCAGCATTCTCTATCCAACTCTGTTCTGGGCAATCCTTTCCAGTTGCTATTTATACTGTTCATGTTTACTTCCAATTCCCGACGCAGTGAGTTCGTTTGCCTTTCTCTTTCACATTTCCCTTCAGGTTTTCATGTTAACGCTTGTTTCGTAATACAGTTTGGCGACTTGCGTAATGTATGTCCTATCCACTTCCAACGTTTTTTTCTAATTCCATCTTCAGTTGTAAGTTGATTTTTTCTCTGTCACAGTAGACTGTTGCTGAAGGTATCCAGTCAATGGATCTAGTGTATTGTGCGTAGACAATTGTTTATAAATATTCGTGCTTTTTTGATAATGGTTGTGGTAGTTCTCCACGTTTCAACTCCGTACAGTAGAACTGTTTTGACGTTCGTATTGAAGATCCTGATATTGGTTGATAGTTGTTTTGTGTTCTATATGTTCCTCAATTGTAAGAATGCTGTCGTTGCTTTCCGGATCCTTGCTATCACGTCTGCATCACATATGAGAAACAGTACAACATAATTCAATAGGACTAAAAATGAAATATTTACAGGTTAGGCCTGAAAAGATAATAATAGATTGCATAGGAGTATAATAAAAACTAGTACACTTCAAACCTCTGAAATATTTTGATTTTTTATGGTAAATTATTTATCTATATAAACTCTTTTCTGATTGGCTAATAGGGTTAAACTTTTCAGTAACTTTGTAAAAGCTATTTGAGTTGTTTTGAACATTAAGTGGGTTGGCGTAAAGGTCATCGAAGAAAAATGCTCGATCAATTTGTGCACTTCATCCAACTATATGGTCTGTAAGGATTTCGTTTGACGGCAAGGAGACAGTAGTAAAACGTTTACTTCATTTTTCATAGTTTGTCAATTTAACTAATAGATTTATATCAGAATAGTGGACTAAGCAACAGGATAATCTAGTTATTATTATTATTTTGGCACATAAATACTGGTACAAGGCGGCACCAAATACATATGCGCCACACAAATCTCAGTTGATTTGTGTGAAGGCTGTGATACTGCCTGGGTGCCCAAACCGAAGCAGGTGGTTGTCCTAGGGACACACACCCGGAGCCTTCGATCTAAAGGTCTCATCCACAAGGCAGTGGAGAAACATAAGGAGATGTAGTCCCATGGCAGCCGGTGACAAACGATTAGTTCATACGCCATTTGTTCCTTCAGAATATCGGAACCCATGTGTGCCGTTGGTTTTCCAACTCTCCTTGGTGGACTCTCCGTGTCCACCAACCCGGTTAAAGCGCCGGACATTCGCTTTTTGTCCTCGCAATTTTGTAAACAACAGTAATGACGCGAGAAGGCAGTGAGTAGGAATTCCCTGGCAGAGGCTATATACGCGTGGCTATGTGAGGGCATTTCGAGAGGGAGAGCTAATTCTCCCCACTCTCGGCTGTACCAGGGAATTCAATTAATTAAACAGATAATATTATGGTTTGAATTAGATGAAACAACTTCAGAGAGATTTATCGCTTCTAACTAGTTCTCGTGAAAATGTTAATACACAATCGAAACCGTCTCTATATCTATTATAACATTAAACAACACTAAAGATATTAAATATTTGCTACGGTTTCACAAAAAAATGCCTTGATTCGAAATTTGGACCTTTTTTACCTAAGATTTCATCAACCATAAATTAATGAAATTAAACAACTAGGTATTTGTTTGTGAACTCCTTCATAACTTTACGGGATATGCATTTTTGCGAAGTCTAGTTAACGATACTACTATTCGACTACTTGAATAAAAAAATGTGGAGTAAAGTTGAAAGACTTAATCATTTAACAATCATTTCATCATTTGAGGTTCAATATAACATACAATACAGTGTAAACCGATCAAATTTCATTAACAACAGAAAATGAATACAAATGGAATAAATGAAAACCAATTGCATTAGATATTACGAATGAATAGTGTCAATAATAATCAAAGGGAATAAGAAGAATATGGTGACTACGATGGAGGACAAAAACTGCATTATAGGACCTTGATTTTAGAAGTAATGTAAAATGTACAATCAGTAGACATGTTATGCATTTTCATTGTCGTTCATTGTGAAATTTCTTATGAAAGGTACTAGTGATAATATTTGATGTGTTAAAGAATAGCACAAACATTGATTCAAATCAGTTTGCCCTAAAAACAAAGTCATCTAAATCCTCATGTTTAAACCTTACAAACCTATAAAGTTTGATTAGTAGGTAGTTGGTGTTCATCAGCATAGTGTACTTGCGAATTAGAGGCAACTGATAACTTCATGATTTTAATAAAATATAAAAAAAAGGAAAAAAAACTCATTTCGTAATCAATAATTTTTTATTACCTCTTTCTCACACACACAAAAAAAAAACATTTACTCTGAGATATAATAAAGAGTAAAATGATTTACATTAATATCAATGTTGTGTTCAGATGTAAATGAATAGATTGTCTATCGTTCAAATGAACAAATCATTATTAACATTAATAGGGAGTTATAGAATACACTATAAACAATACGTATACAATAGAGTAAGTAATACATAGAAATATATAGATTATATATGTAAAGTACACTCTAAATGCATTTGAAGCAAAATAATAGAGGCAAAAAACAATTTTTTAAAATAAAGCCCATTTCTTTTTATAATTTAGTAAATAATAATGGGGGGAACAACCGATGAATCATAGACGAATAATAGTAGTAATAATAATATTATCTAATCTTGAAATGAATGTGGTGTATACATATCTAGAAAGAATATTTTATCACAACAACAACAATAACAACAAAAGAAAAAAAGAATGGAGAGCGGAAAACAAAACACCGTAATAATAATAATAATCATAGGACGTGTTTTTGTAATCATCAATTTTGTATAGCAGATACCTTTTATAAAGTAAGGAGAATAATAATAATGTTGATGATAATAAAAGTTGGAATAATGTCATTATAATCATTGATCACAACACAATGAACAGCAGTTAGTAGTTACATATTATTCATAAACCGGGGTTAAAGTCATGCGAAAAAAAGCAGGCAAATAGGAACATACAAATAGATTATATATATATATATATATATATATATATATATATATATATATATATATAAACTTAATGTACACAAATCAATCATCATGATAGATTGTAAAAGAAAAAAATGTATATATCCATAGATAGATGAATTATACTCTCTGATTACCAAAAAAATTCAATCTATTCAATGAAGATACAATGATAATAGTGACAATTGGGGAAAAACAGAAACGCATCGATCAACAAATTAAAAAACAAACAAACAGTAATGAGGTGGATAGAAACAAACAGAAAGGAGAAGAGCCCTAAACATATAAGTATGTTTATACATGATATAAGTAGTATCTGAAAGACTATATCATTTTTCTTGAAATAAACGGAAACAAATAAGAATTTCTAAATTAAAAAAGAAAAAATAATATTATATTAAACATGTTTAAGTATTTTCAATGAAAAAATTTCTGATTTACAGTTTAAAGAAGAAGAAAAAAATGAATATTGAAAAATACCAATGAGGTATCCATTTACAACAGTTACTATACATTAAAAATCGATGTGTTATATTTTGTTGCTACCAACAAATGAATATATTTTTAAATATCAAAATACTGTAGAAGGCATAAAATATGAAGGTAGATCAGTTGTAAGAGGGAGAGAGAGAGGGGAGGATGAGAAAGAAAAAACTCTTCAGTTACACTTGGATTAACATATACAAATGTTAGACAATAGACAACAACAGATATTTGAATGTATATATATGTAACTGTATGCAAATATAAATATTACTAATATTAGCAGTATAACCAAGAAGTATCATGAAAGCATATGAGCATAAAACCGACTAGAAATGATTATTCGATACAATAGATAGTGGAGTTGACGGTGGAGATGTTGTCGTTGTTGTAGTAGTTGATGTTGCTGATGAAGATGAATGCAAGTAAACACTTGTAATCATTGGATCATCTGGTATAAGACAAAGATCTTCTAATGGACCAATTGACTCAGTCATAACAGCTGGTGGTAAATCTTTCCACAGTGAATATAATTCACCATTGATAGGACAATATGATTTATCATTATTTACTATTTTGTTATCTATTGTTGATCTTGGTGTAGATACAATGGAATTTGATGGATCAGATGAAGGATTTGGTTGAGTAAATTTTAAATAACTACCAAGTGTAAAACGATTAGCATTATTATTATTATTATCACTATTAATACTACCATTATGTTCAGCGGTACTATTAGTGTTATTAGTTATTTCTAATATTTTATCAGAATCCAATGATGATTTTCTAAGCATCAATTCATGATTATCGGTTTTTGATTGAAGACGTTGCGATGTCAGTAGACTTTCATATTGATATTCTAATTGCAAATAACCTTGTTTACGTTCAGCTAGTTGAGTTTTAAATTCCATTTCACGACTACGCCACATAACACCATCGGCTTTACGCTAAAATTTTCAAAGGAAATATTAGTCAGGGAAAAAAAAGTAGTTAATTGTGACGTTGTCATGAAACAATGAGAAAACAAATCAAGCATAGAAATTTGTAATTACAAAGTGTACTTTCCACAATGTTATTATTTTGAAGGTATTAGACTGTCCAATTAATGAGTCAATATTTTAGAACCCTACTAGATCGCCAGTGAATTACATTCAATTAAATGTGAATTTAAACAGGATCAATACAGAGAATTTAACATGGATTGTTAGTACAGGTTGTTCAATTTCGAGATGGAAATGTAGAAAAATCGAATTGAAATTCAATAGTTTAAAAGAAATCGTGCTCATGAGAAAACCTAAAGATCTTTCGGTAAATAGGATAGACAGTTTAACGGACTTAGGATATAACAAAGCTACTGTTCAGTACTCCGACGTTTTCAGTGATTTCAGAGCTGATGTTAATCTAAAAAGATTATTTTGGAGGGGTTACATTTATAAGAAAACTAGTGAGTCTTGTGATTCAGTAAAGACAAGTGCAAATAATCATGTTGATGTATATGAGTATCTTAGTTAAAATTAGAACTAGGCTTGCAGTGCAATGAATCTAAATATTTAATAGGGTTGCCGAAAAAAATAAGTAACGAATATTGATTGATAACTGAGTAATAGACGATTTCGTGTTCGCTATCCATTTCTTGGTGTTGATCAAATTTTATCCATCCACTTGAATGTAGCCAATATTGCCTAGCATTATAGTTTGAGGTTAGAGGCCTATGAAAGGACTGGACCTAGATTCCGAGCTAACTAGGAATCATCAACAAGGAATACTTGGAAATTAGATGCTATTGATTGTTTCGCCATCTAGTTGATGGAATTATGTTAGGAATGATGACAAGATAAGTAAGAAATTGGTTAATACACAGTGACTATTCTATGCAAGTAGTTCAGTTCTATAGAGAATCATTAGTAGCGTGAATAGTTTGGTGGTAACATCTCATAATATCGAACAATATGATGTGGATCAAATCCTATAAGAGCATCAGTACTCTCAAGATTGATACTTATTACTACATGGCCTCTAAAATTACTGAAGTTATCGACCGTCGATCTGAGTCATACTAGTAGGTACAGTTTACCCAGTAGCGGTTCACACTATTAATGTGATGGATGGTTGCGAATGTTAGCTGATAAACCTCAGAGTCTATTTCAATGATGTAATTGCATTCACTCTTTCTTTCCCATCATATCATGAGTTTTAGAAACATTTTATACACCTTATTCATTTTATCGAGTCATTTTCTTTATGCCGAATCTTCACTATCACCAATACTTTTGATACTCAGGTATTTACCTTGATAATTTTGTTCTCGATGTATAGTTGCAGTGTGACAACTTGAGCTAATGTATATATTTACGATGTCCCATATTGGTTATAACTGACGTAAGCAGCTGAATATTAGTGCGCCTGTAGGCTTTTACAGAATATGTACTAGCTACTGTTTAAAGCTTAGTAATTACATACACATAATTATTAGGTTGACAATACAACAAACCTGATACAAATCTTAAAAAAAACTGGAAGGATAGACAAAAACTAATGGGCAGTGAGACAGAGAAATCTATTACACAGAAGTACATCACGGGATTGTTGTTGAACAGCAGTGGTCTTAACACCAGAGTTAGTTTGGCAGGGAAGAAAAAAAGTGGACAAGGTTGTGGACGAGTACAGAATAAACAATCCTAAGAAAAGAGCAGTATACTAATACTGTGTACAATGTATCAATATATTTATGTGCACGGAAAGAGAGAGGGAAACCAACAAACATTAAACAGATTTCGAGGCAAACATGTTTTCTAGTTCAGTAGTGTTTATGACGTGACAGATAATGTACAAACTACTGATTATTATCAGCTTTTCACGGTCATTTCATCTTAACAATCGTAAGAATTATTGCATACCGGTAAGAGTTGTGGTGCTGTTGGAGAGTGAGTTCAGTTCAACTGGTCAGAATAGTCATATCACCGGAATGTTATGTAGGTATATTTTTACCAATGTTACAGTACAGAATTGACAGGAAAAAGATCAACAAATATGCGTCGGAAAAAATCGGTATGTAGTAATGATAACTAATCAGTAAACTCATTCACCAGGTACTTATGTATGAGACGAATATAATTTAAGTGTGAGGACTGATGATAGTACTCAATTCCCAAAACCGGAGTAGGTGGAGAGGCATTCAAACCTGAGACTTAGTGGTGTTGAGATGAATTGGTATTTTTAGTATATACTAAAAAAATTGTCCTAACGTTTCTAAAGTATTTAAAATGTTAGCCTAGTCGTAAAATGTTACATTTAGACTGAATGTCGACATATAGGCTTAAAATACTATCTGTCAGTTTCATACGAAAATAGAGTTGAAGCGTATGATCGCTTGGTATAAAGTTGAATTTTTTAAATATTTCCATATGGTTGAAAACCGTGAGTGACATGAAATTCACTGAGACGTTATTTAGGACGTTTTGTGTTTTGAGGGAGTAAACTAAGTTTAAGGAGATAACCTCATCAAGATACAAAAACTAGATGGCTTCTTGAAAAGGTAATTCAAAATACTATTTGAATATGATATACGTGAAAGTGTTTAGGAGATATCCCATAGTTGTTTAAGTTTATGTGATACTGAATGATATTTTAATGTGATACATTTTACAGTTGTGTGAAAGCTAATTCCAGAAGAAAACAGTAACCCTGCAGAAAACCTACGCATATTGAGCTAAAAAAGACACGACGATAGAGCGGAGTAAAAAGGTTACTTCATCAACAACAATAAAATAAGGGAAAGAAACCAGAACGTAATAGAAGCTGAAAATATGAACAATGAAATTTCAACTTTCAGTGATCCACAAGAACAGTAAAAATAGAAATAGACTTGGAAATCTTATACCGATTTCAGATCAGAATCGTCATTATGCACTACATAATACTAACAAGCTAGAACGAAACAACTGTGCAATGGTGCTTCCTGGTTTTACATGTTACTGAAGTTGATGTTAGTTATCAGTAACATGGAGGCTCGTACATATGAGGTAAGGTCCAAATTGAAACACTAAATCAACACTGTGAGATGAAATTATCAAGACCAATATCAGCGGTAGAATCATTAATTACAGAAAATATTAAGCATAGAAAATATTTGAAAAAAAGGGAATGAATACTTGGAATAAAAAGTATAGGTACTTCAATTCAAAGAGTGAGCTATGGGACATAACATCTTCAACCTCTGGTTACGATTATCGTACCTACTTACATGACTCATTTCAACAATCAATAAATTCTTGAACTAGAATAGATTTAGGTAAACAAAACTATTTTTATTTAGAACATTGTCAGAATTTACTGGTCATATATAGTTACCAAAAATTCAAAACAATATCATATGAAGATTTGCGGTGAGCAAAATAGAGAAACATTATAAACAACAGAAGTTAAATCATCTTGTGATCATTAATAACAAGTCATCATTTGATACACTAAAGTTCATTTTTGATACAACAATGTAAATCGAATAAAATACTTACGTTTATAGCAGTTGTTATTAATTTTTTTGTTCTAATGAATGAAAGTAAATATAATAGTGTAGAAATGGTGCAGAACATTTGTAACTCACGTAGATATTGTTGCATTCTCTGAGCTGGACGGTTCAGCGTTCTGGACGAGATTACTGTCTCTTAATTCAAGTGTGCATACAGAACAGAAATACTATCTATCAATGATGGTACAACTCAAAGATAGATAAGGGGTTTAAATGAACACAAACTAATTGGGTTAGGTTCAGTAACTGACATCAGTGATTGAGAACGTTGGTAGATACGAAGAGATATACAGTAGAATCTAGGACAGGTTTTTCGTTCCAGTTAGAACTTGTCAGCTTGTTTTGTATGTATCATAGAGTTGGTGTTTACTACGGGATTTGGATTCAGTAACGTTCGCTTCAAATATCAACGCGTTAGCCATTTAGCTACATATCCACATGTGCTCAAACAAGTTTATCATATACAATCAGATTCAAGCAACCAATACAATGAGTTGGTAAATATGGCCCAAATTCAGTTGCAATGGCACAGATTCATTCAGTTTTCAGTTTACACTATATCTTTTTGTACTTTCTGTTTCAAATTTTATCCATTCCATTTAAAGTATATTCGCTACAACCAATGACATACATTATATGACAAAAAATGATAAAAGTATGTATATGATTAAATCTGTTCGTTTTTTTAAGATAAAAATAAAAAACATAACTTTTACCTTTGCTTCTATATCAGCACATTTCTGTTCTAATTGCTTTAATTCCAATGTTAATTCACGTTCTCTTGTTTGAAAAGCTGTACGTGATTCGAGTAGTTCAGTGACACGTTTATCTAAACGATCAGCTCGACGATCAGATAATTCTCGTTGTACAGTTAAATCAGTAATCTGATTAAAAATTTTTTTTACCGATACAAACAGTTATAAAATGACAAGTGTAAAATAATTGATAAAAATGACGATTAGAAAGAATTATTTAAGAACAAATAAACCTGGACAAATTTTGTAGACTAATGGGTTAATAGTGAAAGGGATTGTTCCATTAACTAATAGATTACGGACTTAAACTTCGTCGACTAGTCTACATCAATTTCAGTAACCGAGTAGTACCATGGAAGGATATAGCTGAAAGTTCAGTATTTAAACCAGTAATTTGTATATGATTTATACTAGGTTCAAGTAATACATGTAACATAAAGCTGTGATTTTATCTTCATGTATAAATAACATTATTTAAAGGAAGAGTTCCAGTTAGTGTACAGAATTCAAATATATAAGTTGCCTGCCAAAGGTTTTTTATAATGGGTTTCCTGACTTATCAACTTTCATCATACAACAGTGACAGCAGTGAGACTATAATTTATGGACGAACCATTCAGATTTAAGATAACAGGACCATACACTCATTTTAAAATACAACATGGATCTCATAACCAAGGATATTAGTAACATTTTTGACAAGCATATTCGATCTTCCATGGAATGGATGATTTTTGATAATAATTAATGAAAAAAATTAAGCGAAACTGGTATCAAGATGATGCTAAAATTAATAAGAAAATTGATTATTTTAATAGTTCTTGTCAGTGACACGAATACAAATCGTATCCATTGTACTTATTTCATATCAATAGTTACATGATCAATATTTTGAGATTAAATCAAACATTAGACCTAATATTTTTGTTGATTTTCTTAACTCAATATTGTGTTCGAAGACAATTCACTTAAAGATTATACATATGTTAGAGTCGTTGTGTGCAACCCTATGAATATAAAGTGTGGTTAAGTTAACATATAGGATAATTTTAAATCTTTTCTATCTTAAAAAATTATATGCATATCGTTTAAAAGGGTAACTGAAAGATCCAGATCAAAAAGAGATAAAATAAAAATGCATACAATGATAGGTTAACGATCAACAATAACCAATCAATATGGAGGTCGACAGGACAAACTGTTAGTCATATGTGGAGAGATTCGAACACTTCACTTCTAACGGAAGTTTATGCTGATGGTGCTGTTCAGAAAAACAATGAGAGCTTCACAACTAAACCGAACAGCTCAAAGAACGAAACTCTACTTAAAAACGACTACCACTAATACTACTGAGCTCTTTTGTTACATGAAATGTATTTACTTTCATGCAATTAGTTCCCTTTATGAATTTAAATATTTGTTCTTGCTTTACTTCAATGTGTTTACAATTGATTGATCACTGAGTAGCGACCAATGTCATATTTGCCAAGTCCTTCTTAGTGCTGATCAAGTTCTATCGACAAGTTACCAATTTATTACAGCTGCACAGGTGGAAAGTGTTACAACTTGTGGCCTTGTGCCCTATTAATTTATAGCGTAATGATACCGCCAATTAGAGAACAGTGATTTTATCGACCGGACCAATAACGCGTAAAACTGTTCGAGCAGTATAGAGTCTTTATTGGTCGTTCTTCCAGGCTAGCCCTACCTGTTAAGTACAAAACACCAATCTCAGCCTCTGCAATATGAATCGTATATTTCAAACATACTGGGTTTATATAGCAACCAGACAGACCACATAGTACCATGAGATATGAAACAACATTCGTAAAAGATTTAACCGAATGTGGCTGTGAATGTGAGAGGTAGTAATTGATAGACTGGGCATAACTCAAGAATGGCAAATCGTATTAACAATAGTTCGTGGGTCAAAATAAAGCTTATAAAAAGAGGAATATGAATATGCAAGGTTTAGCTACTTAACAATTGCACAATAAATATATATGCATCGTATTGTTCCATAAATAATCTTCAGAAGTTATCATTCATAATTGTCGTCGGGATATAACACCTTTTTTGGAAGATTCGAAGTTTATATCCAGACTTTAAATTTTCCGACTTTAGAAAATAAAGATGTACTCATATACCCCTAAGTATAACAGAACAGTTGTTCACTTCTGTTTATTTTCCCTCACTCGTATGAAGATGAATAAAAAAATTATTATGCATAAAATAAATTTATACCTGTTGTTTTAAACTACTGATTTGATTGACGAATCGTGTTTCAAGTAGTCGGTCAGAAAATTTCATTTTAAAATTCGTCTCATGTGAATCCAGTGAGTTTAAAGAACCAATCCAAAGTGAAGAACGTTTTGTATCATTGTTAACACCTTTACATTTCCCAAGATGTGCCTTATTACAAAGAGGAAACAAGAGAGAAAAAATAACAAATATAAGGGAGGATTATGGTTAACTTAAGTGTTTTTAATGAATGATAGAGGCTGAAAATTGTGGTGTATCGCGAAAGAACGAAGTTTGAAAATGTGAGGTAGTGAATTATGTAAGTCGGTAAACTAAATATATTCCGCTCACTGAGAAACTTGAAGCTCGTATAACTCACGGCAGTTAGATATAGCTAGATTATAGGAGTAATGTCCATAAGGCTAGTTAGTTAAAATATCCAGGACTTGTTAAGTGAGTATAAACATAGACTTCATGAAGCAACCATTCAAGATGATCTAACTCACAGAGCTGAACGACAGCAAAAGCATATGTGGTGTATAAAAGATCCGGTAGTCATAACATAAATGCGATCTAGCATAAAAATCTATTGAATCAATGTCCTACAATTCCCATCGAAAAAGAGGGTCTTTAGTAAATAGAAATGAATAAATTAATGTTCTACAATTAAATAATTAAATGCTAGCTAACCTGCCAAAGTGAATTCAAATCATCAAATCTTCTTTTTAACTCTTCTACTTGATTTATTAATTCTGTTTCTCGAAGTTTTGCACCAAATAATTCATCTTTTAATACAGCAATTTGTTCAGTTGATCGAAGTGATTGATCCGATTTTGACTGATTTTTGTAGTCATTTATTCGTTAGATACAAATGTGTTGTAGAATTAAGAAAATGGAAGGAAATTATTGGGAGCATTGCTTAGACAATTATAACAGTAGAGTTTGGAAGAAACAGAAAAAACCCGACATCATAACCATGGCGAAACACAAGAGATTTTCATCAGGAATTTAGACAGATTATGATTTGAAGCTACTTGCATTTTTAAAGTTTTATCCAACTTCATCTATAATAATTCAGTATAAGTGACAGTAAAAAAGTCACTCGTATTTAAACTAGTATTATAACATATACAGACACATTGCAGATGAAAATAAGCAGCTTATATGTAACGATCATCGGCAAGGGAAAGTTTCTTTTCTAACTAATAAGCAGTCTTTAAATACCAGAAATCAATTCAAATGATGTAGTTATGCAAAGCATTTAGAATACTCTTTTTTGCCAATTACGTAGAATTAAATATAAACAATCATGTTGACCAATATGTATCACTGTTTATTGATAAGCTCATTAAATCTATTGAAGTTTGTGAACTTGTCATTTAATTGTCAATATAGTTAATAGTAGTATACATCATAAATATATGTAAATTATTCACTAAACTAATTAGGTTTTTATTAGTAAAAAGATATAAATCTTCCATACATAAAAGGTGAAATCAGTTGATGAGGTTGTAAACCTTCATCGACTAACATGGTTGTGCCATGTGTTACGTAAGCCTGAACAACGTTTACCACAACACGTTGGAACAAGGTTAGGAGTGTGACCAAACGAAAACGTGGCATCAGTCCTTGAAGTCACTAACTTCTAGTCTAAGCCATATTGGTAGATGCAGATTACTTGGTTTGGGTCTACGTCACTATCGCAACCAATGGTTGGAGACTGTGGGTGACATGGCTGAGAATCAATCATGATGGCACAGGTGTATACACTCTCTACCTTCCCTTTAACTGTGAGATTGAAATTGCTTCATGTCTTTCTTTCTATTAACTAATTTTTTCTTCTTGCATTATATCCTTATATGCAATCTTTCTTTTATATATTACTACCATTGAATTTACTGCTTTTTTGAATCCAGTGTTTATCTTGTTGTGCTAATGAGGTATGTAAACTTGGATTGATGTATATATGCGCCTCTTCTACGTTGTAGCTGATTGACTGACTGACTAAATAAAAGATGAAAGTCTATTTAAATCTATTTTTATCAGAGAATGAAGTATTTAATTAAAATTAAAAAAGAAACTTTTACTGACAATGAAAGAACACGTCACTATTTTGTAACTAAGATGAGACATTCATAAATTAAAGAAATAAGAGTTTTATAGTTTGCTATATTAAGTTAACTGACATCATCATTAAGAGTTGATGATATACGACTATAGTTGATTAAAACAAAATGTTTACATTAAAAGTAAACGTTTCAGCAACAGAGATAATCGATAAGATTGTAACCTTGACTCAAATAACATAATCTTGAAACCATTCATATCGTATCTCTAGACATTGTAAAATGAAGAAATAGACACAGTAATCAAAGTAATGTTTATGAACTTAATCTTCAGTCATGTCTTCCGTGTGAGTAATCACTAATGTACCAAAGATAAAAATAGAAATGACCGTATTATAAGCAGAGATGATAGTGGCTAGCAGTGTAATCCAGTACTATCGTTACGTCCTGTTTGAGACTCGCCAGCTGGATGAACGTGAACCTGAATTAAATTAACTCGAAGTTAAGTATAATCGAGTTTATGTAACAATCACATATCGACTATTTTACTGATAAGAACCAATAACTGTAAATAATAACTATATTTTTCTGTTATATCCGAATAAATAGAAAAATTGCATTTCTGACGTTTCAAGATTTAATGTAACCAACTTCATCGGAGTAGACAAATCAATACTCTGAAGAAGCGGCTTGCATTAAGTAAGGTAAGGTCAGAAATACAATTTTCCTACTCATTGGGATATAACAAATATTATTCAACTTTAATTAAGCCTGCTTGTGCAGGTTTGAAGCTATCACGAGTTCACTTAATCTGCGAACGAGAACAAAGACTCGATGACCAAAGACCAATAACCTAGATATTCTGATGCATCACAGCCCCGCTAACTAGAGGAAGAAGTCCAAGCTTGGAATGGGGAAGTATATTCTGCAAACAGCCAGAAACGAGCGATAACAACAAACACAAATCAAAACGGATATATACAGTACAAAACCGTCCTTGAGGAGAGTTACCAAATAGCATACTAAAAGATGCAACGGACCAATAGCATTTAAGATATTTCCCAAGTGGGAAATGCGACATGAAGGTGACAAGAGCGCTTTTGACGCGAAAAAAAGAAATTCAAATTTTTTAAATAAAACTATAAAACTAGGTTCTTTTCCAAGTGAGTTTTGGAGATCTAACATCCCCAACAGCCACATGAATCACTTGATTTGTGTGACGGCTGGGATACTACCCGGGTGTTCAAACAGAAGCAGATAGTTTTCTTAGGGGGACACACCCGGTGCCTTCGACAAGGCAATGAAGCAACATCAGATGTATTCCCATGATAACCGGTGACTTAAAATTGGTTCATGCTCCATTTGTTTCTTCAGGGTACTGGAGTCAATGTGTAACATTGGTTTGGAATCAGAGTTTTCTAACTCCCCTAGGTGGATCCCCAATATCCATCAACTCGTTTAAAGCGTCGAACATTCGTTCTTCGTCCTCCAAATTTCGTAAACAACAGTAATGCCGTAAGAAGTCAATGAGTAGGACTTCACTGTTAGTGGTTGTATGCAAGTGGGTATGTGAGAGCATTTCGAGAGGGAGAGTGGAACCTCCCCACTCTCGACCGTACCATGGCATTTGGGAGAAATCCGGGCAATCCAATCAACTTATTTAAATTAAACTAAATCAAAATTGAGTTAAAACTTTCGAATTCCGTAGAATGAGATCATGGATGTACATTGCTAAAAAATCCTATACTAGAAAGAAACAACCGTCTATTGCTTCCTTGTGTTTCATAATGGTCTCTCATTTCAATTGAATTATGAATTCAATCATTGAATAAATATTATTAAATCATTATTTAATACATTACTTATTATATGTCATAAAAATTCTAATACATAATTATATATAAATTACCTCTTCTAATTCATGTAATTTACATCGTAATTCATGTAATACTTTTTTAGCATCTGCTTCATTAAAACGTGAATTCACTAAATCGGTTTGCAATTGATTCACTGTACTTGATAATAATTCATCATTTTTCATTTCAATATAATTATTATCTTTTATTTGATAATCACGATTTCTTGATCTTGGTAATGTACAAAAATCATATGAATTATTTAATTGTTGTTCATTTAACAAAGAAGAACAAGTATTATTAGTAGTAGTATGATTAGTAGTATAATCCTTCTGAATATTATAATTAGGTGATGAGAAACCATCAACAAGTGATTGATGTACTGTATCATTAATGATATAATTTTGATTTGTGTTAGATATATTTGTGATTGTTGGTTTATCCATAGAGACTGTATTGGAAATAGTGGTATTTATTGTTTTTTCATTTATTGGTAGTACATCATCATTATTCATTGTGGCTGATTTCTATGAATTTCAAAAAAAAAAAGGAAATTCGGGGGATAAAGAAAAGTGAATTATCTGAGAGAGAGAACTAACAAAGATAAATATATCTTTTACAAAGATAAAGATTGAACTATAACTGTTACAGTCACTATCAGGGAAGATATTCAAAAAATTTATATAAATGAAGCTTCATTTACTGTATGAATTGTTTATTATTAATAGTTGAAGATTATTGTGAACCTAGGAATCTTGCTAGTTAACAATTATAGGAAAGGTTTATCAACAATCTCTAAGAGATTTACGTGATCTCATAAACTTAAAAGCCGTATCACCTAGTGCTAATTAGTGAAGTTGTCATTGAGCGATTTAGACAGCGAATTAAAGCTCCTAAGATTAGAAGTATTGACATCAACTGATCGTTGAATGATATTCCATGTTATGACTTTTCTAATCTTCCCTTTTATCATACAACTTCATCCACAGATCTATTAGGTGTCATTAAAAGATAGATGTTTATAAACCAGAGTTGACTAAAAATAATACACAGTTTATAATTACCAACAACTTCTCAATAACAAATATATCAAAAGTTTTATGTCATATGTATCATAGGCATATGACACTAGTTTTCTAGCTTGTTACTTAGACCTAGAAGTAAAAAATAAATAAGCTTTGAAATATCTGGTAAAACAGCGATCTTATTAGCCATTTCTTTATTTGAAAGAACATGGAATTGAGGATCTTTACAATCTACTGAAATTCATTATGGGAACATACGGTTTCAAAAGAATGGATTTTTTTCTTAATATTTTTTTAGAGGGATATTCATTGACATTCTCTAAGACGAGGCAAATGAAATGCATTAGGAAATTATGAGAAAAAAAACAAACCAATACGGAGATTATCATCATAAAACATTATAAGACCTGGCAAAAATATACATCATTCCAAATTAACTCAATCGACATCCAATCACTGACAAAAGATCAAAGGAGTCCAAATAATAAATGGCGTAAATGAATACACTCTCTGTCTTTCCTTAAACTAAGAGATTAAAATTGCTTCATATCTTTCTTTCCTCGTACTCAATCTTTCTTCCTGTACTATATCATTATACGTAATCTTTCTTTTATATATTACTACCATTAACTTAACTATTCCTATAAATCTGGTGTTCATCTTGTTGTGCTAATGCGGTATGGCAACTTGGAGAGATGCAAAAAAATTCAACTGATGTTTGAAATGTGAACTATTAGGTACTGAAATTCATTCAGTAAGTCTTGATTTCAGTACTTAGTGGGCTCATGTGCATATAGTGGTAAAAAGTCCTAGTTTTCTAATAACTGTTCAATGAGAGTCAATCCATTAATATAAACTAAATTTCAAATTAAATGAATGAGAAAATTATATCCTGGAAATAATTATAAAATGTATTTTTAGTAATATCCTATGAGTTTAAGCAAAAAACGAACATAACTAAGAAATAATAAATATAGAAAACAATTAAACTGAATGAGATTTTAGTATATTCGGTTTATGGCTTGAAATCGAATCCAGATTAATTTTGTTTTCGATGGAATTTTGTTCTCTAAGATGGATGGTTTGTCGTGGAGCTTTTATCGTTCTTCTGAACGACATCATCAGCACAAACTTCAGAGAAAAAAACTATTAAAATCATCCACCTGAGCTACAAATCTTTTCTACCATCTCAAAATCCAGATTAAACATTTCATCACAATTGAAACTCATCAAGTGAATGTACCTAGATCAAAGAATTGATATTCACAATGAGATACATATTTTTTTACTTTGAATGTCTAACACACATTATCTATTAAGTTATAAACTATTACTGATACTAGTCCATTGAATTATAAAAATCAATTCAATAATACAGATCATTATGAGTATGGGTTACTTTGAACTATATAAATCAAGTGCAAACATTTCTAATGTGTACCTAATAAGACAATTATGTATTCAATTCAATCAGTGGGTTATATTTGAAAAGTATTTATGTACTAATAATAGAAAGAAAAATGTTAACAATTTATTTGTAATAACTTTGTTTTCATAATTTATCTTATCTTTATTAAGTTGACATATGAAATATTGATGAATGTACCAATGTCAAGATGTGAACAATCATAGTATTATCTTAGATATAACGTATATTTAGCTGACGATTAATACATTTGAGCAGTATTTAATCCCTCTCTACCCGACCCTCCACCCCCTTGTATAACTTTAAACATTAAAATGAGATGATAAAGTGATTGCTAAGATGTAGATCATTTTAATAATAATAATAATAATAATAATAATAATAATAATAATAATAGTAATAAAGTACTAAGCAACATGTGGAAAGTAATAATACTTTATCTACAGATATTTACTGATGACATTTTCTTTTTAAATAAAGAAGATGAACAAGGTCTCTCTGTGTCAGGTTGAAAACAACAACATCAATATAGATGAAAAAGGATGATTATCACATCTTCATTTAATAAAAATTAAAAAATGTAACTGACCTTTATATGAAACGAAGCAAGAAATACAATTAGAAAACTTCATTATTGTAACTGCTTTTATAAATTTGCTGTTCATTTTGTTATACTAATCAAGTGGGGCAACATAGACCGATAAATATGTGTCTGGTCTTACGTTGTAGCTGACAGACTAACTTCTATTGAGGTGTCATCTAGTTGTTTTTTGTGACCGAGAATTAAAACATCATACAGTTTGACCAATTGTTCCAGGACTCAGTAGCTGAGTGGTTAACACGATGGGTTTGAGTCCCAGAGTCAACATCAACTCTGAGATGCACGTACATCCAGCTGAAGAGTCCGAAACAGAACGAAACGCGTCTCCTGGATTCCACTTCTAGCCACTATCCATATTTGCTCACAAATGCCCTGGTACGGTTGAAATCGGGGAGAGTCCGCTCACCCTCTCCAAATGCTCTCACATGGCCACGTGTACATAGCTTCTGCCAGGGAAGTTCTACTCACTGCCTTCTCGCGGCATTACTATTGTTTAAAAATTTGAGAGGACAAAAAGCGAATGTCCGACGCTTTACCCGGGTTGGTGGACACGGAGAGTTCATCGAGGGGAGTTGGAGAACCCTGTTTCCAAACCAACGGTACACATGGGTTCCAGTACTCTGAAGGAAAAAATGGCGTATGAACCAATTTTTGGTCACCGGCTACCATGGACTGCATCTCCTTATGATGCTCCACTGCCTTGTGGATCAGACCTTTAGGTCGAACGATCTGGGTGTGACTCCCTAAGAAAACAACCTGTCTCGGTTTGGACACCCAGGAAGTATAACACCCTTATACAAATCAAACGAGATTTGTGTGGCCTCTTGTACCAGTATTTATGTATTCAAAGAAATAATAAATAAATAAATAAGAATTGCTGGATGCTACGTTTTACAAAACGTTGGACAAACAACGGATATTGTTGTTTTAAATACCTTCATTAATGGATGTTTTCAGCAACATCAGCAGCACTTAAACTAAGTGTAAATTTACTTTACCAATTTTCGTTTTGAAATGTCCATTCTGATTAATTTATGATTAAATCAATTCATCGCTATGATGAGTTTAGACAAAGTAATAAGAAAACGTCGATCATCAGGTCAACTGATAATCTTCATATTCATATTCTAACATCGCAATTTAGAACTAGCTATTTGTGCAGCTTTTATTATCTTTGTAGGTTTTCATATTCCTATTAGGAGTTTACTTCCCCATGACGTAGAAGTTATGTTGTCTAGAACTATGTTGAAAGCTTTATCATAGTATTATCCAGTTTAGAGAATAGGATCGAAAGCAACCATTTAACTATAACGTTCTCTCCATCATCATTCGAACTAACTATTATTTATGTTTATACACTATGTAATATCAACAACGACAGGAACCTTACTTTTTATTAAGTTTCTGTAAGTAGGTGCACAATCATCAAGAGCACAGAAATTTATACATAAACAAGCATAAATATTAGTACAACAGGGCACCAAATAGATATGCAACATATAAATCTTTCGACTTATGTCAGGCCTGGAATACTGCCCGAGCGACCAAACAGAAGCAGGAGCAAAAAATACAGAATTAAAACACTTACCAATAATAATTTATGTTGTTCATCATTGTTTTCAGTACTATTATTATTATCATTATTATTATTATTCAATAAAAATTCATTAGTTATTAAATGGGAATTAGAGTTTAAATTAGCATATTCACGTCTTAATATAGATAATTCACAACGTAATGCAATGGTAGTTTCAGCTTCTTGTGCTCGAATCAATTGACATTTAACTAAACGATCAGCCATTACTCCACTTTCCTATAGTAACATTTAAATAAAACCATATTAGTTAAGAAAAATATGTGGTAATGAAAAGAGAAAAAAAGCAGTTTTAAACAAAATTGAAATGTAATTTAAATGTAAAACAATTTGGTTAGTCAGTCAGTCAATCAACTACAAAGTAGGAACAAGCACATATATGCATCGGTCCAAGTTGCCACACCTCATTAGCACAACAACATGAACACCAGATTCATAGAAGCAGTTAACTCAATAGTTAGTAATATATAAAAAAAAGATTGTGTATGAGGATATAGTACAGAAAAAAAGAATTACTTGGTAGAACGAAAGATATAACGTAATTCTAATCTCATAGTTTAAGGAAAGATAGAGAGTGCATACACCTACGCCATTATGATCGATTCTCAGCCATGTCACCCACAGTCTCCAACTATTGGTTATGATAGTCATTATTTAATATTCTCTCCAGTTTATCACGATCATCTATCATACACATATCCTACATATATCGTTCATATTATGAAGACCTATTATTACTATATTCTAACTAATAACTTATAATCAAAAGAATATACTACCAAGAAATTTATAGTAGTAATTTTAATCAATTATCACCTATTATCACTAGACTTATCTATCATAACTCATTCAAAGAAGGAAGAAAAACAACAAACTAAAAAGACCAACAACATTGACTATCATCAATTGAAATTACAAAACTATCTATAACCCAAATATCTTTTAAAAAAAGATTACTACATGGAATTTTAATAGAGCTAATTGGTACAATCAATTATCTAATGACTTGGTTACTTACAACAAACAAGTCAATCAATCAGGAGTCACTGAGTTATTAATAATTCTTGGCGTACAGATTAAGTAATTAATATTATATTAATAATAATAATATATTACATTATATATTGTAATATAGTATGTATATTTATATAGCATATAGTATGGTATAATATTGTGTTACATATTATATATATATGTTCATATAAAAACAGTCAAGATTGATGAGCGAATAATTAACAATAACAAAATACGACTCAACTAGAATGATTACATTGACCTGTCCAGAAGATATAATAAGGTATATGGGCTTAACATAGTAACTGACATTACAACATATTATCTCTTTGATTGGATTGTAAATGATGAATTAGGAATGTTGGATATTCCTAATATAACCTATGATGAAAAATCTCATGAATAAATTCGATTTAGATTTAATCATTCCACACTTTATTCACTTCTCTAGATTATCAATTTAACTTGTGTAATTTGTAGTATTTATAGTATAAAAGAATTATAAAATCAGTCAGTCAGCTACAAGGTAGGAACAAGCACATATATGCATCGGTCCAAGTTGCCACACCTCATTAGCACAACAACATGAACACCAGATTCATAGAAGCCGTTAACTCAATGGTTAATAATATGTGAAAAAAAGATTGTGTATAAGGATATAGTACAGAAAGAAAGAATTACTTGGTAGAACGAAAGATATAACGTGGCGGGGGTATTGTTTACAAAAATGAGAGGACGAAAAGCGAATGTCTGGCGCTTTAACCGGACCCCAAACCAATGGTGGACATGGGCTCCAGTATCCTGAAGGAACAAATGGCGTATGAACCAATCGTTGGTCACCGGCTACCATGGGACTGCATCTCCTCACGATGCTCCACTGCCTTGTGGGTCAGACGTTCGGGTCAAAGGCTCGGGTTGTGGCCCCCTAAGAAAACGACCTGCTTCGGTTTGGGCACCCAGGCAGTATCACAGCCCTCACACAAATCAATTGAGATTTGTGTGGCGCATATGTATTTTGGTGCCTCCCTGTACCTATACTTATGTGTTAAAATAAATAAATAAATAAAACATAGTTTAAGGAAAGATAGAGAGTGCATACACCTACGCCATTATGATCGATTCTCAGCCATGTCACCCACAGTCTCCAACTATTGGTTATGATAGTCACGCGGACCCCAAACAAGTAGTCGGCATCTACCAACATGGCTCAGACTAAAAGATAGTGAATTCAAGCACTGATGCCATATTTTGGTTTGACCACCCCTAACTGTCTTCCAACCATCCACAACACTAATCTGCATTGCGAGTCGTAGGAATCGGTGTTCAGGCATACGTAACACGTGACCCAAACATCTCAGTCGATGAAGATTCACAACATCATCAACTGATTTATCATCATTCCCTAATAACTTGCATCAAACCTCACCACTACTTACCCGGTGATCCCTTCTCCATAAAATCAGTAAGGATAAGATGTACAGCTGAACCTATGGATATTACATCGATTTGCCTAATAATAAGTGTTATGAAAGAAGCCTCACACTGCTGTCAGTACCAGGAAACGTTCTCAACAATGTTGCTGAACCGAATAAAACACACAGTAGACGCACAACTTCCAGATCAACAGGCTGAACTCCATAAGGATCGGTCGTGCACAGACCAAATTGCGACAAAACGGATCATCGTTCAACAATCAGTTGAATAGAACTCGTCACTATATATCAACTTCATTGACTATGAGAAGACATTTGACAGTGTGGACAGGAGAACATTATGGAAACTTCATCGACACTGTGGAATTCCTGAGAAAATTGTCAACAAGACAACATTTTCTTTTGAAGTGAGTCCCATGTATCTTTAAAAAGACTATTGATATTTGAAGGTGAATACTTCCGTTAGATCGATGGAGTTGATATGGGTATTCCTTTAGTACCGTTATTAGCACGTGTTGAAAACTTGACTGAAGACCTTAATCAAAAACATATCTCTTTATAAGGGATATGTTTATGACATCTTAGCTATCTGTCGAAGAAAGGAGGATATGAATTGCTCATTGAATAAACTTAAGGCTTATCAAAACCTCTTCAACTGATTTGCCATCATTCCCTATTATCATGCGTCTAACCTCACAGCAGATGCGAGCAATATTTCTGTGGTCAAATACGATCAGCAATAAATTATATATTATTCTAGGTTAAATATATCATGGATTGTTTTATTTATCGTACTTCTACATTAGTAAATCGAACATAGTAATAATTGTTCACTAATAAGCTCAAATAAATAAATTTGTTCATCTTTCACACAAGACAAAATTTGTTAAGCTATATCTTATTTGCAAAATATAAAATGTATGTGAAAGATTTATAAAGCATGTGAACTAATTAAGCAAAGATGGATAGTGGCTAGCAGTGGAGTCCATGACGCGCGTTTCGTCCTATTTGGGACTCGTCAGAGGGATATACGTGATTAATTGCAGTCCTAAATAACAATGGGAAGATACAAGTTAAACAACACCATGTGAACTAATCATTAAATTAATTCAATTTATCTTCTATAATGATTGTTGTTATTATTTTTAGTAAACATGAATGCATTAAAGAGTATCCATAATATGTATATGGAAACAATCGATTGAAAAACGTGAACAGAAAATAGAGATGATAAACAAGTTAAGACTTTGTATATGATCAATCGAAAACATGTAGAATAAATGATGTATATTCATACATAATTAAGTAAATTCAAGATAGTTCTACTGTTTAGGCCTGAAACTTGGAGAATTACCATAACTATCATCAAATAAGTAAGAATATTTATAAATAATTATCTACGTAAAATATACTATATTCGTTGACCGGATACTATCAGCAACAATCAAATGTGGCAGAGAAAAAACCAACTTAAAACTGAAGAGGGAATGACAAAAAGACGTTGGAATTGAATAGGACATACATTACGCAAGTCGCCGAACTGTATCACGAAACAAGCGTAAAAGTGGAAGACCAAAGAACATACTGCGTTGGGAATCGGAAGCAAACATGAACAGGATGAATAGGAACTGGAAACGACTGGGAACGATTGCCCAGAACAGAGTTAGATAGAGAATGCTGATGGGCAGACTATGCTCCACCATGAGCGTTAACAGACGTAAGTAAGGAAGTAAGTACAAACTTATCTACGTATTAAATCACAACTCGTAACGCATACATACATGCATACTTCATACATACATGCTAATGATAGCTTGAATAAAGACTAGAACAAATTAATCTCACCTCTTCTAAACGAGCTAAACGTTGTAATAATAATCCGTTTTCAGTACGAAGACGCTGAAAGTTACATGAAGAAAAAAAAGAAAAGACAAATATATAACCCTTTCAACAAAGGCACATTAAGAAAAGTTAACACAAATTACTTTAAGTTATCACTAACCTTCAGTTAGTGATTGGGAAAATCTATAAATATATCATGATTTTCCAATTACTTAATTTTACTATCGAATATTAAAATATATTACAAAACAATGATTAACAAGAGAAAAAACTATCAAACGATCCGATCAACGTGGGAGGTAGAAAACCAGGTTCATCGATAGCGAAACATATAATTAAAACGGGGAACAAAATTGACATTTATACAGCTTTTATAACGTTGTATAGAAAGTGTCAAGGGCGAATTCTTAAGTTTATTGAAGCCTTGGTTATTCGTAAATTTAAACCCCCCTTATGTGAACGAAAACAATTTGTCGTAACCTTGAATTTACCTTGGTAATCCTTAAGTCATTTTATGGCCTAAAATAACGCAACAATTTTTTATTCTTTCTCTCCCCTTTGTTACTTTTTTTTGTTTGTTTGTACTTGAACTTTCACTTAATTGACCTTTATTAATTTTCATATAAAATGTCTTGAAAAGTATATGTTTGACCAGATTGTTCGAAATGCACCGCGCAAATATATCACATTTTTTAGATTAACTCCGTCTTTTCATTGTTCTATCGAAATTTATAAGTGACTAATCGCTTTAAGAAACCTGTTATAAAGTATAAGTTGTCACTGACAAAGTGTAGTTCAAAACCGTTGGAAACTATGAATTACTGGACAACTCTTTCCTCGGATTACAGTATTCTTTATCATCAATGCATGTCCGAGAAGTCTCCTCCGAATTTAAAAGTTCTCGGTTCTACCCATGACAGGGGTGTTTTCAATATGACCATGTTTTATTCATGTTAACTCTACATTCAAAGACAATGAGAAGAATGACAGAAATGCATTCATTATTTTTTATGTAACTTTTCATGTATTCAGCAATGTAATCATTCATGCACAGATATATATGATTAACTCATTCATCAGGTATTTATATATAATTCACACCCTCAGTGTAATGACATTATCCAACTGCCCAATTCAAGGTAGGCGAAGTGGGCCTCGAACCTGGGGCGTTGTGCCTCAAATTTCAATCCTTTAACTACTAAGTCATCTGTTTACTGCTTTTCCTCTTGTTGAAATACATCCCTACTGTGTTCACGTTATATGTGACGATTTAGACAAATAAGATTATTATACGCGGCTTCTTACAGTGCGTACATGTCTGGCACGCATCGGAATACAGTTTAGTGTAAATTCATTTTCGATCGCTTAATCCTCCCACTAAAATAACTAATATCAGTGTACTAAACCAAAGCGTGGCGTCATTCCTTGTTTTCCCTTAAACCGTGAGATTAAAGTTACTTTATACCTTTCTTTCTACGAACCAATTGTTCCTCCCAATATGATATCCTTATATGCAACCATTTTTATATATTACTACGATTGAAGTAACTAGTTCTATGAATTTAGTATTCATCTTGTTGTGCTAATGAGTTATGACAACTTGGATCGTTGCATGTGTGCCTGATCATACGTTGTAGATGACCGACTGTCTGTCTGACTCAGTGTGTAAAGTTTAGATGCTTTATTAAAGAACAATCAAGTTTATTGTAAACTATATTACATGCTAAGCCACTGTAACAGATTTCCTACTGAATTTTCTAAAGATAAATCCTTCGTAAGAAATATGTACTTAATTAAGCAGTCATAAGTAAAGTTGTCAATTAATCATAAGATAGAACGTAGGACATTTTTACGTTGAGTGAAGTTGACACAGAATATCATCACAATGAGACCATATTATCAACAAAATCGTTAGAGTGGTGAAAGTAATAATTGTAGGAAATAGTAAGCATGAACAGTGTGATTTAGGAAGAAAAAAATGAACTTATGAACCTCAAAGCATAAGATTGAAAAGAAAACAAAAAGTGAAAGGATCTACTCTATTGTTATTAAATCTAAATATTATGTCATCTGTTCACAACGTTTGGTAACAATAATCGTGTGAATTCTAATGAAGACTGTTTTTTCCCGTCTCTAGATTTTTTTAACCTACTACATCACTAGCAAACACCATACAATTGAGGTAAGCATTGATTGCGTGGGTATATTGTAATACAACGTAGTGCATAGAATAATTGTGTATACAATCAACCTGAGACAATGGAAACTAGTACGATAAGAGAAAAATCAAATTTGGTATTAAAAGAAAAACACAACACAGTAACAGTAATGAAAAATAGTTAATAGAAAACAAAATTTCGAAAGGAATACAGTGAAAATCAAACAACTAACACTTTTAATGAGTAGTTGACATTTCAAAGTTTTTTTTTATTGGTTTGATCAAAATTGAATGCATGATTATGTATGTAGTTCATAGTAAACGAATTTATTGTTAACTTCTGTGACTGTGACGTGGGGTAATCAAATGAGTTTAAGTTAGATAGGGAACAGTATTCCCTTTTTTGCTACAGAAGGCAAAACTTATTCATAATTGTTAACTAGTATAAAAGTCTAGACTAAAGAATTCTAGTTGATCACCTCTAATTTTAATAATATTAAATGTTATCGAATGACAGAAATTGTTCGCAGAAGGGGTTTTATGGATATTATAGCAATTTTAATAGTTAAGATGTCAGCCTGGCTGTAAAAGGTCGGATCTACAACGCGCGTGAGAGCAGTTTTGCTCTATGCTAGTGAAACCTGGCCTCTCCGAGTTGAGGATGTTAGACGACTCTCTGTGTTCGATCATCGCTGTCTCCGAAGGATTGCTGACATCCAGTGGCAACACCATGTTAGTAATGCAGAGGTTCGGCATCGTGTGTTCAGGCACAAAGACGACAATCCAATTGGTGTCACCATCATGAAACACTGACTTCGGTGGCTTGGACATGTTCTACGAATGTCATCTCAGAGAATTCCACGTCGTGCTTTATTTGCCGACTCTGGGACTGGTTGGAAAATGCGGAGAGGTGGTCAGTGTAAGACTTGGTGTCGTCGTATAAAAGAAAGCTACAAAAGGCTGGCTTGTGTTGGTCCTTCACGACTCCCTGGTTGGGGTCCGAGAGACGGTGTAACACAGTGGCTAGAGACGTTATCAGATATGGCTCAGAATAGAAGCCAGTGGTGATCCCGCTGTAACCTTCTTTTACTTTCTTGATAAAAAGTGGTTGTATCTTCCTTAACTGAAATAATTCTTCTGGTTGTACCTTTCCGTTTCCCCACTTATAATAATAATTATTATTATTATTACACTACCTTATACTAATCTGTGTTCGTTATTGTTCTTATACGCTCCTTACCTTCTTTTTTCTCTTCCCGTCCTCATTGTTTTATGTGGCGCATATATATTTGGTGTTCGAATTAATAAATAAATAAATAAAAATAGTTGAGATCATGAGTCAATTTGAGTTAGACATAACACCGTTGGATGCCGGCCGGCTCAGTGGTTTAATGGTTAAGCGCTCGCGCACGAGACTGATAAATCCTGGGTTCGAATCTCGCGAGGTGGTATCGTCGATGCGCGTTGCTGAGGAGTCCCACAGTAGGACGAAACGGCCGTCCAGTGCTTCCATGCTCTAGCTTCAATTGACTCATAATCTCAACTATTAAGATTAGAAATTGTTCTATTATTAATGATAACTCAACACATATTTTTTACTGTATTACACAATTAGTTAATGGAAGTCGGTAAGAAATCCTAGATTCAGTTTCATGACTAGTTGATACGAAGCATACCTACAATATTGTGGGAACTGATGCATCCTGCGGAAGTTGACCTTGAAATTACCTAGCTGTTTTCCAGTCTGTAACATTACCAGATCAGCTAAAATGTTTACACAGACTGATCATTGATTAGTAAGCAATATCATATTTACTTAATTCGTCAGTGCTGATCGAATTTTATCGATCATATCTTATTGTTTCAAGCTGTAAACTACGCGTTCTATGTATGAACAAAAGATTCCTACCGATTTGTTATACACCCAAAGATTCACATATATATTTATATGTAATACTCACACGTAATTCAATTTGTTCCTCTCGTTCTTGACTACGCATTGTCATGTATTCTTTCGCTAATCTATAACAATAAATGGACAAAACAGAATTATATCAAATAATTGAGTTAGTGTTATGAAAGAAACGAAGAGGATAACTGATAATTATTTTAATAGTTGAGACCATGAGTCAGTTGAAGCTAGAGCACCATAGAAAACATGGAAGCACTGGACAGCCGTTTCGTCCTATTGTGGGACTCCTCAGCAATGCATATCCACGATCCCGCCTCGCGAGATTCGTACAAAGGACTTATCCATCTTGCGCGCGAGCGCCTAGCCTCTGGACCACAGAGCACACTGCTGAGGAGTCCCACAATAGGACGAAACGTCCGTCCAATGCTTCCAGGTTTTCCAAGGTGGTCTAGATTCAATTGACTCATGATCTCAACTAATAAAATTACTATAATATCCACAAAACTCCTTTCTGATATTTAAAACTATTCAAGAAAAACAAAGTTAAGTAATAAAATAAGCAATAACTGAAGAATAACCGAATAAGAGGTAGATTTTTACTACAATAAAACATATGATAGTATTTAATGGATAAAATTATTACATATTTTGTATGCAGATTGACTAATTTAGAGTTTACACAATAATTGTAGCCCAATGTGATTAATAGATTGGTTAATATAACTTGAAATCAATCGCTATAACGTAGATACATTTAAAGATTTTACAACTAAACACTTTGAAATTATGTTGGCGAGACTATAATTTATGGACGAATCAATCAGGTATAAGATAACAGGTCTTGGATTTTGGCACGAAAGTCAGTCATCTATTTCCGTTAAATAGAGTTTTGGCATCATAGTTGATATAAGTTCGTGATGATAACCCTAAATCTAATTCCTAACCCTAACCATCAACTATAAATCATAACTCGAATTCCTCACGCTTGTTTATAACCCTCATTTGGTCCTAGTTATTAGGTGGATATTCTAAAGGTCACTTTAGCGTCGCTCAGAGATCGTCCATAAATTATAGTCACATCATTATGTTATACAATTGATTCTTTGAATTCATTATTTCTTCTTGAATCAGTTAATATATATGTATGTGTATATATCAAGTGATTTTTTATTATCAATGATAATTTATTATTGTTATTATTCTTTCACCTCAATGAGTGATTTATGATCTCATTCAAAACCCAACAATCTCCACAACCATATACTGGTAATTATCATGTGCTCACTAGTGACCGGCTTCGAGAGGTAAATCTCGAAGTTCTAACGAGAAGCCATGACCAGTGGAAACAATCCGTGTCACGTGTGAGGTATGTACTTGTGGAAGCACGTACATAGGAAAGATTGAAAGGAGAGCATTAACAACGTTTGCAGAACGAATTCCTCGTAAACAGAGAAGTATTTAAAATAAATTGCCAAAGTTACTTGTCTACACTATGTGAATAATTGTTCATGTTGAGAAACTATTCTTAAACCGTCAAGTAAAGTAACCGAACGGAACATACATAAACATTTATGTATGGTACAAGGAAAAGCATACTAGAACCTGGAAAGAAAACGTGTAAAATATAGCGATTGTTTCGTTATACAGAACTTACTTTTTCATCTTTTTTGTATTCAATTTAAGCGAACAAGCATTTTCAAATATAGTAGTCGAATGTTTATCCCACGCTAATGGTCCTTCATGTTGAAGGAACTGGAAAATATTAACATATACATAGAAAAGAAGTTAGTGCGATCCTGTTAGCTGAAGACAAAAGCTTGGAAAAACAATAAACAAACGATTTTTAGAATAGATAGATTGTGAATCCAAGACGTATGTTTAATCCTATTCAGGATTTTTAGCTAAATATACTAAAAAATCCTGCAGTTTACATTCACATCAAGATATGAAACCAGCAGCTTACACTCCTAGTACTAAGGCGTTATGTCTGGTACTGTGTCAATTCATTTATTTTAACACATAAATATTAATATAAGGGGGCACCGAATACATATGCGAAACACAAGTCACTTGATTTGCGTGTGATATTGTCCGGGTGCCCAAACCGAAGCAGGTGGTTTTCTTAGGGATACACACCCTGAGCCTTCAACTTAAAGGCCTCATCCACAAGACAATGAAGCAACGTAAGGAGATGCAGTCCCATAGTAGCCGATGGCCAACGATTGGTTCATACGCCATTTGTTCCCTCAAGATCCTGGAGACCATGTGCAACATTTGTTTGGAATCAGGGTTTCCCAACCCCTACTAGGTAGATCCTCCATATGCACCTACCCGGTTAAAGCTCCGGATATTCGCTCTTCGTCCTCTGAATTTCGTAAACAACAGTAATGCCGCGAGAAGGCAGTGAGTAGGACTTCCCTGGCAGTGGCTGTATACGTGTGACCATATGAAAGCATTTTGAGAAGAACAGCTGCCTCTCCGCACTCTCGGTTATACCAGGGCGTTTGGGGACGAGCTCAGATGAGTTATTCTAGTTTCCAGACAGACCGATTTATTCATTTATTTTATGTCGGACTTTGACCTTGTCAATTATACGCTTATTAGCTTTGACGTTTTTCATATGAGCGTGTGTGTATGTTGCTTAGCCTTAGCGGTGGTTAAGACAACTTTCAGCTACTAATTTGCTGATTCGAACCTTGCTTCATTTGCTTTGGTTTGGACACGATCTTTTACAAACAAACTGCGTCATGAAACCGAGCAGACTAATCTGTACCAGGTAAACAACGTTAATAAACGAAAAATACCGAAAAGAACTTACTGCAACCATTGACTCCATATCACATCTTAACAAATTGTCAGCAGAAAATTTCAATATAGATAAAGCTAATTTAAATATGAATTGAAGGCCCTGAAATATTTAATGTAAAAAGAAATAACGAATGATAAATAATGAGAGTATAATATTCCTAACTGAGATCTGTCAATCAACGCATCAATTTTTTAAAGTATTATTAAAGTTAATGTTATCAGTGGCGAACATTGAGAGAGAAATATTTAAGTTAAGTGTAAGGTACTCGGTAACAATGGTAGATTGGCTGATGAGAATATGAAGCTGTATCGGCTGAGACAGCTGATATACATGTTATATACAGTCACGAATAGGTGGGCAGAAAGATAGGTGGTATCAGTCCAGTTGTCACTAACTGTTGGACTAAGCTTTATCGGTAGGTGTACATGACTTGATTGAGGTCTGGACGGTTATCACGCTCAACGGTTGAAAACGCTGAGTGAAACAGTTCATAATCAATCACAATATCTTAGTTCCAGCTGCTCTTTGTCAACCCTGAGTTTTAAGACTATTTCAGACATTCTACTTCGTGAATACATTCTTGCTTATTGATTCACATTCGCTCAGATTACTATCACTGGGATTATTACTACTTTGGTATTCATGTTGTGTTAGTGCAAATATGACAGCTTGAATTAATGCACATTTTTGCAAGTTATAAGTTGCTTGTAGATTCAATTATGTTGTTGTGTTAATTATTATGCATTGAAAAGTTGAATTCAATAGTTCCATGTGTAATAAAATAAATGTTCAGTTTGAATAATCTCACAGATAGAATATGACATATTTAAGCATTGTAAGTTTGTATATTGGCAGGTCTCAACATACACAAAGGGAAAAGCAAGATTCTCCGATACAACACAGCATGCAACAATCGAATCACACATGACGGAGATTTGGAAGATGTAAAATCTTTTACATATCTGTGCAGCATAATTGATGAACACGGTGGATCTGATGCAGATATGAAGACGCGGATAGGTAAAGCGAGAGCAGCATATTTACAACTGAAGAACATCTGGAACTCAAAACAATCGTCAACCAACAACAAGGTCAGAATCTTCAGTACAAATGTTAAGACAGTACTACTGTATGGGGTGGAAACCTGGACAACTATGAAAGTCATCAACCAGAAGATACTAATGTTTATTAACAGTTGTTTATGCAAAATACTTCAGATCCGTTGACCAGACACTATCAGCAACAACCTACTGTGGGAGAGAACAAACCAGATTCTAGCAGAAGAAAACAGGGAGAAATGCTGGGAGTGGATAGGACACACATTGAGGAAATCACCCAACTGCGTCACGAGACAAGCCCTCACATGGAATCCTCAAGGTAAAAGGAAAAGAGGAAGATGAAACAACACATTACGTCGAAAAATGGAGAGACATGAGTAAAATGAACAAAAATTGGATAGAACTGTAAAAGAAGGCCAGGACAGAGTGGGTCGGAAAATGCTGGTGGGCGGTCTATGCTCCATTGGGAGTAACAGGTGTAAGCAATTATAAATACTATAGGTATTGCATAGATTATGTTAAAAGGTAATAATGACTACCTATACATTGAAACATTCTACTAAAACAAGAATTAAGTAAGTACACGTGAATCCTAACTAAAAAAATGTTGTGAATGATTGTTAAAGTGACAACACCTTATAATAGAGAATAAACATTCTAACAAAAAAGGGAAATATTTACGTGAAACGTCATTAGAATAAACAGTAAAGAATTTATTTTCTCAAACTCCAGCAATTGATCATGTGAATCTACAACAGATTTGGTTAAACTATAAACAAAACAAAAAAGCAATAACATACAACCAGTTTGGATTGTTGTTACGATAGAATGAAACAGTTCATACATAAAATACATCAGAATTTTTAAGAGAATAATTTACTTTAATGGAAAGAGAGAGAAAAAAAGCGGTAACGTTGTGGATCATAAACATACATACATACATATTAAAGGTATTATACCATAACACTGATCACAGTGACTATCAAACCAGTTTCTAGACTTTTACTATCAATCAACAATGTTTGGAAACCGAATTAAATCAGGAAATGAGAATAAGATTACTGGTGTTTTTCAGTGTAAATATCAAAGAATAAAATTCAACAATCTTAACAACTTTAATTTTAATAATTGAGATCATGAGTCAATTGAAGTTAGACCACCATGGAAAACATGGAAGCACTGGACAGCCGTTTCATTCTAGTATGGGACTCCTCAGCGATGAGCATCCGCGATCTCGCACGTGTATATATGTACACCTTTAGAGTTCATTGTAGTTCGTTATTTATACCCAACTTACATACGCCTGTTAACCGTCATGGAGTAGCATAGATCGTCCATTAGCATTCTCTATCTCTGTCCTGAGTAATCCTTTCCAGTTGCTATTCATTATGTTAATGTTTGCTTCTAATTGTCCAAGCACTGTGTTCTTTGGTCTTCTTCTTTCAAGTTTCCCTTCAGGATTCCAAGTTAGCTCTTGCTTCATGATGCAGTTTGGTGATTTCCGTAATGTATTTCCTATCCAATTCCAACGTCTTTTTCTAATTCCCTCTTCAGTTTTAAGTTGGTTTTTTCTCTGCCACAGTTGATTATTGTTAATAGTATCCGGTCAACGGATCTAATATATTTTGCGTAGACAATTGTTTATAAATATTCGTACTTTTTAATGATGATTTTGATAGTTCTCCACATTTCAACTCCGTACAGTGCCACTGTTTTAACGTTCGTATTGAACATTCTGATATTTGTTTTGAGTTCCAAATGTTCTTCAATTGTAAGGATATTGCGCTTTCTTTACCAATCCTTATCTTTACGTCTGCATTACATCCTTCTTATTCATCAATGATGTTAGTTGACTAAAACTTAGATGAGTTTCATATTAAACCATCTCAAGTGTAAATATCTTAGTTGAAATTAAAACCAAAAAAAAAAAAAAGAAATCAAATTTACATTGAGACTATTTTGTCTACAATGTCATTATTTAATATTCTCTCCAGTTTATCACGATCATCTATCATACACATATCCTACATATATCGTTCATATTATGAAGACCTATTATTACTATATTCTAACTAATAACTTATAATCAAAAGAATATACTACCAAGAAATTTATAGTAGTAATTTTAATCAATTATCACCTATTATCACTAGACTTATCTATCATAACTCATTCAAAGAAGGAAGAAAAACAACAAACTAAAAAGACCAACAACATTGACTATCATCAATTGAAATTACAAAACTATCTATAACCCAAATATCTTTTAAAAAAAGATTACTACATGGAATTTTAATAGAGCTAATTGGTACAATCAATTATCTAATGACTTGGTTACTTACAACAAACAAGTCAATCAATCAGGAGTCACTGAGTTATTAATAATTCTTGGCGTACAGATTAAGTAATTAATATTATATTAATAATAATAATATATTACATTATATATTGTAATATAGTATGTATATTTATATAGCATATAGTATGGTATAATATTGTGTTACATATTATATATATATGTTCATATAAAAACAGTCAAGATTGATGAGCGAATAATTAACAATAACAAAATACGACTCAACTAGAATGATTACATTGACCTGTCCAGAAGATATAATAAGGTATATGGGCTTAACATAGTAACTGACATTACAACATATTATCTCTTTGATTGGATTGTAAATGATGAATTAGGAATGTTGGATATTCCTAATATAACCTATGATGAAAAATCTCATGAATAAATTCGATTTAGATTTAATCATTCCACACTTTATTCACTTCTCTAGATTATCAATTTAACTTGTGTAATTTGTAGTATTTATAGTATAAAAGAATTATAAAATCAGTCAGTCAGCTACAAGGTAGGAACAAGCACATATATGCATCGGTCCAAGTTGCCACACCTCATTAGCACAACAACATGAACACCAGATTCATAGAAGCCGTTAACTCAATGGTTAATAATATGTGAAAAAAAGATTGTGTATAAGGATATAGTACAGAAAGAAAGAATTACTTGGTAGAACGAAAGATATAACGTGGCGGGGGTATTGTTTACAAAAATGAGAGGACGAAAAGCGAATGTCTGGCGCTTTAACCGGACCCCAAACCAATGGTGGACATGGGCTCCAGTATCCTGAAGGAACAAATGGCGTATGAACCAATCGTTGGTCACCGGCTACCATGGGACTGCATCTCCTCACGATGCTCCACTGCCTTGTGGGTCAGACGTTCGGGTCAAAGGCTCGGGTTGTGGCCCCCTAAGAAAACGACCTGCTTCGGTTTGGGCACCCAGGCAGTATCACAGCCCTCACACAAATCAATTGAGATTTGTGTGGCGCATATGTATTTTGGTGCCTCCCTGTACCTATACTTATGTGTTAAAATAAATAAATAAATAAAACATAGTTTAAGGAAAGATAGAGAGTGCATACACCTACGCCATTATGATCGATTCTCAGCCATGTCACCCACAGTCTCCAACTATTGGTTATGATAGTCACGCGGACCCCAAACAAGTAGTCGGCATCTACCAACATGGCTCAGACTAAAAGATAGTGAATTCAAGCACTGATGCCATATTTTGGTTTGACCACCCCTAACTGTCTTCCAACCATCCACAACACTAATCTGCATTGCGAGTCGTAGGAATCGGTGTTCAGGCATACGTAACACGTGACCCAAACATCTCAGTCGATGAAGATTCACAACATCATCAACTGATTTATCATCATTCCCTAATAACTTGCATCAAACCTCACCACTACTTACCCGGTGATCCCTTCTCCATAAAATCAGTAAGGATAAGATGTACAGCTGAACCTATGGATATTACATCGATTTGCCTAATAATAAGTGTTATGAAAGAAGCCTCACACTGCTGTCAGTACCAGGAAACGTTCTCAACAATGTTGCTGAACCGAATAAAACACACAGTAGACGCACAACTTCCAGATCAACAGGCTGAACTCCATAAGGATCGGTCGTGCACAGACCAAATTGCGACAAAACGGATCATCGTTCAACAATCAGTTGAATAGAACTCGTCACTATATATCAACTTCATTGACTATGAGAAGACATTTGACAGTGTGGACAGGAGAACATTATGGAAACTTCATCGACACTGTGGAATTCCTGAGAAAATTGTCAACAAGACAACATTTTCTTTTGAAGTGAGTCCCATGTATCTTTAAAAAGACTATTGATATTTGAAGGTGAATACTTCCGTTAGATCGATGGAGTTGATATGGGTATTCCTTTAGTACCGTTATTAGCACGTGTTGAAAACTTGACTGAAGACCTTAATCAAAAACATATCTCTTTATAAGGGATATGTTTATGACATCTTAGCTATCTGTCGAAGAAAGGAGGATATGAATTGCTCATTGAATAAACTTAAGGCTTATCAAAACCATATAAGTCTTTCATATTAAGAGGAGAAAAACGACTAGTTTCCTTTCATAGATATATTTATAAGTAGAAAAGAAGATGGTTCAGTCAATTTGGGCGGGCAATTACCCTAGTTTTTATAGTTATTACTCAGTTCACTACAAACGGGGTTTGATAAGGTGACTATTCCACTGAATTGATCGTATTTGCACAAATGACGCTACTGATGACGAAGTAAGATTGTTTTATATGTGATCAGATTGTTCGGAATGTATTGCGCTAAAATATCACATACTTTTGATAATTTTTGTTTTAATATAATTTTATCATCAAAAGAGTTACTTTTATTACGCCATCCCAACACGCAACCTTCTATTCGTAACTAGTTAGTAACATATCTTTGTTAGGTACAATCAATACGATTTCATGAACCTAACGCACACACACAGACACAATAAATACAAACATAATTACGTTTGTAAAAAGAATATTGTGAAATAGGGCACATAAATAGATAGCTAATTTAAAGTTACATTCTAATGTTGAATAGTTGTAACTGATAGATGGTAATACAATGTTACAATGAGTGAAATTCTACACTCATATAATTTAGTGAGTCAATAACATAGTACATATATATACAAACATTTTACAAACAAATCAAAAATAATACTGATAATTTGGAGTAAAGCAGTAAAAGATATTTAGATTTAGTTCACTCAGAAATAAACCTAGAGTTCGTATATGATTAGTAGAATAATGTATTGAAGGCATTCATTAAGAAACTTAGTACCTGACCTTCGAGCTAGTTGATGCCCTTTAACAAGATGTATCAATAACATCCAGGAAACTGATTCACCCCATGAGGTTTAAACTCGAACCGACCAGTATCATAGTCAGAAAGATTACGACTGAGCTGCTTGGATCGCGACTGTCCCCTTGCAGGAAAGATCATAGAGCAGTAAATCAATGTTACATTAGTCTCGTTTTTCGAGCTGGTCAAATTCTATCGGTCAGGTTACATTGCAACCTAATTCAATACCTTCTCTCTGACTGCCTTGAAAACTGTGTAGTGTTAAACAAAATGTATAAAACTCTCCAATAATTAACATTAGTATTATTCCACTGCACATCTATCAATAGAATTCAATCGACACATAAAAGCAATCTTGTAGATTTAGGAAGGTGACCGAGGTCCCCGATGAACAACCCCTGGAAGATAGTCAAAAAACGTGGCCTTTCTGTGAACAACGTTTTATGTCAGTTCGATACTTTTAAGGCCTTACCACCCACGACGGAAATCCATGGGGTAATGTGGAATGTGCTATTTCTGGTGTTAACTTTTTCTAACCGCTTTCTTTTGTTTTGGAAAGGAATCGTCGATGCAGATGCTGCTTGTCTGACAGAAACACCAAACTGCCGTCACACCCATACACAGTCAATAGTATGATTTCAAGTTGTTGCGTTTGGTCTTAACGTTACTGAACCGACATGGTTGAAATGCTAGGACCTAAAGGAACAAATATTCAAGCCAGGTATAGATCGGCTGCGTTATTCAAGACTGACAATCAATTCGAGGTAGTAATTACGGTTGGAAATGCAAATCATGTACAATAAGAAAGAAAAGCGTACCTCAACAATATAAAAATCCATAACACGTGTAGCACATGGTATAGGTAGAATAGTAGAGAACAATGTCAAAAACCATGCTGATGCATATAAACTTGGTGCAAATGATTGTGTACGAAAATGCGTATACAATTCGGGTAAATTATCAGCAACTAATTGTTCTAACTGGTACATACAAACGCCAAGTTCCATCATAGATGGTTTATACATTTCACGAAGTCGATAATCATTCATTAATTGAACAAGTACAGCGAATGCATTAAGTTCAGGCATCTGAAGTATCAAACAAAAGAAAGTCAAACAATGAATAGTCATGTTTCTACAAAAAAAATTAGGAAGTAAAATTAAAAACTACTACTTTAACTACAAGATTAGGTTGCGTCAATCAACTACATATGATGTGGTATAAATATGTAGCAGTCTAAGTTTCTAAACTTTCCATCAGGACATTAAAAGGAAATTGATTTGATGAAAACCAAAGAAACTAAATTACATGTATCAATTGTAATAAAATAAAACATGGAAAAGAAAGATGAAACACAATACAATCCATATCCGTGGAACTGAAACTGATTTTAAAGTCAGTTGCCTAAATAATTATTATAATTTGTACTTCATGGTACATTTTATAAAATTAGTCAAACAGTTCATGAGCTGAAACGATGTTATGATTAAACAGCCTGAATTTGCTATTCATTTACTCTAACATTAGTTAAAAGTAATGTGTAAGTTGGACAGTGACAAGGTTTATAAGTAATACATGTTCCAGACAACTTAATCAACTAAGTTTCAAGTTCTCATCAACCCGTTTATTATATATTCCTAATACCTTACGTTGCATAACAGCTTTATTATCTCAGTAATCTTATAGCCACAGATTAATATTAATAGAATTGATATCCAGTAGATTCTCTCTTTATAAAGTTCGTCACAAATGGTGTTAGTTACATAAAATCAAGTAAGATTTCCGCATTATACCCCAGGTCAAAACACATCTGATGTAAACATAGAAACAAAGAAACCATGACAAAAAAACGGAAACAATTTTGGGGGACTATTTCACTTAATTCAAAGTTTATAAAATACTAACATTTAGCTTTGACCCTGGTTATTTCTATAAACCATAAGCTTTCATCATTTGATGGATGATACATTGCCAAACTCTTTTCTACTCCAAAGTAATTGTAATTTAAAGGTGATCTTTTTACTTTACTTTTCTACCATAAATGTATTTTCCTGATTGTTTGTGCGTTGAGGTCTTGTTATTCATCCATTTATTTATATATCTTTTTACATTTATTCGAGTCAGGAATCAATCAAGTAGTGTTCCAGTTGACTCATCTAGTATGGTGTTCAATTATACATTAGGCAATAAGTCTGTTTACTTTCGTTAATATAATAAGAAGACGAAGATTATCAGAACTATGTGATGATATATTAATGCAATACATTTCGAACAATCTGATCACACAATTTAGAACATTTATATGTATATAAAGAAATAAAAGGTCAACTAGAGTGGAAATGGGGTAAGAGGAGATAAGGGTAATTAGAATAAGAGGAATAATAATAATGTAAACACAATTCAAAACCTAATCACTCTGGATAATAAGTCAATATTACCAGGGTAGGTTTAAGGTGAAAACAAAAGGGGTTTGAATTTTTGCATTATCAAAGAAAGAACAAGGTGCATGCTTCATCCAAAACCTAAAAGACATGAAAACGATAGTGTCACATCCCACTGTGTTTACCAATTTAAATGTGTGTGTGTGTGTGGTCACACATACATAGGGAGGAGCAATCGTGATCCGATAATCTTCGTCTTCTTATTACATTATCGAAATTTATCAAAGGGACTAATTATATATGAAAATTATATTTGAAATAATCTCAGCGATTGAAATTTAAATAATTCCAACTTTTCGTCCAGCTAACTTGTCTGTTTAACGACGTACAGTTATGATTGTTAAAAGCCATATATTTCTTTGATGATTTGATTTTGACTATTACCCTGAAGAAGTCCAGACAAGTTAGCTGGACGAAACGTTGGAATTATTTCAATTTCAATCGCTGAGATTATTTCAAATATAATTTTCATATATAATGACATCTCTATACTCGGCGCCAAATTTCTGTCAAACTATTCGTTCTAATCTTGACGAATATTCGTATAAAGGGACTAATTGCTTGAAATTTCTGTTTGTTTAGTTGATAGTCATGGACAAACAATGAATCAATTTTATTCTTCTACTTCAAACCATCTAATGAATGGATAGTCGGTTATAAATAACATTAACCTCTGAAAATAATAAACAAAACTAAACTGGTAAGATAATTGTTATTAAACATATCATAACCATTTATTTTATCTGCGCCCCCAAATGCCCTGGTATGGCCGAGAGTGGGATGGGCCCGCCTGCCCTCTCGAAATGCCTTCACGTGGCGGGATGTTGTTTACGAAAATGAGAGGACGAAAAGCGAATTTCCGACGCTTTAACCGGATCCCAAATCAATGGTGCGTATGGGCTCCAGTATCCTGAGGGAATAAATGGTGTATGAACCAATCGTTAGTCACCGGCTACCATGGGACTGCAACTCCTCACGATGCTCCACTGCCTTGTGGATCAGACCTTTAGGTCAAAGGCTCGGGTTGTGGCCCCCTAAGAAAACGACCTGCTTCGGTCTGGGCATCCGGGTAGTATCACAGCCCACACACAAATTAAGTGAAAATAATGATATTTACTGGAAATTAATGTGGCGCATATATATTTGGTGCCCTCTTGTACCAATATTTATGTGTTCAAATAAATAAAACATTTTACCTGCATTAATAATAATCCAACAATAAATGCTGAGCCTTGACAATAGCCCACTTCTGGGTCATGAACTGAATACGCTTTGATTACACGGAATAAACTTTCTTGACCACAACCATTCTGTGAAAAAGATATATGTATGGAAAAAGATATAATTGTGAACAGAGAAACAAAGAAACCATGACAAACAATGGTTATTCTACTTAATTCAAAGCTTGTAAAATAATAACATTTAGGTTTATCCCTGGTTATTTCTACATATAAAAGAATAGCATTCAAATAGCATAATTAGCACATTATAGATAAATCGGTCTACCATATAGGACTAAAAACTGAAAGGGTATATTCACCTGTTGAAATTATTGAATTTCCAATGAAGGACTTAATTACTGACTATTGTGTTGATTTGAAGTTTAACATTTTAGCGCCAAATCTTCACACGAGAGTTATTCTTTATATTTAATACTATTAAAAACGATATTTCCTTATTGACAACTAGCTCTTATGTGTTAGACTTTAGCTCTGTTTGCAAGGCCAATGTGCATGTATTTGTACAAATGTGTTACTAACTCAAGTATGTCGTTTTAGGTTCCTACTAAATGTTATATTATATTATATTTTGGAGTGGGCAAAGTTGGAAGGGGAGAAACTGTTGTATCCAGATACCGAAGTGAAACCAAGAGTTTTATACTGACCAATAACCATCTACCGAATTGAATCACAATTTTAAGCGGATATTTTGGGAAATGTAAGATAAAATCCTGAGGTTGCTGTGATATTTTCAGCATAATAACTTATTGATCCCACTAAAAATTTAGGATACCTTATTAGCAATACAGTTAGAATTCTAGGTGATTGAATCTAACGAACGTCCAGTGCTTCCAACGGTGGTCCTAACATCACTCGGTTCATGATCTCAATCAAAAAAACTTAATAATCTCCACAACCCCAATATTGATAATTAATTTATAATTTGAAAAAAGTAGCGATGATCAGCCAACAACGAAATCAATCCGAATTTTTAGGTTGTTGAGGATTAAAATTATTTTACCTAAAGGATCATAATCATTGACAACTGCCTCATCTTCGTATTGGGACAGCACAGTGGTACATACAAATGATCATCCAATTATACTTGCAAATTCACTTCACTTACGATACACAGTTCAAACTCAACAGTTATATTTTCTTACTAGAAGACATCACATATATGCCTCGAAGTAAATCATTAAAGACTACTTCATAATTATTAAAATAGTACAACCAATCGGAACTACAATCAGAGATATTCATAATACATTGTTAATAATTCAAGAGGTGAATATAATCCAAAATCAACACATAATTATTGATAACTATCAATAAACTTCAATACTGATATGACAAAATCCCTTTATTTATTGACTTGAACACATAAATACTGGTACAAGGGGGCACCAGATACATATGCGCCACACAAATCCCATTAGATTTGTATGGAACTGTGATAATGCCAAGAAGTCTGATCCACAAGGCAGTGGAGCATCGTAAGGAGATGCAGTCCATGGTAGCCGGTGACCAACGATTGGTTCATGCGGCATTAGACTTCTCAAGATCCTGGAGCCCATGTGCTCCATTGGTTTGGAGTCAGGGTTTTCCAACTACCCTAGGTGAACTTTCCGTGTCCACCAACCCTCTTAAAGCGCCAGATATTTGTTTTTTTTCCTCTCAGTTCTGTAAACAACACCGCCACGAGAAGGCAGTGAGTGAGACTTCCATGGCAGAAACTATATACGCGAGGCTATGTGAGAGCATTTCGATTGGGAGAGCGGACTCTCCCCACTCTCGGCCGTACCAGGGCACTTGGGGGCCGTTCCGTCCCATTGTGGGACTCCTCAGTAGTACGCATCGACGATCCCACTCTCGGGATTCGAACACACGGCCTTCAGTCTCGCGCGCGAAACGCTTAACCTACTGGACCAGTGAGCCAAAATCCCTAATTTATTATGAAGAAATTGTAATAGTTAGCTTTTCAATGACAAGATTATCATTTACAAAGACAATAGAGGTTTGATGCTTAAAAACGATGGAACAGCTGCTGATCAGTAATTTAAAGCCTTAAAACAGAATTCCAGTCAGCTAATCAATTACAACGTAGAACCAGGCATAGAATTATTCGAAAATTTATAGAAATGGAGTGTATGCATGAATGTATTGTTAGTAAAAATGTTTTAATAATAATCAAATAAGCTATGATTAGGATTCCATAGGATGGATGCCAGCAAAAAAACGAAACTAAGACATTGCCAATAGTTAGATAAACGGAGGTAGAAACAACGAAATAAAAAGTTGAAAGGAATATGCATATAAGTGAACAGAAAACAAATTCAATGGTCGTGGGAAGAAAAATGCAATATATCTATTTTCTAAATCAAAAGAGTATCATCACTTGTTTTCGGTTGACATGTTTTATTTTGTTCTTTTTTTTAAAGATAAAACGAAGTTGGATGACATTCAGGATATCGATATTCAGTCAACCAGTCAGTCATCTACAACGTATGATCAGGCACACATGCAACGATCCAAGTTGTCATAACTCATTAGCACAACAAGATGAATACTAAATTCATAGAACTAGTTACTTCAATCGTAGTAATATATAAAAATGGTTGCATATAAGGATATCATATTGGGAGGAACAATTGGTTCGTAGAAAGAAAGGTATAAAGTAACTTTAATCTCACGGTTTAAGGGAAAACAAGGAATGACGCCACGCTTTGGTTTAGTACACTGATATTAGTTATTTTAGTGGGAGGATTAAGCGATCGAAAATGAATTTACACTAAACTGTATTCCGATGCGTGCCAGACATGTACGCACTGTAAGAAGCCGCGTATAATAATCTTATTTGTCTAAATCGTCACATATAACGTGAACACAGTAGGGATGTATTTCAACAAGAGGAAAAGCAGTAAACAGATGACTTAGTAGTTAAAGGATTGAAATTTGAGGCACAACGCCCCAGGTTCGAGGCCCACTTCGCCTACCTTGAATTGGGCAGTTGGATAATGTCATTACACTGAGGGTGTGAATTATATATAAATACCTGATGAATGAGTTAATCATATATATCTGTGCATGAATGATTACATTGCTGAATACATGAAAAGTTACATAAAAAATAATGAATGCATTTCTGTCATTCTTCTCATTGTCTTTGAATGTAGAGTTAACATGAATAAAACATGGTCATATTGAAAACACCCCTGTCATGGGTAGAACCGAGAACTTTTAAATTCGGAGGAGACTTCTCGGACATGCATTGATGATAAAGAATACTGTAATCCGAGGAAAGAGTTGTCCAGTAATTCATAGTTTCCAACGGTTTTGAACTACACTTTGTCAGTGACAAAATTAATCATCAACTGATCTCTATAAAATACTTAACCATAGACTGCTTTTGTCTAACTTCATTAGTATTTTTATAATTTGTTAGAAAGATACTTAAGGGTTCCAACAATCAGTTAACTTATCATATCATATATCTACTTTAAATGCCAACATTAAATTATAACAGAATTACTTGACACACTGTAAATCTATTCAAAATTACACAGTGGTTAAGTCAAATATGAAAATCATACATTAAATGTACTGCGTCTTTGCGTTTTCCTCTACATACTCCATTATTCCTTTAGTTCTGTTGTTATTTTGATTGCTTTCCGATCTCTATTCTTATCCATTTGATTTTCTGCTGCCAGGCATTCCACTTCTGATTGCAGCTACATACTACTTATATCTATCAGCATAAGTAGCATACATCACAATAGTACAATCATTGATACGACTAAAAAATTTAAACTTTTCTCCCTTGCTTTCAGCATATGACTTTAAGATGTTAACTAAACAAGATTCGTAAATTATAAAAATTAAATATATGATAAGCCAACTATAGGAAAAGTTTCACTCAGGTGATTAATTTCTAATAACTATGTAACCTCTTGTAGTGGAACCTAAACCAGTCGGTCATTATACACCGCAAAATTATATTCCCTGATATTACTACATTCGTTGAGCTTAACGTCATCAAGCCAACATAGTCGCATCAAACAATTACTTGTCTCATTCTTAACGAAGTAGAAGTACCACCACATAATGGCCAGATAAAATCTAATGTAGCATACAAAGAAATAATGAATTCGATCAAACGAATCTACCATTGATTAAACTGTAACAAATTCGTTTAGATAAAAAATAGATGAGAAAATTTGTCTTTACTAAGTAAAGAAATTTCCTGATGAATAATAGTTTAAAACAATCCGCTCATGTAATAATATTGAAAAGAAGATAACATAAAAACTGAAGTAGAAGGAGAATATTGTGCAAAATCGATAACATTCCGTAAGTATATCGTATAAATTTAAGTGGGCTAAGTATACGTGATGCAAAACAAAGCTCAGCCTCATTATTTTTAATTGGTTAATTACAGATCAATCAGGTTTCCATGTAATATGAAATTGAATAGTAACAATAGAATGGTAGCGTAACGCTTTTCAAGGACATAAATTGTATAATTACAATGGAATGAAAAGAGAAAACAGTTGGTATATACATTGAAGAAAAAAAGGAAAATGCAAACAGGAGTTGAAAGGATTATCTTTATCTCATTCAACAATGAATTAATAATTGCATGGAGATAGATGTCAAGAAATCATGAACCTAAGTTTCGTAGTTTTTCGCACTCATCAGACAGGGCGTACCTGAAGTTTTGAGGGAATTAGTGGTTTTAGTTGAATTTGAAACTGTGTCGCCCAACTTTACAGTCTGAAATAAAACCAATTAGGTTTTCAGGTCGCGACTGATTTCCTGTAGGACAGAAATAGTTATAATGAATTGACTACTGAATAGTGACCAATGTTATGATTGTCTAACCGTTTAGTGTCGATCGAATTCTGTCGACCAAGTCGCACTATGGTCGCTAGTGTGACTTGACAAAACGCACAAGTTTATCTTAATGACGAATAATAACTAGCAAGGAACCTAGGTCAAACACGCTTACATCCAAACTAATTTCAAACATCGAAAATTTCAACATAGTGGATACAATACTGAACCACTAGAAATAAGGCTGCACATTGACCGAGAGAGTTTGATTAGCACTAAAGGGTTAGAAAATCATGGCACTGGTCACTACACATTGGTCGATCAGCTGTTGAAACTGAATTATCCTAAACTTTATTAATTACACTTCTTATCAGGGACATAATATCAGCCCAAGTTCCAACACCTTATATCAGCTAAACAAAATGAAGTTAACAAAACAAATAAGTATAAACCCTATAGTTTACAACTTTGTATAGGGTTATCAAGTTAGGTAACATTCAGATAGCACATTAAATACGGTTCAGTGCACCATCTTCTTACAAACACAATGTTAAACACTGCAATCACTATCACAAAAGCTTGTTATTCAGCCTCCAGATACTTGAAGGGAAAATCATGTCAGTTTACCGCCATCCTCAGAAAACGTTAAACAATACAACACGAATCGTGTAAATTAGCCTCAGCAACAAAGTATACATTCATTTCACATAATCATAAAAACAGTTCTAACAAAAATACGTAGTACCTAGCTTAAAGTGCACAGTGACACAACTTTCTTCAGTGAGAAAAGATGTGTTGAAAGTTGAACTCCTAGTGCTTTCACAACGAGTCACACCATGGTTCAGTAATGAGGTTTGCAGCCTACTCCATAAGAGGAAGACGAATGGGAGATTTAGGTTACTGGGTACTGATGAGACAGAATCTCAATATCGAAAAGCTCGAAATATTTGTGCCTCGATGCTCCTCAAGTCTAGACGACTGCATAAACAACAGCTTATCGAAGAATCTACAGAATACCTTAAGCGCTCATACTCATACATAAAACGAAAGGTCACGAGAAGAGACGATATCCCATCATTATGGGGAGACAGTAGTTCTGTGGTGCGCGCTACTTATATTGATATAATAAGTAGTATATGACGCGAGTTAAAAACTTAATGTTTGGCAGAGGAAATGAGCGAAGATCAAGAAAGGAAGAGCGGGAACACAATGGAATTTGTATGAAAACGGATGAACAATGAAATCTGAGATAATGGATTGATGTTTACAACAGGAACAGTCCAGTTTTATATAGTGGATCGATATTTTGAAAATTAACGATTTAATATATGGTTTTTCTATTTTACCAATTAACTCTGTAATTTTGAGCTAAATACAGTTCGGTTGTCCTCACCGGTGTTCTCTTTCACTACAGTACTACTTCATTATTGGAATACAATTATGGTAAAGCTTAGGTATTTTCAAACTACCAACGGGAATTAGCAAATTTTATTGTAAGTCTCCTAAGTATATGCTTTGACCTATCTATAACCCAAGGTAGATCACAAAAAGACTGAAGGAATGCCACAGTAAGGCCTGTCAAGAGATACGAGACAAACTTAAGAACTATCGACTCGTAAGCCAAAATAGAGCAGTTGGGAAAATTTTTGAAAACATGGTTCGGAACGAGTCTTTAAATATCGCGACGAAAACCGAATTCCAGCTGAGAATCAAAATGGCTTTCCAACAGGTTATTTACGTCTAAATAACTTGTTAGCACCCCGTAAAACTTGATGCACTCTTAATGATCTAAATTTACCTATAGATGTAGCCTTCATTGACCTCGGTAAGGCTCTTGACAAACGCCCTCACAATCATTTGCTATCTATGTCAAATAATATCGAGATTGAAGGCAACTTACTTGTGTGAAGAAACGACTTCACATGGAATTTCGTTTTGAGCTGGATGGTTTGGTCGTGGAGCTTTCATCGTTCTTCTAAACGACATCATCAGCACAAACTTCAGATAGAAGTGAAGTGTTCGAATTTCTCTTTATGTGGTTCAAAGCTTGTTCTGTAGACCTCGATGTTGATTGGTTCTTGTTGACCTTGAACCTGTCATTGTTTACTTCTTCGTTTTGGTTGTGTCGCCCATTGGTTTGATTTTTATTCCTATGTTTGTGCATAATTTTTGTGATTGGTTGATAAGTTGGATCGATTTCTATACATGTAGCCCGCATAGACCTCAGTAATGATCTTGTCAAAGGCCCTCACAACTACTAGCCATCTAAGTCAAGTAATATCGCGATTGGAGGCAACTTACTTGTATGGATAAAGGACTTCATAGTTTGGTGTCAATAAACAGTACGAGTGAGGTATATGTTGTCTAGCTGGGAAACTGTGCTTCGTGGAGTGCCTCAAGGTTCAGTTTTGAGGGTAGTGTTGTTCCTCCTGTATGTAAATGACCTTTCTAGTCTCCTACCACAATCGGTTTATTTACATGCGGACGATGTCAAAACAATGGAGAGTGATAAAAAGTGAAGGTAATAGTTTACAGCTTCAAACTGAACTGGAGAAATTGTCTGAATGGTATACAATTTGGCAGTTGCCGATAGATGTTTCCAAGTGCATTATGATGCGGATATGGACGGATACAGACGCACAATGACCTAGGAGTTGTCGTTAGTCAAAACTCGAAAACTACTGGACACTGTTGTATTCAATGCGGTAATGTATGAATCTTCTAAGTCAAACTTATTATACGAAACCTAATAATGTCACTAGTCAGAGATACAGTGAACTTTAAGTCTAACTGTTGAAAGTGAAGTATATAAGTATGTATCTAAAATAAATTAGACAATGGTGAAATGAAATAAATCACTTTTTTTCAACTAAAGATATTTACATTATAAATAAAATAGCTCACTTCATCTTTAAATAAATCATGTTTAGGAAATGTACGTGCAATATCACGTCGGATAGCTTTTTCAACCGGTGAATTAACTAACAAATAATTATGATAATGTTTTTTAACAATTGAATCATAAGCTCCACAGTATAATTGCCAAATTAATGGACGAAATTCATCAGGAACACCTTTTTTAATAAGATCCTAATAAAAATAAATAAACTATAAACATTTTTCCAGCACATTATGTAAACATGGATAACACATAAAATTTCATCTTAATGAGGGATGGACTTCATAAAATTTCAGGTTGATTCACATCGACGAATGATATCGTCATAATGAAGTATTAAAAGGTGAAAGAGGATTAGATAAGTGTTTTCTTCGAGGTTGAAACTTCTAAATAGTACTCACTGGTGACAAGAGATCTGACAATCATCGGTTTAATCTTATATGGAGTGAGTTATATGTGCAAAAGTTGAAGAGTATTGAATTGAGATAAAACATATTTGTACAGTGATTCCTAAATTTTTGGTGATTTCCCAGTTGAAAACCAACTTCAAATTGAATGATCTGTAAAGATATTTCACACCCGAACTAATGATAGGGAGTGAAGTAGTTGAGCGTGTCAACCGCTTCACTTATCTCGGAAGTCTCATCAGCCCTTGTGGTCTGGTGTGTGACGAAATCTCAGCACGGATACAAAAGGCTCGACTAGCTTTTGCCAACTTGCGTCATTTGTGGCGTAGGCGAGATATCCGTCTATCAAACAAAGGACGTGTTTACTGCGCAGCAGTTCGTTCCGTCCTATTTTATGGCAGTGAAACATGACCAGTAAGAGTAGAGGATATTCGTAGGTTACTAGTATTTGATCATAAATGTCTTCGAAACATTGCTCGTATATCCTGGGACCATCGAGTAATGCAGTTGTTAGAAAACAAGTACTAGGTAAGGATGGCAAATCAATTGATAAAGTGGTAAAGTTCATCAGTTGAGATGGCTGGGACATGTGTTACGTATCATCAATCACAGACTGCCTCGATGTGCGATGATTTATGGTGTAGGAGTAGGTTGGAAGAAAGCTAGGGGCAGTCAGACCAAAACATAGCACAAATCCATGAAGTCACTGACAAGTGGACTGAGCCATGTTGGTAGGTGTAGACTACCTGGTTGGGATCCGCGAGATGATAGCAACCTATGGTTAGACCTTGAATGATATGGCTCAAAATCGTTTGTAATGGCACGAGTGCATCCATTCTTTGTGTTCTCCCAAACTCTAATCTTCTGAATTCTCCTTATCTATTTTTGGCTCTTTCCCAATTTATTTCACTGGATTATACTCGTTGAATAACATCTTCAAACCGTAATCTTTCCGATTACTGCTTATACTCTTACTACCTCTACCACCATGGGATTTGAATCAACAACTGCATCTCTGTGTTAATGTGGTATGGCAACTTGAACTGATGTACGTATGTACGAAATTCTACGTTGTTACTGACTGACTGACTGACATTAGTTCATAAATTTACTTTGATTACAATAAATATTTTATGCAAAAAATATTCATCGTAAATCTGGCTACCATTAATAGTAACTATCAATTTGAACTTATAGTTAAGGATACTGAATAACAGAATAAATAGTTGAAATATATAAAAATGGGTGCGTAATTTAACAGTTAGTTCGTTTTATGTATTATGAAATATAAGAGTTATGATTTTCCAATAGTTAATATTTGGGAATGAATTGACCGATTTTTAGTTGGATTATATGGTCAAAAAATAAGTGATAGGTAAATAATTTCTCGCGGTTAGATTCCATGAAACGATTCGAGATTATTTGAGAATTTGAGGAAAGACGACCAAAAGTGAGATAATTTGCAGTCATTTTAGGTAAACATGGGCTTTATGATTGAACCATAGAAAACAGAGTTAAACTGGAGGTGCTGTGTCAAAAGTTTGATGAACTTATATACACACCACGTACATGTGTTTATAAACAATTGTCTACACAAGATACTCCAGATCTGTTGGCCGGATACCATCAATAACAACTCACTATGTAAATTACTAAACTGCATCACATGGCAAAACTTAACTTGGAATCATGAATGCAAAACGAAAAGATGTAGACGAAACACATTGCACTGGGAATCAGAGGCAGATGTCAAAAGAATAAATAGTACTTGGTAACAGCTGAGAAGGAGAGCCCAGGACAAAATTGGTCGGAGACCTATGCTCCACATGTGTAAGTATATCCCCATTTTCTGACATTAGCAGAGAAATGGTATTGTTGGACTGTGTTCTGTAATACAGTCATTAAATTTTAGCATCTGTTACAAACAAACGAGAAATGTTTTCTACTTGTACAGCCTAAAATACGTGAATATTCATGTCTATTTACGGAGCTAAATATCTGCGGAACTGATCGAGTTAACAGACAAAAACACTGTATCAGTCAGCGACCTTATCACGTTGGAGATACAAGCTCACATTCAGTCATCGAAAGCGTGATGACTAAGTGGTTAAGGCAATCGACTTTCAACAACCAATTCTAAACCATATTCCGTCTACCTCGGTTCGAGTAGCAACCGAGTAGTATAAATTTATACTTCAAAAAGTGTGACTGAAAGTTCAGTACATTTACCTATATTTGACTGATAAAATCTCAATAATGAATAATTTTAGGGGCACTTCTGACACGAAAATGTCTAATCGCTTCAAAACTATTCATTCAGAACAATTTTAATGACTCGTCATAACGCGTTAAAGATGACGGTGAATATGAATTTGAAAACATATTTCTTAGGAAAAAATGTTGTTTCTAACAACCTACAGAAACATAGGATTTCTTTTTCGAACATTGATCCCAATTATTTATCACATAGTCCCACTGTTCACGAATAGAACTGCTAATTGGTGCTCCAACAGTCCAACCAATCATTAAAGGAATCGAAACTCCAGAAGCGTTACTCGATTTCGACGACCCATGTGTTCCATTACCGTTAGGCTGCAGCGAAGATGTTCCGTTGCCTAATATGAGTGAACAAAACAAATACTATAATTTAAGTAACGTTGTTTATACAGAGTACATCAGAAAATAATTTAAATCAGAAAGAAATTACAGATTTGTAGACTAAGTTGATATCCTTCAACTCCGCCTGTAGCTTTTCCAGAGTTACTGCCGGTCCCAACCCCGGGTAAAGGAGAAGGGTTAGGTATGGAGTTAGCGGCCTCATCCCGTAGAAAACTAACTCGCTAAAAAAACGCTAAACAGAAAAAATAACTCAAACCATTTAAACTCTGCCTTGGGAGTTAGAAGGTCTTCATTTAGAAGAAATATGACGCCTCAGGGTCAAGGCCGAGTTCCTTCGGAAGCCATGAGGCCGATGCCCCTTCTAACAACCAGAGCAACAAGTTTTATAGGTACATGGAACGTCCGGACAATGTGGGAGACCGGGAAGACCAGTCAAATAGCAACGGAAATGAGGAGATATAACTTGGTAGTACTGGGAATCAGCGAAACCCATTGGATCCAAGCTGGACAACAAAGGCTAAATACGGGAGAGATGCTGTTATACTCCGGTCACGAAGAGGAAAATGCTCCACACACTAAGGGAGTGGCACTAATGCTGTCCAAAGTAGCACAAAATGCACTTGTAGGATGGGAATTTCACGGATCCAGAATCATCAAAGCATCATTCAAAACAAAGAAGGAGGAGATCACAATGAACATTATCCAGTGTTATGCACCCACCAATGATAGCAACGACGAAGTTAAAGATCAATTCAATGAGAGGCTGCAATCAATCACAGAGAAGTGCTCAAGAAAAGACCTCACCATTCTGATGGGAGATCTAAACGCCAAAGTCGGAATGGACAACACCGGATATGAAGATATCATGGGACTGCATGGACTGGGAACGAGGAACGAAAACGGGGAAAGATTTGTAAATCTGTGTGCACTCAACAAATTGGTCATAGGCGGCACAATATTTCCACACAAACGTATACACAAAGCTACATGGATCTCACCAGACCACTCCACAGAGAACCAGATAGATCATAATTGCATCAATAAAAAGTTCCGAAGGACAATGGAAGATGTGAGAACCAGGAGAGGAGCGGACATAGCTTCAGATCATCACCTGGTTGTGGCCAATTTAAAACTGAAGCTAAAGAAGAACTGGACAACTGGACAAACAGCGCTGCAAAGCTTCAATACAGCCTTCCTTCGAGATACCGACAAACTCAATGAATTCGAGATAGCGCTCAACAACAGGTTCCAAGCCCTACAGGATCTACTGAAGGAAGAAGAAACTATTATGGAGAATAACTAGAAAGTTATCAAAGAAACATTAACTTCAACGTGTCAAGAGGTTCTGGGCCCCAAGAAGCATCATCACAAGGAATGGATCTCTACAGAAACACTGGACAGGATCAAAGAAAGGAAGAACAAGAAGACAGCAATTAACAACAGCCGAACACGAGCATAAAGTCCAAGCACAAGCCCAGTACATAGAAACAAGCAAGCAAGTGAAGAAGAGCGATAAAGCCGACAAGCAGAAATACGTGGAAGAACTAGCAACGACGGCGGAAAAAGCTGCAAGAGAAGGATATATGAAACAGCTTTTTGATACAACAAAAAAACTAGCAGAGAAATATAGTAAACCAGAGAGAACAGTCAAAGACAAAGAAGGAAGACCAATCACTGAGATTCAACAACAGCGGAACAGATGGGCAGAGTACTTTGAGGAACTCTTGAGTGGGCCGGCTCCAATGAATTCACCGGACATCGAAGCAGCACACACAGATCTTCCTATAGATGTCAATCCACCAACTACGGAAGAAATCAGAATGGCCATCAGACAAATCAAGAGCGGGAAAGCAGCAGGACCCGACAATATACCAGCTGAAGCACTGAAGTCAAACATCGAATTAACTACAAGCATGCTTCATCTTCTATTCAAGAAGATTTGGGAGGAGGAACAAGTGCCGATGAACTGAAAAGAAGAACACCTCATCAAGATTCCAAAGAAAGGAGATCTGAGCAAGTGTGAAAATTACAGAGGCATTACACTACTGTCAATACCAGGAAAAGTCTTTAACAGACTGTTACTAAACAGGATGAAAGACACAGTAGACGCTCAACTTCGAGATCAACAAGCTGGATTCCGTAAGGATCGGTCGTGCACAGACCAAATTGCGATACTACGGATCATCGTTGAACAATCAATTAAGTGAAACTCGTCACTGTACATCAACTTCATTGATTATGAGAAGGCATTTGAAAGTGTGGATAGGAGAACGTTATGGAAAATTCTTCGACACTACGGAGTTCCTGAGAAGAGTGTCAATATTATCCGGAACTCATACGACGGACTACAGTGCAAAGTAGTGCATGGAGGACAGCTGACAGATGCATTCCAAGTAAGGACCGGAGTAAGACAAGGCTGTTTACTCTCCCCCTTCCTCTTTCTTCTAGTATTCGACTGGATTATGAAGACCTCGACATCTGAGGGAAAACACGGCATACAAGGAGGTTAAGATGCAGACGTAAAGGCGAGGATTGGCAAAGCAAGGACAGCATTCCTTCAATTGACGAACATATGGAACTCAAAACAACTTTCAACCAATATCAAAGTCACAATCTTCAACACGAACGTCAAGGCAGGAAGGCCAAAGAACACATTACGTCAGGAAATAGAAGCAGACATGAAAAGGATGAATAACAACTGTAAAGAGCTAGAAAGGGTTGCCCAGGATAGGATTGGATGGAGAGTGCTGGTGGGCGGAGTATGCTCCTCCACGACGGGTAACAGGCGTAAGCAAGTAAGTCATACAATTCTAAAGTAAATTCGACTAAAATTTTGGATGTTGTTATTGATACAGTTGAATAGTTTCCATTACTAGTGTTGAAAATATCAAATCGACAAGAAAAAGTTATAGTTTAAATACATGGATTGATTGTGATTATTATCACTGATGTGGAACCGTGTTATTGTTGTTTTAGTAGCAGGATATTGGAGACGCAAGATATAAGGGAATCATGGTAAATCAATTGATGAGGTTGTGAATATTCATGAACTGAGATAGCACATACATTACACAAGCCCTAACTTGGAATCCTGAAGGGAAGTGGAAAAGAGGAAGGCCAAAGAACACATTACGTCGGGAAATAGAAGCGGGTATGAAAAAGATGAATAACAACTGTAAAGAGCTGGGAAGGATTGCCCAGGACAGGGCTGGATGGAAAATGCTGGTGAGCGGCCTATGCTCCTTCGCGAGGAGTAACAGGCGTACGTAAGTTGATATCCTCCACCGCCTACAAATGCACATACATCTACTTATGCCACAGACATTATTATACAACGGAACCTGTAGTAAACTCACTGAACTTCCATTACTTTTTCAATCAGGTGTTGTGTGTTAAGGAGCACCATCAAGATTACTAAAACTTTCTATTGTTGGTCTTTTGTGTGTGATTGTGTCAGGTTTTCAAAACGCATGCCAGAATATCATATGTAATGGTAATATTCTAAGTGATGAAGGTTAACTAAAGCTATTATATCAAGACAGCAACAATCGGTTGTAAGGTTGTGAATAACATACAATGTAACGGGAAGAAAATGGTGGAAATTCCTCTACAGAATTTCACTGGACAGTATTGTCATTTATTTGTTTCTTTTCCCTGTCTTGTATTTTAACCTTTGTCCAGGTCTCGTTTTAATTACACTTTACATTCTCCAGTCTTCATTGTCGTGAACTTTGTTATTTGATTTTGGTTGAAGATTTACCTTTGATTGCTTGATTTACTGTTGCATAATGCCGGACCATTGATAATAAGGTCGTGTTTAACTGAACTCAGGGTCATGGCGTGGTTCAGTGTAAATGTGAACCTTTGACTGCCTGCTTGGAAAGGTTACTGGGATCCTTGCAGATAGATATCTGATCCTATTTTGTTGGGAATATATTTATTGATTCTCAGGTATAGAACACCTATTTGTTGATTACACCTTTTGTTATTTAGCATGTTAGTTTGTTATAGAAAGTCTTGACTGTGTAGCACAAGCTGCACCTTTTGATGCATTTTGTACTTTTGATATCACGAGTTTTCTTCCTCAAATTAGAATCGCTAAAATTGAACACAGAATTTGTGTTTCTAATTAATACGAATCACTCAAAAACGCTTCGTACGCTATACATAAGAACGTAGTCTGAACTAATTAATAATATCTATGAAAGTTTTTGTGTAGGTAAGCCCCCTCTATATGCAGATGATCTTAAAGTAGTATAATCATTTTTTCCACGTGAGCTGAAAAATTGCATCAGCGTGGAGCTTAACAAGGTAGCACAACAATGCTTAGAATGGCAAATGGAGCTTAATACGGCTAAATGTGGATGAATATGCTTCGGCGATACATCACTCAGCTTAGATCTTACCATAAAAGGTGAAGTGTTGTCTAGGTTACATCAGTCAGTCAGTCAGCTGCAACGTAGGACCAGGCACATATATGCATCGGTCCAAGTTGCCATACCGCATTAGCACAACAAGATAAACACCTCATTCATAGAAGTAGTTGATTCAGTGGTGGTAATATATAAAAGAAAGATTACATATAAAGAGATAGTACAGGGAGATAGAATTAGTTCGTAGAAAGAAAGATACGAAGCGATTGTATTCTCTTAGCTTAAAGGAAGACAGAGAGTGTATACACCGACGCCATTGTGATCGATTCTGAGCCATGTCACCAAGAGTCTCCAACCATTTGTTACGATAGTCACGCGAACCCCAACCAAGTAGTCTGCATCTACCAACATGGCTCAGACTAGAAGTTAGTGACGTCAAGCACTGATGCCGCATTTTGGTTTGACCGCCCTAACTTTCTTCCAATCATCCACAACACTAATCTGCATTGCGAGTCGTAGGAATCGGTGTTCAAGCATACGCAGCACGTGGCCCAACCATCTCAGTCGATGAAGGTTCATAACCTCATCAACTGATTTACCATCATTCCCTAATACCCTACGTCTAACCTCACTATTACTTACCCGGTGATCCCAGCAGATACTCGCAATATTTCTAAGGCATCTGTGGTCAAATACTAGTAACTTACGAGTATCTTCTACTATTAATGGCCAAGTTTCGCAGCCGTATAGTAGAAGTCTAGGTTACATACGATAGTAGACTTAAATACTCCCACGACTTGTCGTTTAAAGAACAGATATTGAAACAGACCTCTAAGTCTAAACGTCTTGCAGGTTACACATAACTCGAAACCTTTATAACAATGAGTCACGTATTTTAATGTACAAAATTTGTGTTCGACCACTTCTAGAATACTGCACGTTTATTCTTAGCAGTGCGCGCATAAAGGATAAATTAAGGCTAAAATCAGTACAGAGACGATTTACAATTCGTATTCTTGGAGCTGATTGTACTTTAACTTATAATTCTAGATGTAATAAACTTAGGTTTGACCCTTTATGGAAGAAGAGACTCAAACTAAATCTTATCTTTTTCTTCATCCCGACCGTTGTTGCTACCTTGACGTGGTGGTCGGGCTTGCCTATCGTGATGAAGCAACTGAGCTACACTGGCTGTAACAACCGTTCCTAAAGGTCCTTCCACGCCAGACAGGTCGGTTGAAGAGCGACCGTCTGTTGCAGCTATGCTCAGATAACCGCCTGTTTCTTACAAACACTAACTTTAAGCATAAGGAAAAACATCTTTTAACATGGCGACCCCCTAATTCGTCCCAACGTTGGACCCAAATAGATCACATCGCTATCAGCCACCGATGGAGGGGCTCGATAGAAGACTGTCGCTCATTCTGGAGCACATGCTTAGACTCAGATCATGCTCTAGTGCGAGCGCGTATTTGTCTACGTCTTACTGGACGTAGGAAACATGCTGCAAGGAAACCCCTTAGGGTCCTACTTAATGATAGTCAAGCTAAGAGTATATTTCAGGAACATCTAGAAAAACAGTTAGACAGCCATGTAAGTGATGCCCACCCCGAGGCAGCGTGGAATTACATCCGAAAAGCTGTAGAAACAGCAGTGATGTCTGCAAGTACGGTAAACCATAAGGTTAGGGAGAAACACTGGATCTCAGCAGCATCTACCGCACCGATAGATGCTCGAAAACTCATTCCATCTGACTCTGAACATAACGAAGAGCGGAGTCAGCTTAAGCGTAAGCTGACTAGAAGCTTACGCAATGATCGTGAACAGTGGTGGGTAGCGAAAGCAAGAGAGATGGAAAAGGCAGCGGCAGTAGGTAACAGCAGGCAACTGTTCAGACTTGTTAAGGAAACCGGTATTAGGAACCCAACTGTTAACGAAACAATCTCAGAGAAAGATGAACATATTATTCATTCTCAATCCAGGAGATTGGATCGATGGGCAGAATACTTTAGGGATCAGTTCAACTGACCTTCAGCCACACTTCGGTTTCCCACGATCCCCAGTCGACCTGAATGGCAAGTTGATGTAAGTCCTCCGACTCTTTACGAAGTTGAAAAAGCTATAGGAAATCTGAAGCGTGGAAGAGCAGCAGGCCTTGACAGGTTTACCCCTGAGATTTTTAAGGATGGCGGTCCAGTATTAGCAGCGAGATTGACTGAGGTCTTAGGTAGAATCTGGGAACTGGACGTAATCCCATCTGACTGGTCTCAATCACTGATTGTGCCAGTCTATAAGAAAGGACAAAAGTCCTCCTATGACAATCACAGAGGAATTAGTTTGACTAATATAGTGTCTAAAATATTAGCTTCAATAATACTTCGACGTCTAACCAAAGCTCGTGAAGAGCAGACTAGAGAAAACCAGGCTGGTTTTCGACCTGGACGTGGTTGTATTGATCAAATATTCACATTACGTCAGGTCCTAGAACATAGACACACATTCAGACGCCCCACAATCGTAGTATTTCTCGACCTTAAGGCGGCATTTGACTCTGTTGATCGTGAGGTTCTATGGCAGTGTTTGTCACTGAAGGGAGTACCAAAGAAGTACATCAACCTTATAAAGGCTCTCTACTCGAACACAACTGGTCGAGTGAGAGCTTATAGCGAACTGTCATCAGAACTGATTACCTCAAGTGGTGTTCGTCAGGGCTGTTTACTCTCTCCATTCTTGTTTAACTTTGTCGTTGACGTCCTTTTAGAGATGACACTTTCCTCATCTAAATTTCCAGGAGTTGAACTTCTACCGGGAGATCCACTTGTTGACTTAGAATATGCCGATGACATAGTTCTATTTAGTGAAGACGCTGACAGAATGCAGAGTCTGCTGACCACTCTAAGCAACAATGCAAGCATGTTCGGCATGCGATTTTCTCCCTCGAAATGCAAAATGTTGCTTCAGGATTGGGTTGCGTCGACACCCGGACTAGTGTAGGGAGTGAAGTAGTTGAGCGTATCGACCGCTTCACTTATCTCGGAAGTCTCATCAGCCCTTGTGGTCTGGTGTGTGACGAAATCTCAGCACGGATACAAAAGGCTCGACTAGCTTTTGCCAACTTGCGTCATTTGTGGCGTAGGCGAGATATCCGTCTATCAAACAAAGGACGTGTTTACTGCGCAGCAGTTCGTTCCGTCCTACTTTATGGCAGTGAAACATGACCAGTAAGAGTAGAGGATATTCGTAGGTTACTAGTATTTGATCATAAATGTCTTCGAAACATTGCTCGTATATCCTGGGACCATCGAGTAATGCAGTTGTTAGAAAACAAGTACTAGGTAAGGATGGCAAATCAATTGATAAAGTGGTAAAGTTCATCAGTTGAGATGGCTGGGACATGTGTTGCGCATGCCCGACCACCGACTGCCCCGACGTGCTGTTTTATCGTCTAGGAGTAGGTTGGAAGAAAGTTAGGGGCGGCCAGACCAAACCAATGGTGCACATGGGCTCCAGTATCCTGAAGGAACAAATGGCGTATGAACCAATCGTTGGTCACCGGCTACCATGGGACTGCATCTCCTCACGATGCTCCATTGCCTTGTGGGTCAGACGTTCAGGTCGACAACTTCACTTATCTTGGAAGTCAGATCAGCCCTAATGGGTTGGTGTCTGACGAAATCTCAGCACGGATTCGAAAAGCTCGTTTGGCTTTCGCCAACTTACGTCACCTATGGCAGGCGAGATATCCGTCTATCAATTAAGGGTCGAGTATACTGCACGGCAGTTCGTTCCGTTCTACTATACGGCTGCGAAACATGGCCATTAATAGTAGAAGATACTCGTAAGTTACTAGTATTTGACCACAGATGCCTTAGAAATATTGCTCACATCTGTTTGGGTCACCGGGTAAGTAATAGTGAGGTTAGACGTAGGGTATTAGGGAATGATGGTAAATTAGTTGATAAAGTTATGAATCTTCATCGACTGAGATGGTTGAGCCACGTGTTGCGTATGCCTGAACACCGATTACCACGACGCGCAAAGCTAACCGGTGTTAGGGATAATTGGAAGAAAGTTAGGGCGGTCAAACCAAAATGCGGCATCAGTGCTTGACGTCACTAACTTCTAGTCTGAGCCATGTTGGTAGATGCAGACTACTTGGTTGGGGTTCGCGTGACTATCGTAACAAATGGTTGGAGACTCTTGGTGACATGGCTCAGAATCGATCACAATGGCGTCGGTGTATACACTCTCTGTCTTCCTTTAAGCTAAGAGAATAAAATCGCTTCGTATCTTTCTTTCTACCAACTAATTCTATCTCCCTGTACTATCTCTTTATATGTAATCTTTCTTTTATATATTACCACCACTGAATCAACTACTTCTATGAATGAGGTGTTTATCTTGTTGTGCTAATGCGGTATGGCAACTTGGACCGATGCATATATGTGCCTGGTCCTACGTTGCAGCTGGCTGACTGACTTTTTTTTCAAACTACTTAACAAACTATTCTTTACATCCAATGCTTTGTTGTTCCGTGTTTTCTGTTTTCGTTTTAATTTCTCTAGTTGTAGATAATTATCATTAATTCGATCTGGCACAGGAAATGACCTTAATTACACCGTTCATAAATCAACAGGCTGTCCACTTAAGAAAAATTAAAAGTTCCCGGCTGATGCATTGGATCGCTGTGATACATATACTACCTAAACAATTACTGAACTAGTATACTTAAAACTTTCTTCTATCACATATTTTTTCTCTACATCTAATGTTACTAATTATATCAAATTGATTATGCCTGTAGACTGGCGCGAATTCTGTAATTATTATTTCAGATTATATTATTATTATTATTATTATTATTATTATTATTATTATTATTATTATTATTATTATTACTAATCGAATAAACTTTGGTTCGCTAGTTCTGTGTTCAAACTGAATATTAGTATTTCGGTCATTACACATAATGAAAAAGATAATGTCATAAAACCATAAAAACTATGAACGGACATTAAATTAACACTTCTGCTTTCGTACTATCAGTGGACAATTCCGTAGTTTAAATAGTGCCAAGGTTTTAAGTCGGCAACTTTTTCGAATGAAATTCCAAGATATTACTGGTTAAGTATGTGATTGGCTTAAGTCTTAAAATATTGAAAATCTCGTTTGAATTATTTGAAATGTCTGCAACGTTTAAACTACGACACCGAAAATCGGTATTTTAGTGAAATCATGGATTGTATATGAGAAACGTTGATGTAAACCTTTAAAACGGAAGTGAAAGTCAGTTAACAATACGGTCAAATTTCAAACAAATGTGGTAGTTAAAACATGATGTGAAATGGAATAAACACTAGATTCTTTAGTAACGCTCTTACTTCGTGTATCATCCTGCCCAGATCCAGTGGAAATGCTACTCGATAAAGAACCTTCTCGTCGACGAGTATGTAAAGATGGAACGACTTTAGCATCTGAAAAAAGAGCTCTGAGGACTTAGAAACAATTATTGATCTTAAACTAATACCGATTTTTTTCCTCAAGTTTGGCTAGAAGTTCCAGTTCAGATTGTCTTTTGCACTCCATTGTTCTATTGGAAACACCTAATCAACATCTGTAAGAGGTTCGATATATTTATCGACAGAATTTCAGTTGGTAACTACAGTGAAATAGAAGACAATAGTAACTTTGAGTATCTGTAAGAGATCTTTCAATTGTACAAGCGTCTCAAACTTTGATCACTAAATACGATTGCAAGGAGTCAATAGAAAAAGTTAATTCTTCGCTTCAGCCATTTGTCCATATCATTGTGTCAAATTCTGCTCTATAAGAGAATAAAAATGAGAACTCTGAGGATATTGAAGAGGATAAACATAATTAGTTACATGGTAGAAATAAATGTTATAAGCAAATTGTGTACGTGATTTGGGAGGTTTATAATGAGTGAAAGCACATGAAATACGTGACTGGCAGGAATGAAAAACTTAAGTGTGTGTAACTGTTTTTTATCAAATGTTATTTTTTGAGATGTAATTACACTTTATCAAAAAAAACCATTGGCTGTTGAAGCAAATGGTCATTTGTGGGAGTCATTACATAGTAACAAGTTTACTAGGATTGGATATCGTCAAGTAGAACTTCTTGCAGCCACGTTCTATAGATGTCGTTCATATATCATTTAGCGGATAAAACTTACGATAACTGGTATTTATAACAACTGTTGTAATATTAGAAGGTCAATACTCAAGAACGGGGAATGGTTGTGAGGAGAATCAACTCCATGACCAGATCAAGATTTCTCCAAATTCAAATAAATTTTTGTTCTAAATGATCTCGCAGTTAATGAGGTGTAAATTTTGAAAATCTCTGTTATTTCTATGATAGAGGATGAGAACTGTTACTTAAGTGGGACTTAAACAGACCAACTGTATATCAAGTTTAGCTTATTTATTTATTTATATTTATTTGAACACATAAATATTGGTACAAGGGGGCACCAAAATATATGCGCCACACAAAACAATGAGAATTTAAGAAGGGTAAAAAAAAGGTAAGGAACTTAGGGAATTATAAAAAAAGAGAGAACAATAATGGGGGAGACAAAAAGGTACACTCAGAAGAAATCTTACAGTTAAGGAAGATACAACCACTTTTTATCAAGAAAGTAAAAGAAGGTTACAGCGGGATCACCACTGGCTTCTATTCTGAGCCATATCTGATAACGTCTCTAGCCACTGCGTTACACCGTCTATCGGACCCCAACCAGAGCGTCGTCAAGGACCAACACAAGCCAGCCCTTTGCAGCTTTCTTTCATACCACGACACCATGTCAAACACTGACCACCTCTCCGCATTTTCTAACCAGTCCCAGAGTCGGCAAATAATGCACAACGTGGAATTCTCTGTGACGACATTCGTAGAACATGTCCAAGCCACCGAAGTCAGTGTTTCAAGATGGTGACACCAATTGGATTGTCGTCTTTGTGCCCGAACACAGGATGCTGAACCTCTGCATTACTAACATGGTGTTGCCACTGGATGTCAGCAATCCTTCGGAGACAGCGATGATCGAACACAGAGTCGTCTAACATCATCAACTCGGAGAGGCCAAGTTTCACAAGCACAGGGCAAAACTGCTCTCACCCGCGCGTTGTAGATCCGACCTTTTACAGCGAGACTGACATCACGAAGGCGTCAAAGATGGCCCAGATTGGCATAAGCCACTCTGGCTTTCACTATACGTTCACTGATCTGATCACTCACGCCACAACCAGCACTTATGCAGCTACCCAGATACACGAACTTCTCGACCACTTCTATCTGCTCACCATCCAGAGTGAGTACAGGATTAGAATCCTGCCAGTCTTGTAGAAGTACTTTGCACTTCGAAGGTGCAAAGCACATGCCATACCTGTTCCCAGAATGTCATCGATGGCCAAGTTGAAGAGGAATGGTGAGATTGGGCAACCCTGCCTAACCCCACTGCTTGAATGGAACAATGGAGTGAGGTGGTTGTATGCCCTCACTCTGCCTGAGGTGTTTGTAAATAGGGCTTTTAGGATGTTAACAAACTTCTCAGATAGGGACAACTATCGACTCATTCCATGACGTCGGTGCACTCTCTAGTTCCCAGACCTTTGTAAACAACATCGTCTGTCCCTTAGTCAGAAAGTCACCACCATCTTTATAAAGAGCCGGAGGTAAGTCGTCTGGGCCCGGTGATTTGTAACGTTTCAAGAGTTGGAGTTCCTTGTGGACTTCCGCCTCATTTGGTGGATCAGTCGGCACCGGCCATGGAGGGCAGGACAGTCTGACCGATGTTGCCGGAGCAGCAGGCCAGTTGAACTGCCCTCCGAAAAATTCTGCCCATCGTCCAAGACGTCGATAGGTTAGTGATTGGCGTTCCGTCATCCTCGCAGATTGTTTCGCTCACACCAGACTTCTTGCTGCCAGTGGCTCGGATGAGTTGGAAGAGCTTCCGGTAGTTACCAGATGCAGCTACTGCTTCCAGTTCATTGGCACGCTCCGACCACCAGGCTTCTCGATCCTTACGCAAGCTTTGTCCAATTTCAGTACGTAACAGTCTTCGTTTGTGTTCAAACTAACGGTCACCCGGAGTAGACTGACGGGCCTCAATGAGTTGTAAGGAGCCTGAAGAAACCCAATGCTTGTAAGCGGGACGTTTCACGAACCCACAACTGACTTTACCCGCCATGGCGTCGTGCAATTGCAACCAATGCTCATCTATGCTTTTCGGTGGAATGGTAGCTAGCCTAGAAGCTAGCTCGGTTCGATACTTACTAGCAACAGAAGTTGAAACCGACTTGCTATTATCAATCCTTTGGTGGCGGTCACTTCGTTGGCCACTGAAAAGTAAGGTAAGATTGGCGCAGACCAGGGTGTGGTCAGATTCCAGATAGGTACTTCAAAAGGAGCGGCAGTCTTGTACACAACCGCGCCAGCGGTAGCTGATCGCGATGTGATCAATCTGGGTCCAGGCTTGAGATGCAGAGGGAGGACGCCAGGTAGTACATCGGCGATGTCTGTGCTGATAGTTAGTGCTAGCCAGGAGCAGGTCGTGGTCTTCTAACAGTTGTAGTAGATGTTCACCGTTATCTGACCTGCAACCAACAAGGCCCCATCAGCCACCTAGGCGACTCTTTTGTGCCTAGACGCCCCAGCTGAGCATTCAAGTCTCCAGCTAGTACTGCAATATCTGTCGAACGCACTTTCTGGAGAAGAACAGATAACTGGTGGTAAAATTCATCCTTGATTGCATCCGGGCTGCCATCTGTCGGAGCATAGGCGAAGATGACGAAAAGACATCGTTTCTCACGCCGATTTCTTCTCAATTTGATGGAACTTTCTAATCTAACGGCACATAACGACTGTTAATGGGGATCTAATCGATTAGTGCTGCCTCAGCTCTAGCGCTTAGTGCGACACCAACGCCAGCAAGACCAGACGAAGATGCCATAGGGTCCCCGGATAAACGCACGTAAAACAAGCTTTTTGAAGCGACAGATGGAGAGCGAACTTGTAGTACTTCACCAGAGTCTTGAATACAGGTCTCGGATAGACAACAAACGTCAATATTAAGACTTTCCAAAGACAAAGCCAGCCCTATCTGTTGTCCGACCTGCATAAGTGTGCGAACGTTGATGGAAGCCAGTTTGAATGGTGCGTGTGGTTTCAGAAAAACTGCTTCAGTACTCGTATTCGGTGGTAACATACAATTTTCAACCAGGCAGTGACACGATAACGATAGAGCCGAATGGCCACCATAGGCGAGCTGCTGTATAAGTCGAAAAATAAAGATAGACAGAGTGGAAATAAAAGAGAGTGAATAAATAACGTGGTAAATAATAATAATAATAATAATAATAATAATAATAATAATAATAATAATAATGTGAATTGTTTGACGGTAAATCGCGGCGTGAATAGAGTTTTCAGAGAAAATCATCATTTTCATTACATATGCATGAAAGTGAATAGCACTAAAAACTGCACTTTTTCATAGTGTACAACAGACGAGAGGATTGGGAGTAGAGTACTCAGAGAAAAACCGCAGACACTTATTTTGGAAGACATATTAGATAAAAATTAGTCATATAAAAGTGCTATTTAGTGAATTTGTAATTAGTCAAATTTCCATTTACTGTACTGTGATCAATAGATCAGCTTTAAACGAACTAAGATAACCCACCAACTTATCGTCAGTAGTTGATCAAATCAGTGATTCTCCTTAATTTTAAAGTTGGATATTTTTTATAAACAGACAGCTGTTAGAACTAAGCCATCACTTTCTTTTCCTTGGACTGTAATTTCAACAACAAATAGTTCATTTTATCTAAACAAAAAGTGAAAGTTGACGCGACGACAAAAATGAGACAGCAAAATCCGTTGATTTTACAACTTTGTATAGGGTTATCAAGTTAGGTAACATTCAGATAGCACATTAAATACGGTTCAGTGCACCATCTTCTTACAAACACAATGTTAAACACTGCAATCACTATCACAAAAGCTTGTTATTCAGCCTCCAGATACTTGAAGGGAAAATCATGTCAGTTTACCGCCATCCTCAGAAAACGTTAAACAATACAACACGAATCGTGTAAATTAGCCTCAGCAACAAAGTATACATTCATTTCACATAATCATAAAAACAGTTCTAACAAAAATACGTAGTACCTAGCTTAAAGTGCACAGTGACACAACTTTCTTCAGTGAGAAAAGATGTGTTGAAAGTTGAACTCCTAGTGCTTTCACAACGAGTCACACCATGGTTCAGTAATGAGGTTTGCAGCCTACTCCATAAGAGGAAGACGAATGGGAGATTTAGGTTACTGGGTACTGATGAGACAGAATCTCAATATCGAAAAGCTCGAAATATTTGTGCCTCGATGCTCCTCAAGTCTAGACGACTGCATAAACAACAGCTTATCAAAGAATCTACAGAATACCCTAAGCGCTCATACTCATACATAAAGGTGCACATGGGCTCCAGTATCCTGAAGGAACAAATGGCGTATGAACCAATCGTTGGTCACCGGCTACCATGGGACTGCATCTCCTCACGA